GAGACAGCTTTCCTTAGAGCCTAGTCTCCATTGGTGTTGGACCAGATGACGCCAAAAGGCGTACAACTCAAATACAGCGCACTCTCAGAGAATTGAGAGCTCGGGGTAAGCATTTACACTATGAGACCTCCTTTACCAGTGGCAAAATATAGTAGTAGTTTTTTACCCTTTCAACTGTACCAGTTAGGTCATCTTGAGGGTCGTTTTTTTTTCTTCTTCTTCAATTTTTTTTCAACAAAAAAAATCCGGACCCGCGATGCCCCCGCAACACGTGGCCTGCTCATTTCCACCACACATTTGCAGGCTCTCGAAAGTCAAACTGTGGCAGCAGATGGCGAGCATTGATGGCGATTTCTAATTTCGCCCCATCTCGAACGGTGAACTTGGGGAACCTCTGCGACAAGCGGCAAATTGCCGCATTGGCGGTTTCCACCCAGTGGGTGCTGCGCTGTGTTAAAAAAATATATATCTCGATAATTATTTACTTTACAGCAATTCGCAATCCAGGTGAGAACATCTTGCAGGGGTTGGCGGTGCGTCAACGCCACTTCTTGTGGCGTCTGGCTGTGAAGGTCCCACCTGATGACGGAGACTTGTGTTGCCTCCGAAACGTCGTGATTTAATTATTTTATTTTTATTAATTTAAATTTCATTTTTTACCTACGTGACTTTACCGAAAAAACTAAGAGTATGAATCCTTGCAGTCACGAAAGCTTCAAATCTAGAACAGTCAGGAAGGCGAACGTTTTCGAGCAGCTGAACGCGAAGCTTCGCAGTCGGCTGCCGTATTTAGCAAGCGTCCGGCCGTGATGACGAGTGGATGATGCCTCCGTGTTCCAAAGGCGAAGATTTCACCCCTCGTGCACTGGACGGTTCCTCGATTCTCGTTTCCGCAATTATTTTTGTTGACGGGACGGTGGCGTCAACAGATTTCGACTTCGCGTTGTTACCACGGGGCCGTCCATAAATGACGTCACGTGATTTTGGACGATTTTTGACCCCCCCCCCCCCTCGTCACACGGCATCACAAAAAGTCACACCCCACCTCAAATATGACGTCACAAAGCTCTGCCCCCACCCCCCCCCCAAAACCATATTTCCATTTTGAAAATAAAACGTCCTTCAAATCGCTTGAAACTATTGTCATTGTAGTGCGTATTTAATGTGGCGCTGCACTCTGTTGTATGAATGCTCTTCTTTGTTGTTTCGGTAAAGTCACGTAGAAGGGAAATAATAAAATAATAAAAATAAATAAAATAAATATAATTTTATTATGTTTTATTTTCATTATTTCCCTTCTACGTGACTTTACCGAAAGAACCAAGAAGATGAATCCCTGCAGTCACGAAAGCTTTAAATCGAAATTTGTAGGAGTGTTGTTATAACAATTCTATATTCATTTAAAGTTGTGCATTTTGATGTGACGTCACATTTCTCAAACCCCCCCCACCCTCGCACACATCGTCACAAATGTCTGACCGCCCCCCCCCCCTAGGTTCGTGACGTCATTTATGGACGGCCCCCACCGCGCACGTTCGAATGGGAAAGCGGCTGTTGAATCCAAGTTGCGACTTCTCATTCAGATTTATATTCTTATGTGTTTTCAGAGTCTGCAACTCACTCGAAAGGCAACAGCGGACGTCGTCAAAACTGTTTTTTACGAGGACCGGTGTACCGCCAATACATCGAAATTCGCTTACCGCATAGCCACATCAACGCCATACAGCACCGGACAACAATTAACCTATCGGAAGGTAAGACGCGATGCTGTTAACAGATTCGCGGGCGTCCCATCATGTGCGCGCTCTGGGATAAGCAAATGTGAACAAGGCATCCCAATCAGCCCCATGGACAATAAGTATAACCCGTAAAAACAAAGTTTTTCACTATAAATCCTTTATATGCGTGGCGGCTAGAGTCCTCTCGTCCTCTGGCTTGTGATGGCTGCCACCTATGGGTCAGATGATTGCATTGCACCATTAAGCAATTGGTAGTTAAATATAATATTTTTGTCCTAAAAAGTGTAAAATTTTGGAAAAAAAATTTCACGAACATTAATTGTCACGCACAACGAGTCTGTGTGCAAAATGTCAGCTCGATTGGATCACGGGAAGTGGGTTAAAAAACGACCGAAAGATTTGCACGGTCCTAAGCAAGCAAGCGAACTTAATATAAATGATTTAATAAGTATAATCCGTAAAAACAAAGTTTTTCACTATAAATCCTTTATATGCGTGGCGGCTAGAGTCCTCTCGTCCTCTGGCTTGAGATGGCTGCCACCTATGGGTCAGATGATTGTCTGCCAGTATTAAGCAATTGGTAATTAAATATTTAATTTGTTTTCCCTAAACAGTGTAACATTTTGGAAACATTTTTCACGAACATTAATTGTCACAACGAGTCTGTGTGGAAAATGTCAGCTCGATTGGATCACGGGAAGCGGGTTAAAAAACGACCGAAAGATTTGCACGGTCGTAAGCAAGCAAGCAAGCACGCAAGCACGCAAGCAAGCAAGCAAGCGAACTTAATATAAAGGATTTAAAAATATCAAATCAGTTGGCTGCTCGGCATCAGAAGAACTCACAACCTCCACAGCACAGGGACGAAGTACCTTGATTGCATAATGAAACCACGTTTTCATAGTGGTGCTTAAAACCTCTTTTAAAGTACGAGTAATATATTTCGTTTTACCCCATAGACGCCGAGGTGATGTTAATGGTTAGCACACTGGACTTAAAGAGGGAAATTCGTTAAAAAGTTGAGTCCGGTCGGCAGCTTGCGTGTGGTGGTGTAAAACTGGGGTACTCTCCGACCCTCTTCCAAGATGCCTGGAAAATGTTGAAGATTCGGCTGAAAGACCTTAGCAAGAGGCGCTCTCTGGCAGAGCTCTTCTGCCAGCAGTGGCACGAACGAGCAGTTGAAGGGCTGCATCTTTACCGTTCCCGTTAACAAATGATTTATTGAGCTGAAGCACTTTTTACATAGGTCTCGTTTTGGCATATTTGGGCCATTCCTTTTGAGTATTTTTTTGTTTCAGATGAGAGGAAATGTGAATATCCTGAGAAAACCCACGTTCGCGAAAGGCTATACAACCCCAGCATAAATACGGTGCTCTGGTTGCTGTACCGCAACTAGGTTACCATAAAAATGGTTGACTCACGAAGAGTTGACCTCCAAGTGAGACACCCACCTCAAGTGGTCAGACGACGAGTTTGCATCACCACACGCACCCCCACAGCCAAGCGGGAAGGGCGATCTTTGCGGAGCAGCCTATAAGGCTGCCTGCAGGCATTCGAGTCACGCGGCAGACGGCAAATCCCTAAATCGTTGAAAGAATCCACTCAGGGATTGTGGTCTCGGCAGGGCCACTGGGCCTCGGTCCTGCTGCTTACGTTTGCACGATCAACAATCGGGACCCAGGGAGGAAAATGTGTTTCTGTAGGAGGCACGTGATTTAAGGCGGACGTTTTAATTGTGGCATTAAAAATGGTGCCAACGTTGTCTTGGAACGCGTTAAGAGCCACTGTTGGGGGTAATAGCCGGCACCGCAGTGAGGGCGGGCGGGGGGGAGAAGGGAATTAGTGAATTTAGGGATTAAGAGTTACTGAGAACGGAGCGGAGAGTGGGAGGTAAAGAGTATAGGAGACGCGGAGCAAAATTTTTTCAGAATCTACTGACTTTGCAGTAAATTCCAAGTCAATTTTAATGCACTTAAGAAATTACAAATTAATGTCATAAATTTACCGTTAGCTGACTGGACCACGTAGGGAAGCTATATTAAATTACCATTACGTTGTAAAACAAGAACGTGGGAGGTGGTCAGATACGTATTTATTATTATTTAGCCAAAAATAATACCACGCGACATTGAAAAGTCTTTGTTGCTTCATTATTTATTTTGAGAGCCCTGGTAATAGGATGCTGCTTGGAAGAAGGCATATATAAATTCCACGTTAACTCAAATACCTTTTTGCAAAGGTGTGTGGTCTGCCAAATAGGAAAAGAAATCCGGCCACTGGAGGTTTGCAACTGCTCAAGACAACAATTTTGAAATAAAAGGCAAAATTGATTGTAATTATAAACAGGCCGTGCGTGCAATAAGAGACGGATGCCTTTGAACGCTGGCATATTTCCTTCACAATGGTATCAAAGTCCACTCAGAATCAAACCCTCGTCTAAAAATATTGAAATATAAAAACCATTAAATATGTATACGTTTTTAGTGGCTGTATTAAGCATCTCATTAATACGCCCCCTATTCGGCATTAAGAGGGAACTTATACTCTTTGGTTCTTTCGGTAAAGTCACGGAGGTATAAAATAAAATTAATCACGACGTTTTGGGCACAACACAAGCGTCCATCATCAGGTGGGAAAGCATGATAATGGATAATTGTGTTGTGCCCGAAACATCGTGATTTATTTTATGTTATTTCTATCTACGTGACTTTACCGAAAGAACCAAAGAGTATGGATTCCTGCTGTCACAAAAGCTTCAATTCAAGATTAGTGTGAAAGAAGTTCAACATACAAACAAAAATGTGTCATAAAGCCCTCCTCCGTCCGACACAGAGAATTAATGAACGTGTCACGCGACTCAAACGTGACAATTATTTTACTGCTTCAGCACACCTGTAGTGGTGGTGGTGTTGGAGGGTAAACATCTCGTGACATTCAAATATGTAATGCCGTTTTGATGATCTCGGAGATCTGAGCAGCACCTGATGCTGGATGTAATCTCCGGCGAAACGTCGTCACCCATTTAATGTTGTGAGAATGTTACTCTCCAAGCAGTTATAAAGTTGGCACGTTTGATTCACGTGACACTTTCATTAAGTGGCTGTGTCGGGTGGAGGAGGGTTGACGGAACACATTTTTACACGCGACTTAACCCAAAAGAAACCAACGATTCATTAGAAATACTGTAAAGGGAGACCATCACCACAGGTGCACATTTTATTAACAATAACGCTTACAAAGAAATCAAACCTTTGGTACGACTTACTGGAAGACTCTTTATTTTGGGTATTTACAAAGACATTAGCATTAAGATTACATAAGGATATGGCCAATGAGGCATTACAAATTGCACAAACTTTTATATGTGGCAAATAGAACACACACACTTTTTTTTAATAAAATAGAAATAATTTCAACGTCCCTTGAAAAAAAATACAAATATTTACAGTATGAAATTGCAAGCGACTACTATTTTATAAACTGGTGAATTAAAAAAAACGTCAAGTTATTGTACAGCTTCAAAATGCAAAAATATTTACACATCCTTAATTTGCTTATCAACAGAAGAGTTTGACTGTCAGCGGTGTAAGCTTGGCGAACATTCGCGATGGCAAATGACAGTAAATGTATGGATCACATGGAGTCATTGGTTCAATTCATTATCGAGAAAGTGGTAGCCACCATTAAAAACGTGCTTCCCTTTTTAGACTTGTTTTTTTTTACTCTTACACCTACTTCGTAATCACATCCCCTGCCACCCACAATGTTTTTTATCAATTACCTAGCGACAGTGCAAATCAACCCATTAACAGAAGCCCCTTCATCAGGAACAATTCAGTAAAAAAAAAAAACCAATGTCCCTTGGTGGGGGGGATGATGGGGGGGGGGGGGTAAAAAATTGTTACATTGCAATGCTTTACAGTGCTAAATTTGCTGTTGCTGGGTTTGCCAAAGAATCTCCTTGCTTGCGTAACGCTGATCCACATTGATATCACAGCTGGGAATTCACTAAAAGATAGCCACTGTCACTGTACTCAACCCCGCGGTGAGTCAACAACTATTCACCCTGCTTAAGCACGGACAATCACAGGCATCTGGAACATTTAAGAAATGTGCGCCCCAAAAGGGTTAAATAAAAATAAATCGTTTTAGAAGTCACAGCTGTTCAGGATGAAGGCTTCCCGCCATGCCGGGTCAGTCATGGGAGGGGGGGTTGTTTGACCATACTTCACCCGGTTGGTTCAAGTGTGGGTTAGTGGAGGGCGCGGGACTGGTTCAGATATCACTCATCACTGATGTTTGCTATAGGCAGGAACCGAACGCATATCATTGGGTTAAATTCACTGTGCAGTGCGCTGGATACTGCACCACCGCTCGATCCTAATAACGTCTTTTAAAAAGCCCTTCGTGATGGTCTGAGAAGCTCAGGCATTACCCACCTGTTTCCAGGAGATAATGTAATTTACAGTTTTATATATTTAATGGCTTCTCAGTTATATTGCTCAAGTACCACAGGATTTAAAAAGTATGTGAATTTCTCAAACTCTTCCCTTTCTGTAAAGTACTGAACACAGTGAGACTAAGGGTGCATGCATCATCTCTTGTGACGTAATCATTACAATCATCATCATCCATGCTCAAACGATTGCCAGATAATCATGTGATGTAATAATTCAACTAAAATCTACAATACAAACAGATTTTATCGCTGCAAATTTGATCAAATATCTTAACTCCCCCCCCCCCACACCTCTAATTATTACATTTTATCCAAATTGCAATAACTTGTTTTTTATTCTTGGTTCTTTCGGTAAAGTCACGTAGAAGGGAAATAATAAAAAAATAAAAATATGAAACAATAAAATTGTCACGACGTTTCGACTGCAACACAAGCAATCATCATCAGGTGTGAAATCCACCGCAAGAAAAAAAAAGTGGCGGTTTTTTCATTTTTTTCAAATTTTCTGGCTGTGGATTTCACACCTGATGACGATTGCTTGTGTTGCAGTCGAAACGTCGTGACAATTTTATTGTTTTATATTTTGATTATTTTATCGTTTCCCTTCTACGTGACTTTACCGAAAGAACCAAGAATATGAATCCCTGCAGTCACGAAAGCTTTAAATCAAAATGTAACTTGTTTTGTTTTAATCTAATGTTCAATTCATGTTACCATCCAATGTGTAAAGTGTGTTGTTGCAGCAGCAGCAGCTTCGTGAGGTGCACTTTAAAATAACAATTTAATCCAATGATTACAGATATCGACACTTCTCTCATGAATCCTGTTTTGAATACGTATTGCCTCCAGATGCATGTCTTTTGGACTTATCTGTATAGTATATCTTGTTGTTGTTACCAATCTGAGTATTTTTCAAGTTGGAGCCTACAATTGTGATAGAATCTGGAAAGGAAAACAAATATCATTACTGCATTGGGTTTGATTTATTAAAAAAAAACTAAAAGATAAATCTTCTTCATTCTTTCGGTAAAGTCACGTAGAAGGGAAGTAATAAAATAATAAAAATAAAACATATTAAAATAATTATCACGACGTTTCGGCCACAACGCAAGCATCTGTCTTCTCGACAGACCTGTTTCTTCACCTGAGGACGGCTGCTTGCGTTGTGGCCGAAACATCGTGAGAATAATTTTATTATGTTTTATTTTTATTATTTTATTACTTCCCTTCTACGTGACTTTACCGAAAGAACCAAGAAGATGAATCCCTGCAGTCACGAAAGCTTTAAATTAAAAGATAAATGTTAAAGACAAAAAGTTCAGTGCAGGTAAAAAACTCAATCACTGTTTATTAGAAGCAATATTATAGTAACTGTAGATTTTAGTTAACAAAAAGTAACTTACGAGTCGGAGCAGGGGAGTTTAATTGATCCTGCAAAGAAACACAACAGTTCCATTAGTAGGTGGAGGTGGGTTTGGTTGGTATGGCGGGGTATGGGTGGGTGGGGTTGGTGGGTGGGGTGTGTGGGGTGTGGGTGGGGTGTGTGGGGTGTGGGTGGTTGGGTGGGGTGTGGGTGGTTGGGTGGGGTTGGGGTGGTTGCGTGGATGGGGTGTGAGTGGTTGGGTGGGGTGGGGTGGGGGTGGGTGGGGTTGGGGTGGGTGGGGTTGGGGTGGGTGGGGTTGGGGTGGGTGGGCGGCGGCAAAAAAGGTAATGTACTCCGGATCGTAGAGAAAAGAAGGCCCCCCCACAATGGCCCTGTGTTTTTTGTTTGTTTTTATCACAAATGAATTAGGGGGGCCCACGTGGCATTCTGCCCGAGGCCTCCAGGAGTCTGGGTTTCCCTGGTGGTGCATGCCTGTGATCCGGTACTAAGCAGGTATTGGGTTTGTGGCTGCCTAAAATCTGTGATATTCCCAAAACCCTCTGGCCCGTGAAATGTCCAGAGGGTTTCAGTATAACAAGTGGATGGAATATATCTCAGCAGAGCTGTGTTATCTCTGTGCTATACATGGGTTTTCTACAGGTTTTCTCCCACATGCCAAACATTTGTTCATAATAAATGGCCAAACATCACCAAATCAGGACTCTCCTGAAAAAGAGTCGTCAGACCCGGTGAGGCTTTCTTGGATAAAGAAAAGGCATGTTTATTGAGCATAATTTGGATTCATTTGGTTAGATTGTGTAGATATGTAATGTTTCTAAGTAGCCCTCCACCACCCAACAGAGCCAATCAAATCAAGTTGTCATGTCATGGGCAAATCAGCCAATTGATTTGGTTCATAAGTAAAACTGGAATATTGAAAAGCAAGCAACATTATGCCAATTATTTACACGATGTTTTCACTGGAAATACACCCAGGACCATCGGGTGTTGAACAATAGCTCGGCTCTCGCGTGAAAGAGCTTCTTGATCCAGGTCCTAAAGTAGGTGCCACGACATCGTCAGCACAGTCATCATGAATGTGAACCGGTTAATTTACACTGCACAGCTTCTGCAGGATCACTTTCCCCTCTGCTTGTAGTAAAGTGAACACTATGTCCATGCATATACCTGGACCACAATTAACCGGCCTGCTATAAGAGTCGTGTTAACTGCCCCCTCTTGTAGAATGCTAAACAATGAATAGGATGACGGGTCGTATGTCTGGCCGCAAGGAGTTGAAGCTCTGAGGAGTAGAGTTAAGAACTTACTGGCTGGACATGTGGAGGGTGGTAGTGGGGGGGATGGATGGGAAAACTTGGCAGTGCTCCTGATGGACCATCCATCGGTTCTCCAGTGCCTCTCCAGTCTACTCCAGGATGGAGATAAAGTGAACACATTGTGCTTACACAGGCTTGTTGACTCTACCACGCATTCAATCACTAAACAGTACACGCCAACCCGAAATTTAGCGATGTTCAAATGTAAATGCACATTTCTTTCAAGGCAAATATTCAAACAAGCACAAAACATCGGAGTTACGAATAGATTTAGATTTGTGTGCGCGCGTATTTTTGTTCCATAAAGATTTTGTATCCACTTCAAAAACTGATGATTGAATCCCCTATGACAGGGGTCGGGAACCTTTTTGACTGGGAGAGCCATAAAAGCCAAATATTTCTAAATATATTTCATTGAGAGCCATATAGTATTTTTAACGTATAATAAATTAAATATGTCTTACTTTTAATGAGACTTCTGGTCACGGGACCCGTGACCCGAGAAATTTTATCTTCAAAACTAATTTCTGTTTACTTTAAAATTACACAGTATTATTAAGCAATATCACAAGTATTTTAAAATCAGTTCCAAACTGATTTTATTTTTATTTTTTTATTATTATTTTTTCAACTCAAATTTGTCTGGGAGCCATATGCCGTCACCGGAAGAGCCATATATGGCTCGCGAGCCATAGGTTCCCGACCGCTGCCCTATGACGTTTGCAAACTGTCACTTTGGAACATTAGCAAGTGCCATTTTGTACAGAAACAAAAGTGGGCCTGATGAACCGAAATGCTGTGCACATGTAAGTCACTTGTTTACGCTAAGCTCCGTCATATCTAACAAGAGGGAAGAGAGCGTGTTTCATAGCACCTCTGTGTGAATAGGTGAACACTCTGAGGGGTTTCCATCACTGTGGTTGAAATCAAAAGGCCATAGCAGCAAGCACCACGGGTACACACTTTTGTTGCTTTTGATGTAACAATATTTGGCGAGTGTGCGAGTTCACCGCAAAGGTCTCCCGGAGTCGGTCTAGGCGAGGCCCGCATCAAGTAGAGGCATATTTTGTTTATTTATTAAATGTACACTCTTTGCAAACGTCTCGTTTACAAGGGTGTCCAAAAAGCTATTTAAATATAATTCTGATGATTCTCTTATCGCGTCAATTTGTGCTTGTAATAATCAATTATTTCCAATGTAAAAAAATTCTAAACCAATGTTACATTTAGGCTAATAACAGTGACCGATGACGCAGAACAAACAAGACAAAACTATTGAGAAATAATAGAACCGAGACAAAAACAGCGACGTCTTTGTAATCGAAATCTAATGCCAAATCGCGAGAATTCATAGAATTGCTCAACCGTGGTGAACCAACACAACAATGCTACCGATGAGGATCTAACGATTTACTTCCAGGCGTACGTCAGATCACTCAGCTTCTTTCTCCACACTGCTCGATGACGGAATTCACTCCCCACCGTCTCTCTTTACATTTCTTAGAATCGTGCTCAATTGGTGAATCGTAACGACACCTTGTCAATGAAAACTACAAGAGTGCTGTTTGTTGTTGGACATCTTCTTGGTTCTTTCGGTAAAGTCACATAGAAGAGAAGTAATAAAATAATTAAAATAAATATAAAACATAATAAAATAATTCTCACGACGTTTCGGCCACAACGCAAGCAGCCGTCCTCAGGTGAAAACCAGGTCTTTCGAGGCGACAGCGTCTGGTCTGTCGAGGCGACAGCGTCTGGTTTTCACCTGAGGACGGCTGCTTGCGTTGTGGCCGAAACGTCGTGAGAATTATTTTATTATGTTTTATTTTAATTATTGTATTACTTTCCTTCTACATGACTTTACCGAAAGAACCAAGAAGATGAATCCCTGCAGTCACGAAAGCTTTAAATCGAAATTGTTGTTGGACAGTTGTGGCATTTTGGGCCTCTGGGTCTTTGCTCGGCAAACCGTCGTCAAAAAAAGAACCGTCCCAATTCAGGTTTCTGATTCGATCAAAGGAGCAATCAAATACTTTCGTCTCATTTTCGTCGTCTCGTTTGCATTGCTTCTCATTTTTGTGTCTTGTACAGTTTTATTTACTCCATTAGCAAAAGCATCATGCAAGAATACAATTTTGTTAATGATATCTAGTAATGTAATATATATTTTAATAAATAACACTGCCGTATAAGAATATATATCAGGCGACGTTTTGAGCAATGGCTCTTTTTCGTAGCACACAGAGAGGCTAGAGAGACAGAGTGGATAAGGATTGGAGATGACACTTAACAACACCACAGGGTCCGGTGAGAATTACATTCTAATTTTTTTTGTTTAAGGCGTAGTTGCCTAAAAGTAGCTATTGAGTAACGGACAAACCCTTCGATTACCGATGCAATGTGCTAGCAACATTTTTATTATTGGTTTGATTAACAATACAACTTTCACTGTTTGAATCAAGCCCTCAACCGGTCTGAGTGGAATTGGGCTGTGATTTGGCTCTTAATTCACAATCACGGACGGCACAGATGGTGGAGTTGAACCCTATCTTACTGGGCCCAGGTGCGTGCTGCAATACTAGATGCATAATGACCTGCTGTTCCGTTATCTGGCAAAGAACAGCGTGTAACCACATACATGACTTGTTAAAGTAGGGGAATGAGACATATCAATGCATACAGAATGTAATGTCTATTCTCATTAAAGGTTGGTTGCATGGCTTCATCGAAAAAGAGGCATCTTTTTACCTGTCGATGGGTGTCGATGTTGTCCTGTCGCTTGGTGCACCGACTGAATAAAACAAATCAAATGCAACCGTCAAAGTGGGATTGCAACTCAGAGCTGCAAACTTTCTCCAGCTAATTCGTTGGTTGAATGCACAATGGAGGCAGTAATTAGGCGATAATTATGTTTGCTTTTGAAAATAAAATTTTACCATTCCGTCAGGAGACCACGACGGCTCGTGAATGTCACCCCAGACACGACGCTAAATAATGCATTTACATAACCAGGCTTTAGTATCTTTAATGCGCTGCGCAATAGACAAATCATTAAAACACATTTTTTAATCGCCTTTATCATTACCAATTAAATTGACACTCATTTTTTATCGCACGTGACACTCCACGGGCACAGACACTGCGCTCTCTCTACGGCTTTGGGGAAGAGCCAAAAAGGGTGCAGCCCTGCAATTTCTCGCGAGCACGCTGCTGGCGGGAAGGGGAGCAGCTCTCTGAGAGAGCCCCACACCGGAGGGAGTTATAGACGCGCCCCTCAAGCCACCGCTTTTGGCCTACTCTTCAATGCGAGCCACACGTCTGGGCATAAGTGGGAGTACCTGCACTGCTGAGTGGACAGAGGTGGGGGAGGAGGTATTTAATAAATCTGCCCCCCATTGTCTCCACTGTTGTCCCATCCCATGAGATCGAATCAAACTGGGTGACCTCTGAATTGCAAGCCCAGTGCTGGAACATTACACCATTGGCAGGATTCTACATGAAGGCACGTGCCTAAATGGTTGTGTGAAATTGTGTTTCTGCAGCAGTACAGCATTTGAGAAAATTCCAAGCGAACCCCAAGTGCTGCCGATTTCACGGAAGACACCATTTGCGATTTGAGAACAATCAGGCTCAGTAGATCTTAACGACTATCGTGAAGATGACGATAGTAAAATGCACGGCCACATCGACGGCATTATTCCAACACTCTGAATTTTCTACATTGTGCCATATTAAATACATCACGACAGCAGTGACATTGATTCTACTGCCAACACAACAACGTGGGCAGCAAAACAGCTGCTGGATTGTTCCACCATCGATTATAGCAATGTATAACATACATAGGTTACTAAATTAGACCAATCATTGATGACAAGGTACCAATATCGCATTGTATATACATATCTGTAGTGTTATTTTTTTTAATATAGTACAAACACCCTGAATAAATATCAAGTTTCCCGAGCAAAAAACGTTTTGTTTTCATGTTCTTTCGGAGCCACAAATAAGATGCCGCTGGATCCTGATTAAACAATTCACGTGGTGACATTTGGGAGTTTGCCGACGGTGTGCAGTGAACTCACGCGTGGGTGCGTTTGCCGACGGTTATAGGGTTGAGCGGAGGGGTTGAATGGGTTTCCCGTCGATCCTGCCGCCGGCCCTGTGCACGCGCGCGCACAAAGATCCCCCGTATAGCCTTACCAGACTGTAGGGGCAAGTGCTGTTAGCGAGCACCTAGCGCGCGCACACACACAAAGATCCCCCATATAGCCTCAACAGACTGTCGGGGCAAGTGCTGTTAGCGAGCACTTATGAAGGCCAAAACGGCACACGAGGGGGTGGGTGGCCAGCACCACGCACACACCGCCTTTGTTTCCCTAGTGGCAATGTTTACACACAGCACCAGGTACTCATTTGAGGCTGAGTCGACCTAGGGGAGGCCCGGGACCGGTTCAGATAATCGTCACCGATGTTGGCCATGAGCGAGAATCGAACCCGGGTCGCCTGGATTATAGCGAAGCGCGCTAACCGCTACACTATCGCTCCCCACTCACGCACACATGCACGCACACACGCACGCACGCACACACGCAAGTCCATCAGCGCACAGTGGGCGCCCACCGCCGAGCGTCTCCGTCGTTTCCGTTCCTTTCTTTTTGTTTTTGGGAAGGATCGCTAGAAGCAGGTAGGGATGTGCGGGGGGGGGGATGGCCATGACGGCTGGCGGCGACGATAGTTTACGGCGGGGGGCGGCATTGGCGCTGTCTCCACGATGGTGTATGCGTGCCTCTTTAATTAACAATAACCTTGTCAGTATACTGATATTTAATTACTCGTGTTAAAGTACTGTGTAATAAGAACAATGGTCGACGGTTGTGTAGGCCTTCGGATGCAATAAGATTGGGATTCTATTCACGTTTTTAAGGGGCCAAGTTAAAAAGTGAAATGTAACATTTTAAAAGAGAACAAACGGTCTTTAACCCCGCCCAAATCCCACCTTCATTAGAACACTGTCCCCCCACCTGTTAAGACTTCTTCGCACAACGAACCATGTCAATACCTCGAGAAAATAGAACATGGAACTCCTCGGAGCCAGGATGCACAGTCAACGTAGACGACAATAAAAACCATCCACCGGTAGAGCTATATCCTGCTGCTTCCTCCCGAGAAGCTATGTCGTCTCCCGTGTGAAGGTGGCAAGGGGCGTCCCTGGAAATAACTAAGCCTTGCAGGCACAGAACACTACCATGGCAGCATTGCAAGTGTTTGCAAAAAAATATATTCACGACCGCCCCCGCCACCCCCCCTAACAAGCTCCAAAAAATGAAAAGGTTCGGCAGAAGCAAAGGTCGGGCCAAATGGACGCGACTCCTTCACGACACACACGTTAACAAGGTTGTTTTACAAGATCAGATTTGAATTGGAAATTCAAGAAAACTCGGGACTTTGCGAGGGTTGGCGCATTATCTTGAGCGTGGCGAATGGTTGGCAGCCTTCGCGTGGCTTCCGGGAAGCAGGTTACAAAAATAAAAGCGAGTGGCTCGGCCATGCAAGATGGGCTGGATTGATTTTTGCATAATGAAACAAACAGCATAAATGAATGAAAGGACAGTTTAGTCGACGGACGGTTGGATTTACTGATGAGTACATGAATCAAGGAGGAAAAAAAAAAACCCAATAACAACCCAATGAGGGAATGAGATTAAAGTATACAAAAAATATGCGGTTACCTTGGGGCTGCACTGGAACGGCTCCCGAATTAATTGGAATATTTCCTTCCTGGTGCCTAGGAAAGACTCCCTGTTTGACAAAGCAAAACAAAAAAAATACTTTTGATTCACGCTTAGAGACATATACACACGTGCGCGCGCGCGGGCACACAGGACAAAACTTAACAGTGGAAAAATAAGAGTATTGGTCAGGAATGGGTCAAATGATGTAATTAACTCACTGAGCAATTTAACACTAAAAGTAACACTTTAAAAAGACTGTATGTGTATGCAGGATGTAAAGTACTCTAACCTACCCACAAACAAATTATTAAGAGTGCAAGCGTAATGGGGCTCACGCGCATTACAATGAGTTGTCTAAAACTCTAACAAAAACTTAATTGGCCATTTAATTGCCTCCCTGAATTGACCATTTAGCACATATAATTATTTCCCCTTCTCAACCACAACGCACACATATTTCCATGGATTTGCTAACTTTTGATATTTAAAGTTGAATCTGTATTTGCAACTACAATATTGCAGCCTCTATAAATCAATTTTTTTTCTTGTTGTTTTTCACTGAAATGTTGGTCACAGTACACACTTTTTTTTTAAAACAAAAAGCAAAGAGGGCACTTCAGAAGATGACTCATAGACGACTGGATGGATTAACTACGCAATACGCAAATCACAAAAACAATCACAAGTTCAAAAAGGGAAAGGCACCGATTGCCTCAGCTGGTTTTCACTTCATAAAATTAAGATGTCTAGCTAACATTAACATCAACCAGCTATGCTCACCTTAACATCAATATACTATCCATTTATGCTGCAAAGACAAACACATTGTTTTAACCAAAGAGTGATCACAATGTGACAATTCACCAATTCAGGGCCGGTATGAATCACTGCGTCCCTCGTGATACTGTCAGAATTTTTATTTTTACTTTTTGATGAATCTCTATATTTATACCAACTGGACTCTCACCATCACACTTCAAGAGATAACGAATTTCACTGGACAAAGCTCAGAGTGGTGTGTGCTTTTGTATGAGGACAGCTGCAGAAAACATTTTTTTCACAGGACTTTAGAAAAAACCCTTTATTTCCACAAAGTAGATTAACACGAAGTATGCTTTCGCGACCAATATTACCCATAACAGAGGTTTTTGGGTTAGATCGCGTAAATATAAATGTGTCGTTAAAACCTGCCACCACCCGACAGCCAATTAGTAAGGTTTGTCACGTAAACAGAACATGCTAATTCATTACTAGTTCAGCACATCGGTGTGTTGGAGAGTAAACCACACCATTTACAAGTAAACCCACCCCATTGTGGAGCGTAAACCCACCCCATTTTGAAGTAAACCCACAACATTGTGGTTTTATTCTCCAACACACCGGTGCGCTGACAAACTAGCAATGAATTGGCATTTTGTTTTTTAAGTGACAAACCTTTCTAATTGTCTGTGTCGGGTGGTGGCGGGCTAAACGACATATTTATATTTACGTGATCTAACCCCCAAAAAAACCCTCCAGTATAGATACCACAAAATTAGCAGGGCCCAGTTTGCCAGACACTCTACTATGAGACTGTGTGTGTGTGTGTGTCGTATTGCAGTCCAAAACAAATCCATGAATATCGAACAAATCTCCCAGACGCACTAAAAAGTGTGTGCTGCCTGTCTCAACTCATTTGAAATCTTTAACCGAACACAAACTGGCAGAACACCGACAGACACCTGTTATAGCTAGAGAATATTCTATACTGCACGAGAGAATATTCTATACTGAAATGGCATTGTGTGCACAATAACATTTATTTTATTTGACTGCTGCGTGATGTTTATTGTATAAATGCGTACCGTACAATTTATTGATATTAAATAGTTTGCATTTTTGCAATTACGTTTTTTGCTACGTGCTTACTTGGCACCCTGGATACCTTTTTCAAATGAGATGTTCCAGTTAAAGGGATTATCCAGTTAAAATACAAAAAAAAGTTTAATTAAAAACACCATCTGTAATTCTTAAGAGCTGGAACCTCAGCACATTTAACACACGTTTTAAGTTCATGTGTTGGGAATTGTTTGAGCACACTGGTGGCAGGGGCTGAGTCTACCAAACTTTCTATACACTAGAACCTGCTTTGATCACAGATAGACGCCCGGATTAGAACCCAAGACGCAAGTAACTTGCACGATATTCCATACCTGCGTTTCCGGCCGAGCGAAGCTCTCTCCTACTCTCGTCTGCTGAAATGGTGCCTCGATATGAGTCTCGTTGTTGCCTCTTGTTTCCGCTGCAGAGGTTTATAAACACACAAACAAAAATATGTAATCAACGCATTATTATACAGCAGTCAACACAGGGTACACACCATGGATCCGGTGATTGCTTGTGAATTCTAAAAGTAAACCGACTCATCAGCAGCAGAAGCAACAGCAGCCATTGCCAATCCACTGCTGGATAATGACCCCCCCCCCCCCCAAGCCACCAACGTCTCTGATGACATAGTAATTCACAGAGTACATGCACGTTAGCTTGTTTCATAGCTCTATAAACTTGGCCACATGCCACCGACCGAGTTGTTTAAGTGAAGGATAAGATAACCACTTGTCTGAGAGATCGTCTTCCATATCTCCCGTCTCGGCTTCTGTTCACAACCATGGTGCCATAGTGTGACCTCAAGAGCCCTCTGTAATGTGTTCCCTAAGGCCTCGGAACTTTAAGGAAATTGAATAAACTTGGGAGAAGTCATCGCCGGCTGTTCATTTCAAGTGTAGCTTGACCTGAGAGAGGCCACCAGCCCTCAAACAGATCACACGGAGTCACCTCGCGGCAGGGTTGCCACCTGTTCTGGTTTTTCCAGGATGTCCTTTGTGAACAACTGTCCTGGGAAATTAGTAAATTAGTAATTCCTTCCAGTTTTTGTCAAATACATAATAATACACAATGCATTAACGTGTGGTTATTTCCTCTTCCGATATTGCGAGACATTCTTCTTCCCATGATATTTTCAAGGTCTCTTAAACAACCTCCGCAAGCTTTACGCGAGCGCGAAGGCAGCCAGACGGCGGCTTTTGTCCACAAAGAGGCGCGCAGACACGCCGTGGGAAGAGGGCGAACGAGGAAAGGCGAGGAGGCTGGTAAAGACGACAGGAGAGGGTGTATGTGACCTGGTCTAAAGGAAGCGCTCAAAATGACGAATATGGAAAGGAGAGAGGGCAGACGGGGCCATGTTTTCACCACCGCTTTAATAGAACTCTCTTGCGGTAAATGTCTTGCACCGCTGCCCCCCTGAGCGGGGGCAGCGGTGTTACATTTGTTTGTGTAGTTGCGAGGGCTCCCGAAAGAGCAGCGCACTAATTAGGGCTGGCAGATTTTTGGTGTGGCTGGAAGTTGACAAGAGGTGGCGATCCCACGAAGCAGGACAACCGAAGCTGCGTCTAACATGTTGTGTGGGAGCGAATGTGTTTAGAGCCCTTGCAGACACAGCAATCAGACCCTGAGAGGAGATGTCAAAATACTAACATTTGTCGTGCGTTGTTATCACAACAGTTTTTACCCAATATTATAATCCATCAACAGCCTTGCACATGATTTAACTGCAGATTCACCCCTAACTCGCCCTGCTCTCTGCCAGATGCTCTCCTTGCTCCAGCAATCATGGCCTCCTGTGAAAGGCCTCAGTCAAACCACCATCCAATGGGTGGTGGCTCAGTTTCCTCTGCTGCCCCTACAGTCTGGAACTCCCTTGGGCCAATCTGACTGCCAGCTCCATCCCCATTTTCAAGTCCAGGATTGTGCTCTGCCGATGCCTGGCAATTTCCATCTGTTCGAATGTCTTGATCAGCACTACAATTATATTGCCGGCATTCCTGATGTTCCTAACTTTGCCCCTTAATCGAAACATATTGTTTAAACAGATTTCCACCTCACACCGGGTTACTTGAAATGATCCCAAGAGGCAGCTCTATTATCTGTGCTTCCACGCACTGTCCTCTAACATGAAGGGTCGCACTGCTCTGCGGGAGATTCAAGCGAACACTTCGTCTCAAAACACACGATGCCGACGGAACAAACGCGATAAAACTCTGGGAAAATGAGAAACGTTTCAGGAGAAACAAAATCAAATTTTCCGAGGATTCAAAAAAAAAGTGTAGCTTTTTTCTACAGCACCCAGAGATGTCACATAGCCTCTAGATGCTTAAGGAATTCGATTTGTAATGTATTCTGTTGATTTGTGGAGTTTTTTTTCCCCCGCCTTCCTGATAAGGTCACAATCAGCACCGCCACCATCAGCATTTGAAATCAACTGTGAAGAGGCTTCGCATGTCATGCTATCGCCACCTGCTGGTACACAATCTCGCATTGTACAATCTGCCAACCTAATGCCCCCCTTTGCCTGCACGCAACTTTTCCTTCATTAGCGCCCTCATTTATCGTAAATGCACTTGATAGCGAAAATACGGCATATGAACCCGTAAGCAGATGTTGCTCCTACCGGTGAACTGGAAGTGAATTTCCTTTCACCCTCAATCTATTACCATCACCCTGAAACAAGAGCCACTCCAGGCCCCCCCCCCCCAAAACTAAAAATTTCCCATGAAAATATAAATCGAGAATTTCAGAAACCATTTTTAGATTGAGCATAAGATGTTACTAGAAAATTGGTTAGAAACAATAGCGAAGACTCAAGAGCAGAGGTCCGAATGTAAAATTTCAAATTGTGTCGCATGCATCTGTTTAATACCCATGGGCTGTTTTTTTATATATATAACAGACATTCATGGTGAAAGTCAATTAAGACGTTGATAATAATTCCATGAAGATTTGAATTTTCATATTGCTATGCTTGTGCTCTGGATTATAATACAACGTTTAAGTAATGGAAGGCTTGACAAACGTAAGTTCCCCGTCATCATTTGAACCTCATGGCGGGACCTCGGGGTCCAATAAGCCCCCGGCTCTCGCATAAACTGCTTTGCGGCGTCATTCTATGTTTGTTGAAGGCGGACGACACGGCAATATCTTCCTCTTGACTGAGATCTACACGGTGTGCTAATCAAAATTTAAAAGTTTTGTTTGCGTCTACGACAATTTTGGCAACGACGGGTGCTCGGTGAAGAACAAGAGGATTGATTTCTGGTGGGTCGCGGCGTTTATGTGCGCGGTGGGACGGAGTCGCCAAAAAATTTTATTAATTGCGATTTTGACTTCCGTTCATTCAGGACCCCGGGGTCCCGCCATAAGGTTCATTTACGAAAAAGGTACTACACCATTTGCAGCACTCGCACAGTCAAGGAATTACATTTTTAGCTCCATTATTTCACGACACTGTTATTTCACATTATGGGCCGTTTAAAAATCACGGTAATTGTTACGGAAATAATATGAAAATTACTGCTTTTCTCGTTCATTATAATACTCAATACGAATGTTATGCCTCTGACAGCAATGCCCCACGACCTGTATTACATTCTTTGTGATTTGTTAAGCAGCTTATATGTTTTATTCCTAAAGCATTTAATGCTGCAATGCTAATTCTATTTAAAGAAACCAGACAAGGAATGTGAGTTACACGAGTCCTCCTGCCCTGCTAAATGTGCAGTGGATTACATGAAGTAAAATGCACGCCCTAATTAATGTTATCCCAATTAAGCAAATTCTGATTAGTGCTGTGCTGTGCTGTCTACTCGCAGCCACACGCATAAAAAAAAAATAGGCCACCTGTTTCTCCTGTTGATTGAAAGTTGGATTCTGGAAACAAATGTTCGAAGACTGCATTTTGATGGAACATTTTTTAATCAAAAGTTTAGAATAAAGTTTTCTAAACTTATTATTTTAAACTTTTTTATTCAACATGCCCTTTTATTGAGGCAGGTAAGGAACAATTTATATTATCCCGATTGTGAGGTAGACCTGGATATCCAAATATGACTTAAAACTTTCGTGACTGCAGGAATTCATATTCTTGGTCTTTCGGTAAAGTCACGTAGATTAAAAAAAACACATGTTTTTGCTTTTATTATTCTCAATTTAAAAAAAAAATGTATCTACGTCACTTTACCGAAAGAACCAAGAATATCCAAACATGTTTGTGTACTGCTCTTTGTCTATCCACTGTTGGACGAAGGCCTGCCCATGCCAAGTCAGCCATGGAGGTTATTGACCAGATTTCACGACGCTGGTCGGTGCGGGTTGGTGAATGCAGAACCCAGGACCGGTGCGGATATCAAGTGCCACTGATGCAAGCCATGGCTGGTAAACGAACTCAGGTCCCCAGGTTCGTGGTGCAGTTTGCCAATAATTGTATCACCGCTGGATAGTTATATATTGTGTTGTTGGGGTGTTGGGGTGGTGGGGACAATGGCACAGTGGTGGCGGCGGTGGTTCAGAGTTAACGTCTCAACAATAATGGGGGAGGATAAATCTCACCAAAATTACTTTTCTCCAACCAAATTTTAATTTCCATACGAGTGGAGAAGCATCATCCTGGTGAGCTCCCCATACGTGTTCAGACATCAGTCTCAATTCCAACCTCCATTATGTTTTAAATGGTGGCGAGATTACTGTGATATTATCCCGGCGACTTACGTTTGATTCCTGGCAATGGCTCACCATAAGTGGACGTTCATTTTGATGTCTGAACTGGTACTGGGACACCTTTGTGAGTACATTTTGAAAACCAGAAAAAGCTAACCATTGCATTTGTAAAGAAAGTCTGCTAAACAGACACGTTAGGAACCCATTTGCTGTACTTCCATAGATGTGTCTTTGTGTGTATGTACGAGTGTCTGCGTGTGTCTGCGTGTCTGTGGAGAGTGGTAGTGCAGTGGTTAGCACGCTGCCCTATGACCCAGTCAACCCAAGTTCGATTCCTGCTCACGGCCAACACCTCGGTCGACTCAGCCTTAAACGAGTACCTCGTGCGATGTGTAAATATCACCACTTGGGAGACAAAGGCGGCCGGGAGTGGTGTTGGCCACCCACCCCCTCGTGTGTCGTGCCGACCTTCATTAGGTGCTTGCTAACAGCACTTGCCCCAACAGTCTTTTCAGGCTATATGGGGGATCTCTTTTTAAGGCTATACGAGTGTGGCTGTGTGTGTATTTTCATTTCTATACGTACGAGTTTGGCTGTTGTTATGCCCGTGTCTTTATATTTCTTTGTAGACTCTATGCGAGTATATGTATACGTGTGAATATTTAAGTGCCTTTCCAGACTCTCGCAGGCAAGCTCATATAAAAACAAAAAACAGAGACATATATATATGGAAGTAGGGTTAGTGGTTTGGCAACGTGTCTGCTTAGCAGACTTTGTGTTTTTGTTACAGAATGCTATCACACCCTGGTATCCACTGGGGTGAGCCTTCTCCCCTCTCTGCCACGTACGCACGTGATTGAGTTGTTGCTCTGGAGACTGGGAAGGCCTCTTGATCGATGTTTGATCGCAGGGTTGATGATGGCATTAGTCGTGATTTCTCACTTAACAGAGCGGGCCGTGTGAAGGTGATGAAGCGATTAAGTAACATGGGCTGGCCTACATTCAAAGCCAGCAGTAGCCAACACCTCTATGATCGAGGGGGAATGTGAGCTGCCCTATTTAGTTCCTGAAAAAGGCTCCCAGCACCAGCATCGGAACGTTGGACGTCATGCTGAACAGCACGTGGTACAACCCGAAAGCACACGAGAGAGATGTGAATTATCTTTGGGTCTTTTCGGTAAAGTCATGTAGATAGGTTCAAAGAAAATAACAAAAACAACAGTAGTTTTTTGTTATTTTTGTTATTTTCTTTGAACCTATCTACGTGACTTTACTGAAAGACCCAAAGCATATGAATTCCTGCAGACACGAAAGCTTTAAGTAAAGATTTAGATGTTAATTTGTTATATTATTTTTAAGACATTCACCAACTTGAATATGGATGTTTCAATCGCAATGATTATAAATATAAATTCTAGGTTTCTGTCACTGAGTAATTTTCTAATTTGGGATTTATCACTTTATAACTGCAAGTGCACTCTGCTAACGCCCGACATTAAATTCTGATCCATAAATGGAATGAAACCATCAAATCCACAAAAAACTGGTTTGGTACAAAGTACTTTGACAATGGAGGCTGCCCGGGTCAGTAATAAAGGGAGTACGGCATTCACTCGAAATGGGTGATACAAATTAATCGCGCATTTTTTTGTTTGCGAAAATGATCAGTGCATCAGCGATGACTTACCCTGTGGCACTCCGATGTCTCTGTTTTGCGAGCGCCCCACAGCCAACATTGTTTCCTCCTCAGATATGCACAACGATGGGAAAGATTGCAATATGTCGGAGACCTGTGGTGGGACCTCCTCTCTTGAGGGCCTGCCAGAGTCCAACTCCTCCCTCCCACTGCTACAATGTCTGAGGGTGAGCGGGAGGTCCTGGCCCACTGAGCTGTAGTCCTGTGGCCCCAACGCAGGCCAAGGGGGCAAATCCCCACGAACCGGGTCACCCGACACCATTCTTTCCTGCAACGGTAATGGCGACAGGAAATAGAATTAGCGAATGCCTGCAATACGGTGACAACCGGTCCAGAGTTTGCTTGTACTGAATCAATGCTTCTTCTTGGTTCTTTCGGTAAAGTCACGTAGAAGGGAAGTAATAAAATAATAAAAATAAAACATAATAAAATAAAATAATTCTCACGACGTTTCGGCTACAACGCAAGCAGCCGTCTTCAGGTAGCCGAAACGTCGTGATAATTATTTTATTTTATTATGTTTTATTTTTATTATTTTATTACTTCCCTTCTACGTGACTTTACCGAAAGAACCAAGAAGATGAATCCCTGCAGTCACGAAAGCTTTAAATCGAAATTGAATCAATGCTGCTGAAAGTATGCACTGCCCATAAGGCCATGGCGCCAATGGGCTGTGCATTAAAATAACAAAAAATGTGGAGAGATGGACATATGAAGGAGTCATTGTCTGATTATCTATTTTGATACAATACAGATCAGCGAATTTCCATGTGGTGGGATAAAGTGAAGGTACTCCCACCACCTCGAAGTGTGGAAGAGGAAGCCACAATGCCCTCGAGAGCAGCGGTCCCCAACCTTTTTGGCACCAGGGACCGGTTTCGTGGAAAACAATTTTTTCACGAACCGGGGGGGGGGGGGGGTTCATCAATGGGTCTTTCCCCCTTTTCAAAGCAGCTCTCCAGCGACGTTTTTTACTCATTGTGGCTAGGGGTTAGCAGCTTGTGGGCTTACCAAAACTGTGACTGAGACCAGTGCGCAGTGCGGGAAAGAGGCACGGACGGAAGTGGTAAATAATAAAATAATGGGGGCGGGTTCCACGCGCGGACTCACTGCTCTCCTCCTGCCGTGCGGCCCGGTTCCTAACAGGCCACGGACCGGTACCAGTCCGTGGCCCGGGGGTTGGGGACCCCTGCTCTAGAGGGACTTTCGAGAGATGCCTTTAACGGACGCCTTTCTTTTTGCCTCAAGCGTTGCGAGCAAGCGTCTAAGTGCCTGGGTGCAACGACGTGGTGCTGATGGATCACCAGGAGGAGAGTCGGCAACAAGAACAAGGGCTGGACGGCTGAAGTGGCGAGAGATGGCCGGTGTGGTGTGCGATAAGAGGGTCCCCCCCCAGTTTGATTGAAGGGAAAAGTGTGTAGTGTATAGTGTAGTGTATAGTAGTGTATAGTGTAGTGTATAGTGTAGTGTATAGTACAAGACGGTGGTGAGGCTGGTGCTGTGGTATGGGGCCGAGTGCTGGGGCACTAGAAAGAGGGAGGACCAAGCTATGCCAGTGACAGAGATGAGGATGTTGCAGTGCATGTTGGGATTAACAAGGACAGGGTGAGAAATTACGAAGTCGGAGGAAGGACTCAACGTGGTAGAAATCACAGAGAGGATGGGAGAGAAAAAGCTGATGTGGTTCGGTCATGTTGCGAGACGACAGGAAAATGTGGGTCAGAAGTTGCAAGTGATGCAAGTGGAAGGGAAGAGATCAAGAGGAAGGCAGAAGAGGTGGGGCAATGTGGTGCAATCGGACCATGATGGCACGAGGAGCGGAAAGGGAGATGACGCAGGACAGGGCAGCGTGGAGAATGATGGCAAGGACAGTGGACCCCACCACGAGTGGGAGAAACGCGTGGAAGAAGACGTTGCGAGCAAGTCATTGCAGGCCTGCACTTTTACCTTTAAAAAACAATCTATAATACCAAATTAGAATTGTGCTTTACACACAACGACAAATTCACTACATGAATTCGAGTAGTAATAGTCATCTTCTTGGTTCTTTCGGTAAAGTCACGTAGAATGGAAATAATAAAATAATGAAAATAAAACATAATAAAATAATTCTCACGACGTTTCGGCCACAATGCAAGCAGCCATCCTGAGGTCTGTCGATAAGACTCTGACGGCTGCTTGCGTTGTGGCCGAAACGTCGTGAGAATTATTTTATTATGTTTTTTTATTTTATTATTTCCATTTTACGTGACTTTACTGAAAGAGCCAAGAAGATGAATCCTTGCAGTCACGAAAGCTTCAAATCGAAATAGTAAGTCAGTTTAGGAGTTAATGCAACAGATTATGAAATAAAGGAATAAATGCATAAATTAATTGAATCTTATTTGTTAATCACTTTAATTATTGTATTCAAGTTTAAACCATGTTAATCTTTTAATTGCATTTGGAAAAAAAAGCCTCCAATTACTAAACAAGAAAATGTCATCTTTCCCCTTCATGAATACATTATTATATCTTATGGAAATAGAAATACTTTGGCATAACATCAAGTTGTAAAAGTAACAAGCAGCATTTAAACAGTCTCCCAAACTACTATTGTTGAGATAATTAGAATTGTTCCAATGGTCATGGCCACAATTTATCCTTCATTAAGCGGCTGTCATCAATCAACAGCCATGAGCTGTCCCACTGCTGGATGAAGGTCTTCCAAACTCAGCCCTCATGATCCCAAGATGCAACGACGACTCACAGCTCCTGCGCACGAGATGATCTCCTCGCAACATCTCCGGAGTGAACGCGTACCCCTTTTCTGGCGTGCTCCATCGCTCTGGCTGCCACTGCACCTCTCCGCCCCCGCCCCCCTCTCTATATTTAAGGCACCGTCACAGAAACGACCTCTCTCTTTGTGCCGATATGTGTTCTCTCTCTGTGTGTCCTTGCGATGTCTGTCTGCTTGTATGTCTGTCTATAGTTTTCTAGTTAGATTTTTTGTTGCTATTTATTTTATACCTGACGATTGCTTGTGTTGCAATCGAAACGTCGTAATATGCTAATATTTAACTTATTATTGTATCTTTAGACGTGACTTAACCGACAGAACCAAAGAATAATTCCTGCAGTCACGAAAGCTCCAAAATTAAGATTGCCACTGCACCGTTAAGTCTCGACAATCCCAGCGTGTGCCCCCCCCCCCCCCCTTCAAGCGATGTGACCTGCCCAGGCCCCCCACGCTTTGCTTTTCTCAAGAACCAAATGTCGTGGCTGTAACTCGTGTTCGCTCTCCGATCCACGCGCTCCCCATATTTTCAGTACAATTTCAAGCGTGCGCCTCTCCCGTGATTTTTTTCTACAAACTCTCAGCTCTTGTGAAATGTTTTAAATCCTTTATTTCAAGTTCGCGTGCTTGCTTAGGACCGTGCAAATCTTTCGGTCGTTTTTTAACCCACTTCCCGTGATCCAATCGAGCTGACATTTTGCACACAGACTCGTTGTGCGTGACAATTAATGTTCGTGAAATTTTTTTTCCAAAATTATACACTTTTTAGGACAAAAATATTATATTTAATTACCAATTGCTTAATGGTGCAATGCAATCATCTGACCCATAGGTGGCAGCCATCTCAAGCCAGAGGACGAGAGGACTCTAGCCGCCACGCATATAAAGGATTGAAAAACTTAGTTTTTATGGGTTATACTTATTCTTCATCAATTCTCACGTCAAATCCTTACTTCGTAGCAGGCAACATACACCGATGAAAAAAACTCTTTCTAATGCACAACACAACGTTGATTTTCATTATCAAGCGCATTTTTCAAACACCACTCCCAATTTATTCTAGTTTGACTCATTACTTGATTTCGATTCCAGTCCACTGTCAGTAAATGCCCTCGGTATACATACTCTGACGTGTTTCCAGTTGTGTTCCTCCGAGACAGCTTTCATTGTTTTGGTGAGCTTGTGCATGACTTTTAAGGATAAGGGTTTGAAGTTTGAGGTGCAGCAGTGAGTAGCGGCAGGACATTTTAATAACCTGTGCTCTCCACTTTTACGAATCCTAAGATTCACGATAAGTCTGTCGTCTGCAGCAACTCCTAAATTCTGCAGGTGTTAAAATCTAAAATGTGGGTTTTGGCACAAATATCCACAAAACATTTTTTCCATTTTTCTTGTGGGTTGTCGTGGATTATAGGATTCGCGAATAGCATCCGCAAAATCGGTGTGTATTTTTTAAGTTTCCTTGTACATATATATATAGTACATTATCACAAAGTCGAGGTCAGGCCTTTAACTGGATAGGAAAGATCTGTATTCATAAGGCACGATTGGCAGAACTGATCATTGGCTTATTTGCTTGTCAACTAATGCATTCACGATCGATTCTCACTTACCAGTATGTTCCTTACTTTCAGCACGTCTGAGGCTAAATAACTCTTGTGCGTGTCCAAAATTACTTGCGTTTCCGTTAAAATGTCTGTCATCGTAAACGAATGGAAAGCAGGAAAGAGACAAGTCGTATTTTTTCATTGACAAATAACAACACAGTGTGCTTAGAACATAACGCAGCACAATGGTCTAAAGTATTACTTAGGAGATATGCCAAGTGATTTGACACGTAAAATAATTGATAATGTACAAAAATAATTATTTATTTCTCCAGGAAAGCCTAATGGAATATTCATAATTTTTCAAGAAGCCTCTGTTCCATATGTTGGCCAATTCCTTTTCGCGAGAACATATTGAGAATATTCGCTTTTCAAATGTTCAGAGTTTCAGAATTAAAGGCAACTCGTACAATTCGCAACATTCAATGAACAGAAGTTGCACGTGCACGACACCATCCAACAGTGATGCTCGGTTTCACATGTGCTCATTCGAGCTAATTGAAATCCGTGCTTAGTGAAACACTATTACTTGTTTATACAGCGCAAGGGCGTTATGTAGAAAAGCAGCGAGTTGCTTGACTGACCCCTGAAGGATGGCCTCTTAAGCTGGTTACCGTCCCAGCAAAGCTTCATGAGATCCTCGTATTTTGGGATCCCTGCCACGTTTGCATTCTTTGGTATCTTCATCAGGTCTGGCCTTTGACCCTCAGGGACAAGAAGTAAGATCAAGTCTGATGGTGCATCTGTATTGAAGATGGAAACAGACAGATGGACAGACAGACACAACACAACGTAGATTTGTATCGTAGGATGATAGCAGACACAATACTACTTAAACATTATAACTTAGGATGCTAATAGACAGACAGACACAACACAACGTAGATTTGTATCGTAGGATGATAGCAGACACAATACTACTTAAACATTATAACTTAGGATGCTAATAGACAGACAGACACAACACAACGTAGATTTGTATCGTAGGATGATAGCAGACACAATACTACTTAAACATTATAACTTAGGATGCTAATAGACAGACAGACACAACACAACGTAGATTTGTATCGTAGGATGATAGCAGACACAATACTACTTAAACATTATAACTTAGGATACTAATAGACAGACAGACACAACACAACGTAGATTTGTATCGTAGGATGATAGCAGACACAATACTACTTAAACATCATAACTTAGGATGCTAATAGACAGACAGACACAACACAACGTAGATTTGTATCGTAGGATGATAGCAGACACAATACTACTTAAACATATAACTTAGGATGCTAATAGACAGACAGACACAACACAACGTAGATTTGTATCGTAGGATGATAGCAGACACAATACTACTTAAACATTATAACTTAGGATGCTAATAGACAGACAGACACAACACAGCGTATTATATCACATGATGCTAATAGGTGGCCAGACAGATTCGACAGAAAACCGTAAAAATACTGGACAGCAAGGCAGGCAGAAAATGGGATGCAAAGGAAAACGAAATGAGAGAAACCAAAACATAAAAAGGATAACCGAGACGAGAGACCATGGCAGAAGAGAATTAGATAAGAATTAAATGCAGACAAATATTGTTGAAAAACAGTAATGAAGAGAGAGAATGTAAGAAACAAGAGCAAACTGAATTAAGCCAGCACCTTAAAATTTGTTTTTAAAAACATAAAAAATATTGTAGGATATGCGTGCGAGTGGTTTTCTTACATTCATAGGGCACCTCTCGTGTAAGCACAGCCCAGATGAGTATCGCATAGCTGTTGGACACACACAGTATTATAATGGGGCTTCTGTCATCCCATATATCCAAGAAACAGAATTCAAAATTAAAAGAGTACTTTGAACAAATTTGCTGTGTGTAGCAGACAAAAAATGCTTCACCCTTTGTTAAACGGAGTAATACAAAAAGAAGATTGTTACGCACAAAGTCATTGCAAGAATATCGCACGACTGAACCTCGCATCTAAGCTCCTTAGATATCTGGTTGAGCAAGTTCCTAGCCTCTGACCTGTAGACATCAAAGGCTGTGTTGGGATGGTGATTGATGTTTCTGAGCGACTCAGGGGGCATGTACTCCTGTGTCCCCAACACGTTCATATCACTCCGATGGGAGGCCTCAGTCTTCCTGAACTTGGATAAACCAAAGTCAGCGACCTGCAGACAGCAGAGTTTGACCCCACTGCGGTCACTTGAGCAGACGATGACGATTACACATGTGATCATTCACCCTTCACACTCCCCTGCCCCACTCCCCAAAATAGGCAAAATTACGCATCACGTTTAGATTCAAGAAAAACAGCCCGTATTTTTTTTTGTCTTATTTTTTTACAATCATGTTTGCATTGTTTCCACCGTTTTCCAACCTCGCAGTATGCAACTTTATTTGCTGCATTAGCCTAAAAGTATAATTGTTGGGTAGTTATCATACAACTTGCAAAATTCACACGTAACTGAATTTTACATGCGTAGTTTTGACGTGCGTATCGTGAGCGTAGAGAATCGATAAAAAACTATTTAGATCTGCATCTCTAATGAAGACGACGACGACAGTCATGATTGATGGGCGATGACGATGATGGTGACGACAAGCGCGAGGGACTTGAGGAGGTGCCGATATCTTCTTGGTTCTTTCGGTAAGGTCACGTAGAAGGGAAGAAGGGAAGTAATAAAATAATAATAAAATAATTCTCACGACGTTCCTACGCATTTCCAATAAATATGCTAAATTCCTCTTGATATGCAAATTCTTTTGTCAAGGCGCTCTTCTTCCCCCCTCCAACCCAGCTTAAATATACGCTCCAAGCTTGGTGGTGTTTCATTCTTCACCTGAGGACGGCCGCTCGCGTTGTGGCCAAAACGTCGTGAGAATTATTTTATTATGTTTTATTTTTATTATTTTATTACTTCCCTCCTACGTGACTTTACCGAAAGAACCAAGAAGATGAATCCCTGCAGTCACAAAAGCTTTAAATCGAAATTTAGGTGCCGATAACCACTACGAAGGAGCCGCTTGAAGGAGAGCGCGTGTGAACCTTGGCGTGCAAGTCCTCATCGAGCAGCACGTTCTGAGGCTTCAGGTCCAGGTGCAGCAGCTGGGGCTCCAGGCTGTGCAGGAAGTTCATGGCGAGCGCCACTTCGTGCAGGAGCCGGAAGCGGAGCGACCAGGGCGGCTCCAGGCGCTCCAGCAGCCCGGCGATGGAGCCGTGCGGCATGAACTCCATCACGACGCCCAAGTTGTGCTCGTCGCGAAAGGTCCCGCGCACGGGCAACACAAATTGGAATTGTGCGCGCCACATTTTCTTCGCCTCATCCATAAGCTTCTCTCGGGCACTGAAACAGGATTTTAAAGAAAACGCGTTATTTACTGTGCATTAAATTTCGATTTAAAGCTTTCGTGACTGCAGGGATTCATCTTCTTGGTTCTTTCGGTAAAGTCACGTAGAATGGAAATAATAAAATTATTTTATTATGCTTTATTTTTATTATTTTATTATTTCCATTCTACGTGACTTTACCGAAAGAACCAAGAAGATTACTGCGCATTGTTCGACATTTAATTGGGGGGGGGGGGGGAGCGCAGGTGGGCGGGCGTGCGGAGAGTGATTGTCTGGATACAAATAGAAATAGATCATATGAAAATACACTGGATAAAAAGTATTCATTGTTTAACACCGCAAAATCTGTCACCTGTTTTTTTGTCGCTTATTCAAGCAATCGGTTTACTTGCCGACATGGTTGTGGTCATGTGTGCACCGAGTCATGGACCCCCCCAACGAGTGAAGATCGATTAATAATAATACAATCAGCACGTGTCAGATGTTTTTCTGCAAGTGTGGTTAATACGCAATGCTGATGGATAATATAACCCACCCAGGGATAGAAGCGAGTTAACTGCACTACCTACTATTGATGTTTTCAAAATGTTTATCCATCATCCAGCTATTAACGCGAGAACCAAAAATAGTACGAGGATGAGTCGCTGCATACATTGCAGGTTTCCTGTGTTGCAGTGGGAATGCGGGACAAAATAGGTGGCTGCAATGCCGGCACAGGAAATGAGAACGGGCAGCAAACAGGTAAATAATACTCCCCGTATATTTTCGTGATCGTGCTGTATACTCGAAAGTTGACCGTAGTGAGCACTATACAATGCATCAATGCAGGCATTGAAACAAGTTTTCCGTCAAGGCAGGTCAGGTAATGCCCTCACAAAAAAACACAGTGTTTGCAATTTGGAAAGGAGATTTTAAAAAACACTCAAATATTTTCAGGGTTTTAGTTGCCAATGTATTACTTGAAGTGCTTAGGTAATAAGTAAAATAACAAAACGTCTCCCAATTAACTCAGTCTTTCACAGATTTTCTCGAACTAAGTTATTTAAAAAGGTTACGATTGGTTCATTGTCATTACCTATGATGGCACTGATCAACTGAGAACTACAAAATATAGAAATATTATAAAATCAAATTAATATGCCTAAATATATAATATTTTTTTGTTCAATAGCTGCCTTATTATAAGGAAGTTATTGTTAAGTAAAATGCAAAATAAAACAATGAGTTAACTGATCTAATTGCAATTCCCCATGCCTTGTCGGTTAAAGGGCAGGTCGGAGAAAGGCCAGTGCAGATGTTAGCCATGGCCAGAAATGTAACTGTGGATGCCTGGTTCATAGCGCATTGTCCAAATACCACTGTGCCAATGCTCCGCTCTCTCGTCATGCTAAAGCTAGACTTAAACGCTAAATTACTTTCAATGCATCTAAAGTGAGAGCTCACGCTCATGGGCAGGGGGTCGGCAAACGAGACATTTTTTCCTGAATTCGGTAAAAAAAAAACACACATCAATGTGTCTTCTTGGTTCTTTCGGTAAAGTCACGTAGAAGGGAAATAAAAAAATAAAAAAATAAAACATAATAAAAAAATTCTCACGACGTTTCGGCCACAACGCAAGCAGCCGTCTGTTTTATTTTTATTACTTTATTATTTCCCTTCTACGTGACTTTACCGAAAGAACCGAGACGATGAATCCCTGCAGTCACGAAAGCTTTAAATCGAAAATTGACATCAATGTGTCTCAAGAGCTGCAATGTGAAAACGAGACGTGGTCCCTTAATAAACGACGTCACGAAGCAGCATTCCTTAAATAGTCGCGTGTGGCTCCTCAGCCACACGCTGCTGACCCCTGCACGTGAGTAACGACTAAAACTGAAAGGGGGGTCAATGCAAGCGCACTGTCAATAGTTCTTACAAATGAGGAATGTGAAGTGTTGTAAGAGGGGGCATGCGGCGCTCTATAGTAAATGGAAACTTTGATGGTTTTCTAGCAAATCGTCTGCTAGTGTGTGCTCAGCGATGACACCTACAGGGCAATAGTGTGCCATCAAGGCAGGGGTGGAAAGGTCAAATTGAATAAAATGCATAAACAGATTGCACTTACTTATCTTCATATACATACGTGTACCATCACGTATATAATTCAAACAATGTACACTTACACAGGTTTAATTACACGTAATACAGTAATGTATCATCTAATACACAGTTGTGAGTGCTTTAAAATGTAATGACTTTCAAGGAGGGATAAAAAGGTGAAACCTTGGCTGCCTGAGCCGCACTCCAGCCAAGCTTGCTGAGCGTGACGCAGGGCACGGGTCATTTGTGCCATGGGTAAACAAGGTATGACACATGCGCATACGTGCACCACATACCCACGTAACATTAAAGATTTGCACGGAAAAATTCCAAATCCGCAATGGTCCAACGCGAGGTACACTTGCAAGCAAAGGCAATTAGCCGAAATTAGCCGGTGACAAACCGCTTGTCAAAGCACTCTTCCCCCTCCAACCCAGCTTAAATATACGCTGCCAAGCCTGGTGGTGTTTCATTCAGACGCTTGCTTTCCGACAGACCTGTTCTTCACCTGAGGACGTCTGTTTGCGTTGTGGCCGAAACGTCGTGAGAATTATTTTATTATGTTTTATTTTTATTATTTTATTATTTTCCTTCAACGTGACTTTACCGAAAGAACCAAGAAGAAGATGACCAACCTGTCGCTGGATTGGTTGGGCAGCAGGCACTTGATCGCCACGTCGATGGTCCAGATTTTGTGCCTGGCCTTGTAGACAATTCCAAAGCCTCCAGAGCCAATTTTAATCTTGTTCTCCAGGTCCTCCCACCTGACCCTGCAGAGGTCACTGCTTAACGACGCACTCGATACCGCCATGCCGCCAGGGTCAGCCTCTCGCTGATACCGCGGCGCTCTGCTGGAAGAGAGAAGTTTCCGCTGCTGTGACACGTGCGTGCGCGTCCTAACTCACAAGCGAATGCTCAACACGAGGCATGCAACGATGCATGTTAAAATAGATTCTTGTGCTCATGATACGTGCGTCAAACTGTGCATGAAAATATTATATAACATTCACCTGATGACGATTGCTTGTGTTGTGATTGAAACGTCATGACACTTATTATTGTTATTATTATTTTTACTTTTTATATCTACGTGGCTTTACCGAAAGACCCAAAGAATATGAATTCCTGCAGTCACGAAAGCTTTAAGTCAACATGTATCATTTAGAAGCTACATTTCGCCCAAAGCAGTGAATGAGCCTGCACAAACAGGACAGAACAAAACTAAAAGCAATGCAAACAAGATGGTTAAAATGAGACCAAAGAAATACGTTTTTTCAAGCTCATGACAGTCCTGACTTTTGTCAAATCGTTGGGTTGGGGTAAATGATTACACAAGAGAAGAAAACCTGTAAACACCACCATCATATAAACTTTGTTCTTCCTCTTGACTTAAAGCTTTCGTGACTGCAGGAAATCATATTTTTGGGTCTTTCGGTAAAGTCACGTATATAGGTTCGAAGAAAATAACAAAAAACTACGACGTTTCGTTCACAACACAAGCGACCGTCATCCTGATGATGTTATTTTCTTTGAACGATCACATGACTTTACCGAAAGAGCCAAAGAATACTATTTGTTCTGCCTATTTTGGCTCTCATTTATCTCCACGTCCAGCCAAGTTATAGAGCACAATACTGTATTGCCAAAGCATGACTAACATCCTTTTGAAGAACTCAAGATGGTGGGGTGGTCTGGGCCTGAATATATTTCATAAACTAGTGCATAGGCAAAAGGAAGTGTGCACTCTACAATGTCTATGTAGAGTTACACATACTAGCAAAAACTAACCGAACGAAAACGTTCAACACTTTCACAAAAAGACACTTCCTCCCTTATCTATCTGCCCATGTTCGACTAAAGCAACATGCTCCAGGGCTCATGAATTACTGCCGACAGAATTGAATGCAGTTATTCCATTGCTATTTATAAAACTGGGCACGGCACCAGTCTATGTAAACCACAGTTACGTGCGTTATTTTAAAGCTTTGTAACTTCTCCGTGTTAGCGTCACACATCAAAGTTCTTTCGGGCAAGTCGAAGTAAACCCCGTGAATTGTTGTAGCCAGGCAGTACTCTACTGAATTGCCATCAACAAGCAATGTTGTTGTTTTTCATGGAGCTCTTTGTCAATCCATTGCCCGATAAAGGCCTCTCTCTCCATGCCATGCTGCTCATGTGGGTTGTCTGACCGTACTTCACCACGCTGGAGGTCGGTATACGGGATGCCCAGAACCTGTCGAAATAACACTCGCCACTGAAAGTAGACATGGCCTGGAATAAAACTCAGATCAATGAGAATGATTACAGTATTATTAATCTCTGACAAATACTTTATGTTTTACTCTGTTGTGATTCAGCTTAAGTCTCAGAGCTGCTGAAAATGTGACAAGTTGATGTATATATTGCCACCACTCTGGCACGAAAAGTTTTGAATGTGCTCTGCAATGAGACGAGTCAGAACAACACACCGTAATTAATGACGACCCAATTTATTTGTAAGAACTAAAGAGTTTGTTGTAACGCGTCTCATTTGCAAAAAATACATTCAAGAAATAAAGTACATGGAACTTCATTAATACTGTATAGGTTGCAGAAAGATAAATCTAAAACATTAACAGAAAAAAAAAATCAGAACAAAATAGATTGCATTGAACCTGGTCAAGTCGAAATACTGGATATTTCAATTGTCCATTGGACTTTGATTTACGACTTGTAGTGATTCATGCAAGGCTATATTCCCCTCGCATTAGAGGTTATAGTCTAAACGTTGCCATTCAGTTTCACGATTCGCGTGTTAAGCCACTACGATGATCTTTCATTTGTGGCCAGGTCGCTTCTGAAAACGATGCTTAATAGCTCAGCGAGCTATTTTTGGTGATTTATTTACCATTCCTATACGTTTCACTCCTATCGTCATTTGTGTAACTCTTTATTGATGTTACGTTCTTGCCCATACCCGACTGGGCATCTGTGAATAAGCGCTTCATAGCTCATCGGATTTCTCCTGCAGCAATAAATATTCTGATTCTGTGTCACGTCACCACGCTCGGAGCTGTGGAATCCAGGTGACGACTGACGTCATCACGCACATGTGCGCGGTGACGTTGCACGCACGCCTGGCACGCAGCCAGCAAAACTTTTTCTTATTCTTCTAATCTATAGCTGCTGTAGTATGAACAATATGGCAAGGGCCACCCTGTATTGTTGCAGAATTGATAAAAACAGGTCTCAAACAAACAACAGTCTTAAGGGAAAAGTTAGTACGTTTAAATGCAACCCACATTGGACATGCTTTTGCATATGACGAATATACTGTGCAGTATAGCAGCATTCAGTAGTGCTGGCATAGCAGTTAATACTGGTAGAAACCTCCTGGTTACACCAGCCCACAGGGGATTATTGTGTCCGTCGTGCAGGGAGGGGCTGGGTGGGGAGGGTGGGGCTGGGTGGGGAGGGTGGGGAGGGGCTGGGTGGGGAGGGTGGGACTGGGTGGGGGGTGGGAGGGGTGGGGCTGGGTGGGGAGGGGCTGGGTGGGGAGGGTGGGGCTGGGTGGGGAGGGTGGGGCTGGGTGGGGAGGGTGGGGAGGGGCTGGGTGGGGAGGGTGGGACTGGGTGGGGGGTGGGAGGGGTGGGGCTGGGTGGGGAGGGGCTGGGTGGGGCTGGGTGGTGAGGATGGGGCTGGGTGGGGAGGGGCTGGTCACCCCGTGGTGCCCTTATAAAACTCAACGTTTAACCTACTCACGCCGGCTTGTGCCCGCCCTCACAATCGGGCATATTTGCGGAATACACCACGCCGCCGTTGACCCTGCAGGCCATTGACCGAGCAATCCAACGTTCCTACACCAGCTCCCTCCGCAGGACAATGTGTTCTTCTTTTACGTGGCATTGAAGCGAATGGCTCTGTATTTGTCCGCATGAGGTGCATTGTACAATCTTGAACGTGATATTTGAATGTGTTTGCTCGCTTAGCAACAAACATTTGAGTCGCTACTATGCAAAGTTCATGTCCGCTTTGGAGTAGAAAAAAAACCTCGGGTACATCACTTGTAGCATTGACAAACTAGGATTACACTCGTGAGCATTGCTATACTTAATGCGCCTAAACAAAATACACGATTTAAAAGCCTGCAAATATGAGAACGTGTACACGTACAAAGAGGGGGACCTTTGAACCCTCATTTAAAAAAAATAAACTGAAACCAAACGCTAGCCAAAACATTTCATCAACATCGATTTACCGCCCTATAAGTCATGCTCTTTCCACCGCTAGCTTACGCTACCAAACGTGTAAAAAAAACAATGGGGCGGATTTAAATACGTGGAAAGTTAATTGGCAACGCCAAAACACAATGGGAATGTGTACGGACTGCCGACGTTTAAAGTAAAATAAACTAAACAAGCCACAATAACCCCAAGAAGCAGCATTCTGCGCCGTCGTCATCATTCAAGCGGCTTGCATTTAAACAGGAAGATGGGTCACGATGCGAGACCCCGTGGCCCTTTCGTCAACCCACCGCTGAATGAAAAGGAAGCCCCCTCCCCCTGTACCTCCCCTACCACTACCTCCCCTGTACCCCCCCCACCCTGTACCCCCCCTGTACCCCCCTCCCCCCCCTGTACCACCCCCCCATACCCCCCCCCCGTACCACCCCCCCCCCTGTACACCCCTCCCCCTCTGTACCACCCGCCCACTGTACCCCCCCCCCCCCCTGTACCACCACCCCCCCCCCTTGTACCACCCCCCTCCCCTGTACACCCCTCCCCGCCTGTACCACCCCCCCCCTGTACCACCCCCCTCCCCTGTACACCCCTCCCCGCCTGTACCACCCCCCCCCCTGTACCACCACCCCCCCCCCTTGTACCACCCACCTCCCCTGTACACCCCTCCCCGCCTGTACCACCCCCCCCCCCCCCTGTACCACCCCCCCCCCTGTACACCCCTCCCCGCCTGTACCACCCCCCCCCCCGTACCAGTACCACCCTCCCCCCTGTACACCCCTCCCCCCCCTGTACCACCCCCCCCCTGTACACCTCCCCATGCCAACGGCTGTGATACACTCGCCGTTCCTATGGCCGGGGGGCCTGGCTGGACAACCCGGGGTGATGGTGGTGGTGATGGTGGTTGTTGTTTTCGCTGCGCTGGTGCCGCTGCAGTTTCACGGTACGGTAACAACGATGGCTCTGGCTATGATGATGATGATTGTTGTTGTTGTTGAAGGGCAGCGTTGTGCCCTCGCTGCGGACCCACTGCTAGACAGTAGCCCACCCCGAGAGAGAAGCGAGTTTGGTGACACTGCGTCGGCACAGCCGACACAACACGCAGCGCTCTGTTCCTATCAACAACCACGTGCTTTTGCTAAACGAAAATTCGTATCACGCACACACACACACAGCGTGCGTACGGCATGTGCGTGTGTGCGACAAAAAGGGGCATTGCCCGAAACGTCGCCTAATAATTCATCACACGGTCGAGTCGTTTTTTTTCACGCGTTCGCTACCGATTTTAAGCGTCGTTAAATTTAAAATAAAAACTCGTACAGTACGAACAAATATGAATCCCTGCAGTCACGAAAGCTTTACTGTACATCAAAATTTAGCACGAACAAAGTTGAGCCCTCGAAACGGGTCTGTCCAGTGCAACCCGTGCATCGCTCACCCTTGACTCGTGGGAGACTCGCCGGCAAATGGAGCCCCGTCGAGTTGCCGCCGTTCGAAGGACCCGCTTGGATGACAATAGTAAAAAATAAAATTATAACAATAAAACAAAGTTGGGGGGGTTAAAAAGACGAAAACGTTGCTTCGCTTACCGGTCTCGTTGACACCACGTCGCTTACTGGAAACGCGTGCGCGCTGTGGCCCCGCCCCTCTTCCGCAGTCGATGACGCGTCCCCTGGGCTCAGCCAATCGGAAGGGCGCAACGCGGCCCACTCACTCCGACCACGTGGCGTGACGCAACGGGGGTAAATCCCAGCAGCCTTAAAGGGACCCCCGCCGGATTGTCACAGTTAGCAACCCCCTCCCTTAACTCGATCTTAAAGGCACCCGTTACGTTCGTGTCAACCTGTATTGGTCACTCCGTGCACTTAGAAATTTAAACGTTCATCCTGCAAAGTCTCAATCACAAGGGAGAAACACAAAATAGACATATTCTTGGATCTTTCGGTAAAGTCACGTAGAAGGGAAATAATAAAATAATGCAAATTAAACAATACAATTCTCACGACGTTTCGGCCACAACACAAGCAGCCGTCCTCAGGTGAAGAACAGAGTTGTCGGAAAGACAGCGTCCTAATGAACATTGCTAAGCTTGGCAGCGTGTTTTAAAATAGACACTTGTTTTTTTGCCCGTATTGAAACAACTTTACGCCGTATGAACCTGAAAACTCAATTTCCATCTACAAGAATGCATCGCTGTCAACCCATTCGGTTTACCCGTATTCTTGTACAGAGAAATTGAGTTTTCGGGTCCATACGGCATACAGCCGTTTCAATACGTCCAAACAAATGAATGTTTTGCCTATTTAATCGTGTTTCTTCCTTGTGATGATCATGGACCTTTGTAGGATGAACGTTGAAATGTTTAAGGCCACGGTATGACCAATAGTGTCTGACTTGATCTGTAATAAGGTAGGGAGGGCACTGATAAGGGGTTGACAGGTATGCAGTTACTAGTCGAGATGGGGGTCTCTCGCAATCGAATTTCTCGAGTGGAATCTCCACTTCTCTCGCGCGGTGTGATGGTGGCTGCCCTGTGGTAGGGCTGTCCAGGAGCTAAATACCCACGTTGAGAGTGGTCGCGGATAGCCGTCTGTGACGAGAGGGCGTTGGGGAGAGAGTTTGTGTAGTAGTAGGCTATCGGGACCAATATTAGTCTTAATACAGGTTTTAATGCATGGGTTAGATCGCGTTATTTTAAATGTGTCGTTAAACCCGCCACCAATAGACACAGCCAACAGCAATTTTGTGGGTTTGCTCTCCAACACACGAACGGTGTGCTGAAGTGGTAACCAAATTGGCACGTTCTATTTCGATTTAAAGCTTTCGTGGCCGAAACGTCGTGAGAATTTTATGTTATGTTTTATTTTTTATTTCCCTTCTACGTGACTTTACCGAAAGAACCAAGAATATTGGCACGTTCTGTTTACATGACAAACTTTACGATTTGGCTGTGTTTGGTGAATTAACGACGCATTTATATTTACGCTATCTAACGCATACAACCTTTAAGAGTTAATGAAGTTTTGCAATTAACTCCTCCGTTAAGGTGACTTCCAATCTCGATTTGATGAAGCTAGTTGTAATTACTGGCGTAGCGTCGTACTCAAATTGTAAATGTTGTGGCTTGGCTCTCCAACACACCGGTGTGCTGTACTAGTGACGAATTGGCTACGTTATGTTTACGTGACAACCCTTACTTAGTTGGCTGTGTCGGGTGGTGGCGGGTTTAACGACATATTTACATATGTACGCGATCTAACCCAAACCCCTGTATTAAGGATGATATTGGTCGCGAAAGCCTACTGCGTGTTAAACTGAATTCCCCTCTGTTTATTCATTGAACAACTCGAGACTTTCCAGCACACGCAGTACAACACGCGAGACGAATTAAGCATGGAGGCAAGTCAGCCACGTGTCCCTGTCAGCCTGGTCTCAATACCGCGTCCATCCTTAGAAGAAAAAACCATCCAAAAGTACAAGGGTGAGTCAGCAATGCCGTGGCTTCAATAGATTGTAGAAAAAAAATTGCACGACCTTTTCTTTATTAGGATCTCCCACGCTTACTGGGGGTGCGCTTGCCCTGAGGTTGCAGGTGAATTTACGCCAGACGGTGACATACACTCTAGACACACGTGGTTACTGCCTTTAAGGGGTCTCATTAGTTATATTCTCACATAGTTCCTGTCTGGAAACTCCACTCTGAAGAATGTCAATCCGGGGGCTTCAGTGACGTGTCGTCGCGTGTCCGTGGGCTATTGTTGTACCTGAAGTCCATTTTGGACCTATGCGCTTAACCGGACTCAATACAAAACCCATAAAACTTACAAAGATCAATTGTATTCAAGCGAACTCACAAATAAACACCTTGTGAAAGATCCAACGCATGCAGAATATCCCTGGTTTTGATCTTCCACGAAGCTCATGGTCCACCCTAAACCGCATCCACACAAACCATGGTAGATGCGGATACCTACGCCGCAAATAAAAATGTAAAAACTCTCCAGCGTGCGACTGTGGTCATCCAGAACATAGCGTACAACATATCACGATGCATTGCCCGATCCACAAATACGAAGGAGACGTCACAGCGATACACTCCGCTGCTCCTGATGCAGTTGTCTGACTCGACCACATGCATGTGACGTTGTAGTTTGTCGCTCTGCATCTACATCAGCAGATGTACGAAAGAAGAAGCAGTTTGACGTTGCCTGTTTCTACAGCTGACGCAACTACGACAGTGCCAACGATGGGCCTTGCGAGAGGACAACCATTCAATTGGTCTGACAAGCTGCAGACACAAATTGTTAATTCCATTGATTGCTCCGACCATCCTCAGCACCAAATATGAGGTGGTCGATATCTTATCCACTTGTTTATTACCAATTGAATATGTATTTTTTACTCGACATTATTGAAGCCATATTCTTGGTTCTTTCGGTAAAATCACGTAGAAGGGAAATAATAAAATAATGAAAATAAAACATAATAAAATAAAATTCGCACGACGTTTCGGCCACAACGCAAGCAGCCATCCTCAGGTAAAGAACAGGGCTGCCGATTAGGACGCTGTCTTTCCAACAGCCCTGTTCTTCGCCTGAGGACGGCTGCTTGCGTTGTGGCCGAAACGTCGTGTAAATTGTATCTTATTATGTTTTATTTTTATTATTTTATAATGTCCCTTCTACGTGACTTTACCAAAAGAACCAAGAATATGAATCCATGCAGTCACGAAAGCTTTAAATTGAAATTATTTAAGCCAATTATGAATGAAGGAAGGCTTAGAGAAAGCATCCCAATGTATCGACTGAAATACAAATTAACGGAGCCACAAGCGTAAAAAGTACGGATACATTCGGCATGGAGCCCAATTACTCTGTTCGTTGTGTTGTTATTGCTGTGCTGACGCACCACGCATCTCCCTTGTACAATAACCGGGAAATTGACTAAACGGGACCATCCATGTCACAGATAGAATAAACTTCTCTCTTTTTTAACGTTTATTGCGATATCAGCACTCTCGTTGTTACATGTGACGTTATTAATAAAAAAAACGGTTTTTACGGATAGGCATGCACGTATGGTCTGCATTGTGTAATTAGCTGTACCCTTGTCCAGATAACACAGTTCAAAAGGCAATGATCAAGGAAGAAGCAAGTACTTTAAGCAAATTTGGTTGCTTAAAGTAAACGGAACACAATAACCAAGCATCACCAAGTATGACTAATCAACGGAAACGAAGTTCAGAGGGAACGTGTCAATGCATAAGTAAACACGTCGATGAGGTTTGGACAAATAAATGTACTCAAAAGTATCACGAGCCATTCCACAACCCTGTTTAAGAATTGTCTCTGCTTGTAGCTTGGTACCCAATTTTACCATCTAGGTGGAAAATTTATGGCCATCGTAGCTGATCATACTATCACACGCCACACACCATCAAACCACACCATCGCGTCCCGATCCCACTCATGCACGGACATAAAGATACCGGGGTTTTTTTTCAAATGGAGAGCTGAACCTGAGCTATACTCTTAGTTTTTTCGGTAAAGTCACGTAGGTAAAAAATGAAATTAATAAAAATAAAAGAATAAAAATCACGACGTTTCGGAGGCAACACAAACTCCGAAACGTCGTGATTTTTATTCTTTTATTTTTCTTAATTTTTATTTCATTTTTTACCTACGTGACTTTACCGAAAAAACAATGAGTATGAATCCTTGCAGTCACGAAAGCTTCAAATCTAGAATGAACCTGAGCTGTTTGCGATCTGATTGTAAGTTATCGTCCCAGTTGCCCACTAGGGGGCGAATTTTGGACGATCGAGTGTTTTTTTTTTAGGCGTTCATGGGTAAACACTTAACAAAAATATGCACCGGCCAGTGAGAACCAGATTCCAAGAACACAGGATGAGATGTTACTATCCTTTGTGCAAGCACTTCCAAGAGTTCATGAACAGTGAGCCTGGTGAAAATTGGGGAGCGCATCGTCAGTAGTGTACCTTTGGTTCCTAGGGTGTTTCGGCCTTTCACACTGTTTTTCTTTCTTCTTTTTTACACCCTCCCCAAAGGCGGCCAGCGACATGGTGATATCATTTAAAGAAGACAGCCCGAGGCTTCATAGTTTCTATAAGGATCTTACATTGGATGTTTGGCTAATTTTATCATAATTGTTTGGTATGTGGGATAAAAGCGAAGTATCTCGACAAAACCGACAAACACAACGGGGTAACATTCACGTTTCGGCATTTACTATTAGCACTGTTTTATAAACCAATTTTGAGACGTGGTTGCATTTAGACTCCGTAACATTCGCTGCACTGCCATCTCCTAACCACTTCTCAGCCTTGGTCTACATCACTTGGGATTTCCCCAGCTAGTTTCCCTTCCCATTATTACCTAGCCTCAAGCCTTCTTCGCTTTCAAGATCGGGTGAGGCACGATGGCGCAATGATGACACTTGTGCCTGACAGCAAGAAGGGCCTGGGCTTGATTCCTGAGTCTGCTGCCTTTCTGTGTAGAGTTTGTATATTCTCCCCCTCTTCTGCATGGGGCTTCTTCCATATCTTAAAACCACACACACACACAATGTAACCAGTATTGGCCAAAAAGATAACAATGCCAACAACATGCTCAACAAATTAGTGAATTGTATTACAGTAGCAAGATCATCCCCTCCTCCGATAACTTTACAGGACCCTCCTGAAAAATAATCTTGAGATTGAGTCAAGCTTTCCTGGGTAAACAAGCATACTCTGATATAAGCGTATAACTTCATCTGATGAACGCTGCACTTTCCGTTGTTTTCATGCAGGGGGCGCTGCAAACCTACGCGCCCCTTGCCTGAACGACGGATGCGCAGGGACAGACGTTCGATTACGTTGCCATCGATCTGCAGACGGCGGTCTTCTCGCACGGCCAGCAGCTCTCTGTCACCTGATCTCGATCCCGCAATCCCAAACAGGTGAAAGTCCACAACCGAAAACGAACCCCCAGCAAGGCCATCTACTTAACGACGAGAGAAAATTCACACGAAATGTCGTTTTCAATCAAGTCTTCCAGAAGTTAAATTATATAAGCTTTAAATGAAGAAATACAATTTTCTAATTCAAAACATAATACAATTCAAAGACGTTTCATTTTAAAACTTCAAAACGGAGCATCGGGTGCTTGCGTGAATGCGTCGTTCGTGTGAAAAAATGTTTTCGTGACTTTCCTGGCCAAAGGCCATAAATGTAATACAATAATTCTAGATTGAAGTTGATTTGGTCATAAGCAAATTAGCTGTGTCTGACCATTGCGACATACTTAGTGTTCACTATGCCATCAAAAGTTAACAGCACTGCATATAAAGTTCGCACAACATCATTGGTGCTTCAGATCTGCACTTACAAAGACAAAGCTCCCCTGCATAGCCTTAACAGACTGGTAGGGCAAATGCTCTTAGCGAGCACCTATGAAGGCCGGCACAGCATACGAGAGGGTGGGTGGGCCGGCACCACACCAAGCGGCCTTTGCCTCCCCCGTGGCGAAATTTTTCACATGGAACCGGGTACTGATTTGAGGCTGAGTCGACCTATGGGAGGGGCTCAAGACCGGTTGAAATAATCGTCACTGGTGTTGGTCGTGAGCGGGAATCGAACTCGGTTTGCCAGGTTCGAAACGTAGCGCGCTAACCGCTGCGCTACCGCTCCCCAGACACAAACTACACCAACACGTGGATAACCCCAACGACAAAGCACCACATTCTAACTCAACAACCCTTATTCAATTTCGATTTAAAGCTTTCATGACTGCAGGGATTCATCTTCTTGGTTATTTCGGTAAAGTCAAGTAGAATGGAAAGAATAAAATAATAAAAATGAAACATAATAAAATAATTATCACGACGTTTTGACCACAACGCAAGCAGCCGTCCTCAGGTGAAGAACAGGTCTCGACAGATCTGTTCTTTACCGAAAGACTTTACCGAAAGAACCAAGAAGATGAACCCTCATTCAACTAACCCTGTGTTCACACCATACACACACTCTGATTATCTTAAGATTATTAGAGTCCACACATAGTGAGAAAACGGCACCAATACATTGGCGTCAAAGATGACAAAAAAATCGACAACAACAGCCCGAGTGTTGTGCTTTGTATACAATGTCCCAAGCATGGTTGAGTTGGTCACAGATTGGAACTGGTACTTCTGGTTCCAAAAAGGTTGACGTCGCGTCTCGCCCAGCCTCACATCATGTCAAAACACACCTGCGTGGTTAAGCAATGACTATGCCAACCAAACATTGGCAGGAGGGACCCAGCAAGGTACTAATGACAATCAAAAAAAGTAATTAAAAAAGTAAAATAAAGGTACTGCCCTGCAATTGCTGTTTGTGTCAGGCTAGGTGCACTTTGAAGTGACGTGAACTGTCGAAGGCTCGTTGCTGGCAGGCCACGGGAGCGACTCAGGTGCCATAGGTTGACTGACTGAGATGACTGTCAGATGCACCACCTGTACCATTGTGCCAACATGCTGCGCTTTAATCGCCCGGCGCTCTGCTCGTTGTTGTGAGCGTCACTCCTCCTCCGCCCTCCGTTGTTGTTGGAGGGCGACTGTCTCCAACGGACCCAGGTAGCGTCCTTCACGATCCTCCTCCACGGAGGCAGATTTTACACCGCTTGTAACCAGACATCGGCAAGTCCACTCAGCCTCCACATCCTTCTGTACGCCATCAGCCCAGATCCAATTCTCTAGCCCGTTTATCCCCCTCTTAGCCGCTCAAACAAAAGCTGGCTTGGGAATGCGGTGGCTGGGTGTTGCGGGCTTACACGACGAGCCAGCCCAAACGTGACCCACACGGCACAGCCAACTCAATCAAGCCTCTGCAGTGTGGAGCAGCTCACACGCCCCCTGTATCCCGCCAGAGGCGCGTGGCAGGAAACGGCATCGTCAGCGTCGCGGCGCACGTCACGCGCAGCGGAGGAGGAACCCCCCCCTGCCACCTCCAACTCACCGCACTCCCTTCTCAGTCTCTCGCTCTCTCTCTCTTCCTTGTCAAAGAAGCAAGACCCCGCGTCCAGTGTCTACGACAGATGCTACGACAGATGCTACGACAACAACTGGAACCCGCCTTGTTCGAGTCAACGCAGTTTAAGTACTTACGTGTGTCCGTGTGTGTGTATGTGTGTGACACTCGCATTGTATGGGGGACGATACACGCGCATGTCCGTGTGTGTGTGTGTGACACTCGCATTGTATGGGGGACGATACACGCGTGTGTGTGTGTGACACTCACATTGCATGGGGGACGATACACGTGTGTGTGTGACACTCGCATAGTATGGGGGACGATACACGTGTGTGTGTGTGTGACACTCACATTGTATGGGGGACGATACACGTGTGTGTGTGTGACACTCACATTGTATAGGGGACGATACGTGCGATGCGCTTTAACGAAGAGTCGCTCACAGACAACGCCAGTGACGATTATCTGAACAAGTCCTCCTGGGCATCATGCCCCTAGGTCGGCTCAGCCTCAAATGAGCACATGGTGCGATGTGTAAATTTCGCCGCTTTGGGGAACAAAGGCGGCCGGGCGTGGTGCTGGACGCACACAAGACCCCCCTTTGTGTGCCGTGCCGGCCTTCAATAGGTGTTGGCGAACAGTAATTTGCCCTCCAAACAGTCTGTTAAGGCTCTACGTAGGATCAATGCCGACGTTGTATAAAGCAAACGAAGGCTGCATTGGCCGTGTTGCCAGCTCACTGACAACTCGTAGTTGGATGACTTTCTAACGAAGTTGATGAGCGAGCAGTGCCTTAAAGATGATGCGTTTGTCCGGGCTTGGCGCCTGCAATGGAGCGCCTTAAGAGCGTTGCGTGGGTTGGTGGTTCAGCGTGTGATTGCGCCGTTGGGAGTGCTGGGAGCAGTAAAAATAAAATTGACAGTAGAGCAAGTAGATTGCTAGCCTACATTGTGTGCCACGTTTGAATGTTCTCTTCGGCGTAATTGCGCGTGTACCGTGTTCTAAACGTAGCAGAATGCTTTCTTGTAACACGCAAAAGTTTGCTTTCGCATGGTTCTTATTAGGTTGCCTGCACAAAAATAATTTCGAATAATGAGGCGTCCTTAAACAATGTATCTCAGAGCGGCATGCATGCAAAGGAAGGGAAATAAGCGAGAAGGGACCGGGGAGAGAAAGACTAAAGAGACGAGGATAGAGAACTAACTCGAAGAGAGGGAGGGGGGCTTGACAAACAGCTGGTCGTATCTTCATCCGGGACGTCGAAATTATTCATTCACGGCGAGTTCCTGACCTCCCAAGTGCGAAAGTCAAATCTTCGGTGGTCGTCACCGCATGGTTCGAAGCCTGGAGCCCGGCTACGCTGAGTCGGGCGTCATCGGTGGATCTCAGAGATCTGAGTGGAGTGTGTGGCTGAATCAACTCCTGGATGTGTGGTGGAGCAAGCCCATTTAATGAAGAAGTGAACCTAATGAATTATCCTTTTCCATCCGATTATTCCGCATACTTTGAACAAAGTCCGATTTTCCGGACAATTACAATTGTGTGAATTATCAAGTTTGAACAGGACACCCCTTGGTAGCAAGCTTACGTTGGGATACTGTAACCGATAGCACCGGTTAATGTTTAATTAACGAGTTTATTCTTACTCCCAAGCCAAGGGTGTGTATTTTCAAGAAGCCAACCTTTGCATTACACATTGAGAGAACCGCTTAATCACCGGGAAGTGGGTCGCAAGTTGGAACGGTCTTTCACGAATGAGGCAACCGAGGTGAAGATCTAAGAACAAATGGTGGGAGACCGTTTAAAGGGCCGATCTGGACGTTCAAATGTCTACTGCGCAGCCGTTGCGTGATCTGTCGGAAAGATATAACGCGTCTGGCGAGACGTGGTGGCATCAACGGCTTTGGTCATGTTGACATCTTAGTCTAGAGGTAACCGCTTATGTCCTCCAGTGGATGTCCTCCATTAGAATACGGTCTCAGTTCGGTCACCACTGCACGAATAGATCTTAAATAAGTTTTTTTTTCGATTTAAAGCTTTCGTGACTGCAGGGATTCATCTTCTTGGTTCTTTCGGTAAAGTCACGTAGAATGGAAATAATAAAATAATAAAATTAAAACATAATAAAATAATTCTCACGACGTTTCGGCCACAACGCAAGTAGCTGTCCTCAGGTGGAGAACAGGTCTGTCGAGGAGACAGAGTCTGAATGACAAGCCCCAGGCTTGGAGCGACTATTTAAGCTGGGTTAGAGGGGCGAACAGCGCCTTGACAAAAGAATTTGCATTTACAAATGAGTTTATTCTTACTCAAGGCGCTCTTCCCCCCTCCATCCCAGCTTAAATAGTCGCTCCAAGCCTGGGGCTTGTCATTCAGACTCTGTCTCCTCGACAGACCTGTTCTCCACCTGAGGACGGCTACTTGCGTTGTGGCCGAAACGTCGTGAGAATTCTTTTATTATGTTTCATTTTTATTATTTTATTATTTCCATTCGACGTGACTTTACCGAAAGAACCAAGAAGATGAGTTTTTTTTTGTTACCTAAATTGGCGAAATTCCATCTTTGAGAATAAACCGATAATATTTGTTGGACTCTCGCGAGACAACCTCGTAGCAGAGTGCGGGGGAAAGTGCGACCCCGAGTGTACAGAGGGTAACATGGCAACTTGAAGAATCTTTTCCTCTCGTACAGGGTGATGTTACTGATCTGCGAGGGTTTCTCATTAATTATATACCCCACTGGCTGTACTACCCGGCTTTGCCCGAGACTTGGATCCACCGCCTTTGTCTCCCCAGTGGCGATGTTCACACACCACACCAGTTAATTGTTTGAGGCTGAGTCGACCTAGGGGAGGCCCAGGAGCGGTTAAAATAATCGTCACCGGTGGTGGCCGTGAGCGGGAATCGAACCTCAGGTCGCCGGGTTCGTAGCGCAGCGCGCTAACCACGACACTACTAAATTATAATACTCCAATTGATGCTCCTACTGTTGTGGAGTGACTCATTCAGCCAGCTATGGCTGCAGGGTTTTGGTAGTACATGTTGTTTATGCCATTTATTGTGAAAATTCCGTCACAGTTCCTATGATCACTGTTTCGTTGGTTTCATGGCTTTATTTTGGTGATTTCGAAAAGTGTATTGGTTTAGCCATGTTTGTTTGTTGTAGTACAGAGTTAGACTGATGGCCTTAATCTAAGTTGTCTTGTGGTTGTTGTTGGTTGTTTGACTTGCATCCCACTGGGATTTTTGCACACAGCGTTGGTGTACGGTGTTTTTTTCTGCAATATTTTGCTGTATTTTCTTGGATTTTCTGTTTGCACTCAGTTACATATTCACTTTAAGATGTTTTTTGTTCATGTTTTTTGTTTGTTGCGTTTGCACCCGATTCAAGAGCCGAATGGCTCACAGGGCTATACCTAATACATTTACTTGAACTTGAACTACAATGCGTTACGCTTCCACAAGCGCGGGTCACCACGTGACAGATGTGACGTCACAGCTCACTTGCCGTGCAAAAAATATATGCATTATTGAGCCCCCCCCCCCCCCAAAAAAAATATACAAAAGTTTATTTTTATTATTTTTGCATGGTGTACAGTCTGGAAAGTACCCACATGGCAAATTTCAAGTTTGCTGCATGTCGGGAAGTACGCTAAACATTTTGAACAGACACTCATACTCACAACTTTGCCTTTTTTATATATATGGAGATGACACAATGCCGACAACACAATTGGAATACACTGGGGGTGATCAAATGGTTCACTTATTCATTCATAACTAAGGCAACAAAAATGGAAAAACCCAAGTGCTTTTTTTGCAACGTGAAAAAGTAAGACTTTTTTGTGTGCACATGATCATTACAAACGAGGAAGCACTTGATTCATCGACACGATCTACCCACTTTTCCCACACTTCCACACTTCCGTTTTGGCAGCTGCAGTTGCATAATGCACATGTTTTTTGAGCAACTGAAAAAAAAGGCGTGAAATGCATTTTCTTTAACCTTCTTCACCACAGTCTTATTGGACGCCAAACTGATGTTGCGTGTTCACAGAGCAAGCACACAGCCTCTGCGAGCTGGGCAGCTATGGATGTGAGGAAGGATGCCTTGCCTCTGCCTGAACCCACGTTGACACCGAGCCTGGCAGTGAGCCCTGAGGACCTCACAGACATCAGCTTCATCGGCAGCGGCGGGTTCGGCATCGTGTTCAAGGCCACGCACAAGCGCTGGTGTGTCCAGGTGGCCCTGAAGTGTGCGAAATCGAGTGGACACCTCTCACAAAGGTGAGTCTCCTATCCCCCGGGGGCCTGTGGCTATTAGCGGGCGCAGGTGATGCATCTTTATAGTCGCATCATAGTGTGTTGTACTCAAATTGTAAATGTTGTGGTTTCACGCTTCAACACACCGGTGGGCTAAAGCTGTGAACTATTTGTCTTTTTTTCTTGGTTCTTTCGGTAAAGAACCAAGAAGATGAATCCCTGCAGTCACGAAAGCTTTAAATCGATATTTGTCTTTTGTCAGCGTGACACTTTTTTACTGATTGGCCGTGTCGGGTGTGGAGGGTTACGACACATTTATAAATAACGCGATCTAAACCCAAAAACGTTGATTATGAAGAGTGTGGTTTGCTTGTCGTGGAATCTGTCTTTCTTATTTTATCGTGGAACTTGATGAAAATGGAGCTCCCGATATATGGCCAAGATGAAGGTATTTGCGTCTGTACATTTACAAACCAAAGAGTATGAAGCCTACTTCCGTGTCAGGGCACTCAGAGTGCACTGTCTAGATTATAGGTTAGAGTCCCGGCAGCCACCTGTAACTAAACCATTTTGAATGAATGTTCTCAGCCCAGTCAGAAATATCTGCACACAAAAAAAAGCAACTGGGTTTGGTTTTGAATTTATTGTGACTGAAATTACTGGAACGGCGAACTACTAGGAGCCTCTTTTATCATGACACGGTAACAACACGAGGTCCGGGCGTCGTGCTTGGTCTCCCCTCTCCTTTAACATCGCTCGAGCCCCCCCTTCTCGAATCTTCCCTTACTGATGCCCCCCCCCCGCCTAGCCAATCCCTCAATCCCTGTCCCTGTAACGGCTCCCAGCCATAGCCTCTGGGTTTTCCCGCTCTGTTTCCCGCCTATTCTCGTTCAAACCTTTTCCTCCAATCGCTTCAAAAGCCCTGCCTCACCACGCGGAGGCCTCTTTCCACCAATCGGAGACCTTCGCCGACGTTTGAATAACCGATTGGCTGCACGTTGGCTCGGGGTGAGTGCTTGTTAATTTCGGTCATTACATAGCTGTGAATTAAACATTTTAGGTTTGATTCACTTGTGAAGACACTCCTTGGTGTGCTTATAAAAGACGTGCCTCTATTGTTGTTAAAGCAGTATACGCACATGGCGTTCCAGCGGTGCACTGCTCACTGTGTGTTCCAAACGAAGTTTCCTGCAATGATTTGATGCCGACAACAATTAAAATAAAATCGGGTGGAATATAATAAAAACTATGAATAAATGTTTTTCTTCTCTCCAATCAACCCATGCACCAAGCCATGAAGCGGACCTCCTGAAGGAGGCCCAGAAGATGAAAATGGCGCAGTTCGACTTCATCCTGCCTCTGCGGGGCTACGTCCCGGGCATCAGCAGCGCGCAATTGAACCTGGCCCCGGTAGACCTGGGTTTGTGCAGCCAAATCCTCCAAAGTGGCGGCATCTCTTCGCGTGCGATCAAGCCCGAGTTTAGCTTCCGCCACGCGCTGGTGATGCCGTACATGCCTCGCGGCTCGCTGCACGGGCTGCTGCAGAGGTGCGGCCAAGCGAGCGACACGCCGGGAGAATCGTCGTCACTGCCCTGGCCTCTGCGATGCCGCTTCGTCGACCAGATCGCGCACGGCATGAACTACCTGCACGGGCTCAAGCCGCATCCACTGCTGCACCTCGACCTCAAACCACAGAACGTGCTGCTGGACGATGACTACCACGTGAAGGTGCGTGGTGACGAGAGCGGCCGCTGCCTGTGACCCAAATGATAAAAGCGTTTCGCGGTTCCGGGGAACAGGGCTTAATAAGTTAAGTAATTTATAGCACTTTGTCTTGGTTCTTTCGGTAAAGTCACGTAGAAGGGAAATAATAAAATAATAAAAATGAAACATAATAAAATAATTTTATTTTATAATGTTTTATTTTTTATTATTATTTTTTTTTTATTTCCCTTCTACGTGACTTTACCGAAAGAACCAAGAAGATGAATCCCTGCAGTCACGAAAGCTTTAAATCGAAATTTAATTTATAGCACTTTGTTAATCCACTGCTGGATGAAAGCCTCCCCATGCTGCGTTGGTTGGCCATTCTTGACCATGCTGGTAAATACGGGTTGGTGAAATGGGGGCTGTCAGGGCCTGTTCGTATCTGGCTCACTACCGAGGTTATCATTGCCGGGAATAAAAACCCCACTTTACCAGAGTTCTCAGTGCCGCGTGATCACCTCTGTGCCACGTTTTCACACATTTCTTGCGTAGTGATGAAAACTATTGCATTTGCCGTGCTGATAAGCCCTGAGCAAATTGTGCAACTTGGTGGTGATACGTGAAGCCAGTCATGGTCGCGTGCAGTGGCGGGAACAAGTGTCGGTTTTCTATCTGAAATATGTGCCATTTCATACAACAGACCATACGTGTAAAATGTATATATGAACGCATTTAATTTCAGTTTGAAAGAATTTTGAAAGCGATGTTTGTGTACATGCCTGCATAAAAACTAATTATAATGAATCATAATTATCTTTAATTAATTAGAATGAGTTTTTATAATTAGTCGCATAGTTTGTGCTGATAATAATAATTATTAGCACAAACTATGCGACTTCCCTAATTCTCATTGCGCACATGTCCATCCGTTTCCTCTTTCGCCTGCAACTGCTGCTGTTGTGAACCCAGATCTGTGACTTTGGGTTGTCAAAGTGGCGAGAGGTCACGGGGAACGTCGAATCGCCGACATACATCGAGTCCTTGTGCCTGAATGAGTCACCTCACGGGCAAGTGAAAACGGTAAGGATGCATGGTTTTGTGTTGAATGAACAAGGAATTCCATGGCATGTGTGTTATTTTGCATAGCTTGAGTGTTGTTCAACCCAGATCCCATGTTTCCTTGTCTAAATTTACATTCTATGAAATGATAAAATGCCTTTTTTACACATATTATTAACACAACCAACATTTTCTTTCATTACTATCCTTTGTTTATAATCACATGATAATAGCACATTGGGAAACACCTCTTTAGCCAGGGCGACTTGGGACGTATTATATTGATCTAGTCCAACCCATGTGAGACTAGGCTCTAAGGAAAGCTGTCTCGGGTGTGGACCAATCAACTTCAACGACAGTGCATACATTATCAGAGTCATGTTTTTTGTTTGCATTATGACTGCAGGTATTGTGGTCTATGCAAACATGACTCCTTGTAAAAAAGGTGTCAGTTGTGTTGCCAGAGAGAAGGGTAAAAAAACAATTATCATATTTTTTACTGGCAAATGAGGTTCCAATGGTGTAAATGCTTACCCCGAGCTCTCATACTCTGATGGTGCATTGTCTTTAAGTTGTGCGCCTTTTGGCGTCATCTGGTCCAACCCATGTGAGACTAGGCTCTTAAGGAAAGCTGTCTCGGGTGTGGACCAATCAACTTCAAGGACAGTGCATACATTATCAGAGTTATGTTTTTTGTTTGCATTATGACTGCAGGTATTGTGGTCAATGCAAACATGACTCCTTGTAAAAAAAGGTGTCAGTTTTGTTGCCAGATAGAAAGGTAAAAAACCAATTATCATATTCTTGGTTCTTTACCGAAAGAACCAAGAATATGAATCCCTGCAGTCACGAAAGCTTTAAATCAAAAGTATCAACACATATAAAAACATACTGGACTTCAAAGTTTGTTTACATTTGCAAGTGTTGCAATGGAGTGAGTTTGCTGCCTTCCCTCAAAAAGCAATGACCGGGCTAAAACATGTACCCGGTATTGTGAAATGAACATCAAACAAAAGGGTGGTCGGTCAGCACCATGCCCAAGGTGTCAGTTTTGTTGCCAGATAGAAGGTTAAAAAAACAATTATCGACGTTAAGGCGGCGTGCTTCACGGGTTTACTTCGGTTACCGCCGTGGGCTTGTCTGGCCGACGCAGGGAAGAGACCTCGAGCTGGAGGTTGCAATGGTGTAGATGCTTACCCCGAGCTCTCATACTCTGATGGTGCATTGTCTTTGAGTTGTGCGCCTTTTGGCGTCATCTGGTCCAACCCATGTGAGACTAGGCTCTAAGGAAAGCTGTCTCGGGTGTGGACCAATCAACTTCAAGGACAGTGAATATATTATCAGAGTTATATTTTTTGTTTGCATTATGACTGCAGGTATTGTGGTCAATGCAAACATGACTCATTGTAAAAAAAGATGTCAGTTTTGTTGCCAGATAGAATGGTAAAAAAAAAACAATTATGGACGTTAAGGCGACGTGCTTTACGGGTTTACTTCGGTTACCGCCGTGGGCTTGTCTGGCCGACGCAGGGAAGAGACCTCGAGCTGGAGCTGTGGCGTGAGACGAAGAGTAAGTGGAGCGACGGAGAGTCAACCAAGTTGTTCGGGACCCTGCCCTACGTGCCTCCGGAGTACCTACGGGACACTCACCGGAAACCTCACCACACATTCGACGTTTACAGGTGCCTCGTCACGTGCATGCTGATGTGCAGGCCAGTGTGGTGCGCCTACGTTGAACTTATTTCGCACCTGTACGTAGCCAGTCGTGCTAATGGGAGGTGCGGAGAAAGAGCGTAAAAACTAAACACAAAAAGCGCTTCTGAAGAAATGCGTTTTCTGTTCGGGTGATGTAAAAGTGCATAGCTCCGGCGGCTTCCTAATATCAGAAGGGAGAAGCGTTCCAGACGGCCGCGGAAGGGAACCTGAAAGCACGCGACACGGTCACCGCCGTCATAGTTCGCTGGCAGGAGCCAAAAGCCGCTAATGCGTGATGACGGTTCAAGCTCCATTGACGAAACCATCATAGACATGTCAGCTTAGCGGTCATTACAGCTCATGCCAATTGACTGCGTTTTGTATTTGCCATTCTGTGCCCACGTGCACTTGCCACGTGTGTCTTTTTTTGAGTTGTTTGTTTTTCAGTTTGGTGCTTACGAAATAAGCAACACGAATGTCTGCTTTCTTCCCAGCTTCGCCATCGTTGTGTGGGAGATCTTAACACTCACCACCCCCTACGCAAGTGAGGAAGACCGTAGATTTTAATCGCTTAACGTGGCTTTAAATCTACGTTGGTTGTTCCTTTTGAAACATGCTCAGTTGTACGAGTTGGAGTAAAGTACTGTACAGTGTATAGATGAAATAAAATTTGTTTTCATTTGGGTTGTTTTTTTTATAGCAGTAAATCACAGTTTGAATATATTTATACTCTCTTATGCAGCTGTATATATATATATATATATCTGTGTATCCATTCACCTATCATTTAAAACGTAGATTCAGATTAAATATGAACAATACGATGTACATATTAAGTACAAATCTCGGTTCACATTTTTACAGCTGCCCATAACAATGTAGGCATTTTACAATAACGCTTTGTTCTGAGTCTTATTACGTTAATTATTGATTTGAAGCTTTCGTGACTGCAGGAATGCATACTCTTTTGTTCTTTCGGTAAAGTCACGTAGGTAGAAATTAAATTAAATTAAACAAATCACGACGTTTCGATCGCAACACAAGCAATCCTCATCAGGTGGGACAACCTGATAAGGACTTTACCGAGAGAACCAAAGAGTATGTTAATTATTGACTCAAATAAAACGAACTATCGCTTGCACAAGGTCTTGGCCATGAAATGCCTCCCGCCTGCTCTTAAGTGTGTTCGCCCGCCCGCCCCTTCCAACTTGCAGACGCTGTCAACTCGCTCCACGTGGTCGAGTGCGTGGTGAAGGAAAACCAACGGCCCAGCACCGACGACATCCCAGAGGATCGGCCACGGGAGGCAGACAGCCTCATCCGCCTCATGACGAAATGCTGGGATTGTAACCCCAAAGCTCGTCCCTCGTTTTACGGTGAAAGCAGCGATCTTTTTTTTTTTTGTCGCACGCGACTCCATCTTCTTTCGCAGGCGCGTTGGCAAGAAGTTTTGGCTTCATCCAAAGCGGTTTTCCAACAGCAATGCAAACTGCGCCTGTCCTCTCTATAGGCGGGGCCTTACCTGGTAAAATAGAACATTGTTGAGTCTAGATTTAGTTTTTGTTTCATGATTTCGCTCCCAGTCTGCCTTCACCAACGCCTAACAATATAAGACGTTTGTGAAGAATATTCGTAGTAACTCTTGTTAATCATTTAACGTAAGTTATTAATGTAACGTAAGTTCTAATTACGATTTTAGTAACGTGTATCATATTACGATTAGTAACTAGTAATATTTGACAACATTAATTCATATTAATATATTATTCGGTATATATATACTCTGTGTTCCAGTTGTATCCCTCCAACTGATTTATTTAGTTGTTTAACCAGCTCGCTGTCCACGAATTTGGTTTTGTTCACACTGGAGTCTCAGTTTGTAGCCGTCTCTCACGTTACTTGCCAATCAATTCCCGGTGCGTTGTTATAACGACCGTGTCGTCAGAAAATATGCGACGGTTAATATGTATCCCTTTGTCTCAACCAATCAAATTTTCGGTAAAGTCACGTAGAAGGGAAGTAATAAAATAATAAAAATAAAACATAATAAAATAAAATAATTCTCACGACGTTTCGGCTACAACGCAAGCAGCCGTCTTCAGGTGAAGAATGAGACACTGCCAAGCTAGGAGCTTATATATAAGCTGGGTTGGAGGTGGAAGAAGAGCGCCTTAACAAAAATAATGTGCATATCAAGAGGAATTTAGCATATTCATGGGAAATGCGTAGGAGGTGGGCGGGGGGGTTTCAAAGTCATATTATGCCCATGCATTATGCAGGATCATTATTTTATTACTTCCCTTTTACGTGACTTTACCGAAAGAACCAAGAAGATGAATCCCTGCAGTCACGAAAGCTTTAAATCGAAATGTAACTTCTAATGTTACCGCGAATACCTTGCGTGATGATGATAATGATGATGCACCTGGAATGTACAATTGAAGCCTGTTTCCCACGTGAGATGATCCGTGTTGCTGGTCTACTGCCCGCTGTGATGACCGACACTGCATGGAGAAACCTTAATCTAGCAGTGAAGTTACAAAGCGCTGACATGTATTGTTATAGTGCCCTTAATTGTCGTATCACGTGTGCTTACAGAATGTATCAAGGTTACGGAGCCGGTATTTAACTCCTTCAAAGATAATGTTCTCACAGCAAGGCAGGAGCTGCAAGCCATGGTATGGGCTTTTTTCTACATTTTCACCGCACTTGTACAGTCACGGTACACCATTTGCGGGTTAATATGCTCATTTAAAATGGTTGCCAATGTACCACATGGCAAATGTGTAAATAAATACAAACATATATCTGCATCCATACGTGTTAAATATACCTGCATGCCTTGTCATCTGTATTCAGCGTGGCTTGTCAAATATGCACTATATACAGCAAGTTGAATACAAATATAGAAACATTATCTAAATGAGATTAAAAAAAAAACCTCCAGTAAATCACGTGACATCTGTGTGGCCACTCCCACTGAATCCCTCCGCGCTCCCCCACCCCCTGCATCGTTTGTCATTTTTACTTTCTGACCCCGTGCCCCCGAGTAAAGCATTCCTCTAGAATAAATAACGATTCTGATTCTGTTCCCGCACCTATGTACGTACATTGAACTTCTTTTGCGCCGTACATAGCCCTACCGTGCTAGTCAGAGGTGTGGGGGAAGGAAAACAAAGATCCTTGTTCCTTCCCCCTCCCTCTCTTTGCTCCCCTACATCAGAGGTCGCAACCGGGTACCCGATACCCGTACCCTACCCGATACCCGGCTACCCGTAACTGGCTGGGTACGGGTAGCCGTTTGCGACCCTGGTGCGGCCGGGTACGGGTAGACCGTGAGCCACTGGTGAGTAACCGTTTGTCACTCATTTCCCAACGTCTTGTCTCTTCTCACAATTCAAGTTCCTAGAATCAACCCACCCGCGCCTGCAACATGGCTTCATCCCAGAGGTCGCAATCAGGTACCCGATACCCGTACCCTACCCGTACCCGGCCGGGTACGGGTAGGGTAAGGAATCAAAACCCGTTTGCGACCTCTGCCCTTCATCCCCGACACCCTGGCCTCGTCATCGCACTCCTCCTCTTCCTGACCGGTGCTACTTTCTTCCTGCTGCTCATCTTAAACGGCGCCCTCTCTGGCCGTCAACTTTCCCCCTTCCTGCCCTCTTGCTATACATTTCTACGCGTTCAGCCACTTTGTTGATCTATCATTTGTGGCCAGGTCGCTTCTGAAAACCAAGCTAATATCTCAGTGAGAATTTTTCTGCGTGACATTTGTTTCTATTTCCTATACTTTGCACTCCTATGGTGTTTTTGTACTGCTTGTTGTGGTAACGTTCTGTCCTGCCCCGACTGGAAATCTGTGGAAAAGAGTTTTATTCGGCATCAGATTCCGCCAGTATAAATATTATGATTCTCTGATTCTGCTTCCCTTCCACATGGTGTGCCACGGGGTAAAACGCTTTCGGTGTACACGTTTAGGACGAGTTCCTCACGTACACAGCACTGCGCAGCGCTGAAACTATCATTTCTGAAGCGTAATCTGTACTTTCATTTCAGCTGTCACAACCTGATCAAGAGCAACTTGAGTGGGGAGAGTTAAACATGACCACAAAGATTTTCCGTAAGTCGCGGCAGAGTTGTGCGTACCCACGAAGTGACACTTGCGCGCGTCTCGTGCAAGTGAAACACACCGTCGCGTACACACACACACACACACAGCGGGAAATTCCACCATTTCACACGTGATCTCATGGACTCTCTGACGTGGGGAGGGAAGGCAGCGGGCATGCCGATTGTGATGCTGCAAGTACAGAGTTGATATAGCTGTGAGTGCTGTGTGGGAGAGCGATAACTTATCTTCTACTGCACCAAAACTCAAAAGACTTTTTTTTTAATTTTGCCAGGTAAGGCCCACTGAGCTATATAGATTTTTTTCAGAAGCGACCTGGGCCACAAATGATAGTGGCTTATCATGTGGACATTTATTGCAGCCAAATACACGAAATGCGCGTTTATGAATGTGGAGGGAAAAACCGGAGGGCCCGGAGAAAAATCCACGTGACCACGGTGAGAGCATGTAAACTCCAAATATACAGGCGTCAGGGTCGAGATCGAACCCACGACCTCCCGCATACCAGAAGAGGCAGATAACATCTCACCACCACGACGGGATGTTACACTGGGCACAACAGCCTAGCGCGCATGCTGTGGGCACACTTGTATGTAAGTGTGTGTGTGTGTGTGTGTTTCCGTGCACGTGTGTTTATCGAAGGTCCCGTGCAGGAGACTTCTAAGCCACCGTGCTCGGAGTCCTCCACAAAGCTGACGCGCAGTGCCCCTCTAGACGGTATATTTTGCAAACCTTGAACTGCACGCCACCTGCCACGCGGTGACTTCCTCTCGCGGGATGATGCCACCGTTTTTGGTCGCGTACATTTGCCAGCGTTGGAGGCGAATGATCAGGCCGTCGCCGGGGCGAACCGTCGAGAAATCCTTTGAGAATGGCTCACTTTGTGAATGTGCCCGAACACTTGGCCGCCTACCTTCCAAATTTTTTGACGGAAGCTCGTTGACTTTTTTTATTTATTACTCTCTATTTTGGATATACACAAAAAAAAAAACCTACGTATCTCTATAAAGCATTCAACTGACAAATATTTATTGGAGTTTGGAATAAAGGCATTGTCAGAGGATCAGTTGAGGTTTTTTTGCAGAATTTAGTCAACGTACACGTTTGCACCGTATGATGTGTATTTAAAAAAAAATACGAGTCTAACAACTATTTTTAAACAGAATCCAACATCGTTATATTTGTTAAGTTCCATTCGTGAGATGTTTGGAATGTGGGATTAAACTGGAGTGTCCAGATGGAAAGAAAAGCAACACATACGAGGCGATAACACTCGAAGCTTCGCACAGATGGATTCCACCCTTTGTTTTATACTGCCATCTTCTGGACGTGTGGCAGCCCAAAGCCACACAATACACGTCCTCACCACGCTCAACGTAACATAGCTTCCGAGATCAAACTCATTCAAGGCCATGTAGATATACTCCTGGTGGGGGTGACGAGTATTGTTGAGCCACAGACTCTGCATTTTTAAATCCTTTATATTAAGTTCACTTGCTTGCTTGCCTGCGCGCTTACGACCGTGCAAATCTTTCGGTCGTTTTTTAACCCACTTCCCGTGATCCAATCGAGCTGACATTTTGCACACAGACTCGTTGTGCGTGACAATGTATTTTCGTGAAAAAAAAATTCCTAAATTTTACACTTTTTAGGAATTTTTTTTTATATTGAATTACCAAGTGCTTAATGGTGGCAGGCAATCTTCTGACCCATAGGTGGCAGCCATCTCAAGCCAGAGGACGAGAGGACTCTAGCCGCCACGCATATAAAGGATTTACAGTGAAAAACTTTGTTTTTACGGGTTAATTTTTTCCTTTCCAATGCAATTGCAATGACGACGACACGTGTTCTTGCTTCACTAAGAGCCTTTATTTTGGACACCGACACTATTCCTAGGACCGGGCTTCGGTTCTTGATGCTCGAACTACGTCTTCTCTCCAAGCGTCCCTTCACCTCGTGCTCTCATCTCCTCTCATATCCATCGAGCCCCCCTTTCTCGAAGGTTTCGCTCACCCCCATTTCCCTCGGCCAAACTTCGTCCTCCTTCCCTCATGGTTGTCAACCCTTAACCCCTGACAGTCAACCCTCGTTTCCCCCCCCCCTCCTTTTACGATTGAATTGCTCTTCCAATTAGTTAAATTCTCTGACCGTAACCAATCCTCCTTTGCGGCCTCCCAGCACCAATCAGAGGCCCCTAACACACTGGCCGACTGTCCGTCTGCACACGTATCGCGTCAGGCACGTTGGTCTGTTCTTTCGGTCTTCACACAATTAATGCCACGCTGCATGTCCACGCGTCGTTGACAGTGACGATCGTTGACAAACTCTGCCTGCGTTCGTGTCCAGGCGCAACTCCGGAGGTCGCGATGGACGACGCACTCAACGTCACCGTGACCAACCAGGATTTGCCAAAAATCGCCGAGCTGCTCGGCAAAAAATGGAAACCTGTTGGCCGAGCCCTTGGCATCAGGGAGGCACAGCTGGAAAACCTGGAGCACAACTACCACTGCTATGGGATGGACGAGGTGACCTACCAGATGCTAAGGAGCTGGCGTGAAAAGGAAGGCCGTAGTGCCACTCGGGCAACCCTCATGAAGGTGCTCAAGAGTTCCAAAGTGATGACCGATGACATCTTCTGGCAGACGTAACACCCTTAAAGTCTTGTTTATCGTGGTCCGATCTTTAATCGCTGCTGGATGAAAGATTTCGCCGTACAAAAACAACCCAATTGTCTAACTCTTGGAAAACTAAACTTTTTTAATTTTACCAGGTAAGGCCCACTGAGCTATATAGTTATTTTTCGAAAGCAAACTGCCCACAAACGATAGCCCAACTTAGTAGCCTACCACGTGGAAATGTATAGCAGGCAAATACTCTAAACGCACGTTTCTAAATGTGGAGGGAAAAACCGGAGGACGCGGAGAAAAATCCACGGGGAGAACATGCAAATTCAAAATTTACAGCAGGTGTCAGGGTTGGGATTGAACCCACAACCTCCTGCATACTCGGCAAGGGAGTTAACAACCTGCAGCATCAGCGTTGCGTTCCAAGTGGGCAGTTTATCTCCACAGAATTTATTCTCACTGCTAGCATGCCTTCAGTTGGATTGCTTGAGTAACTCGTACGTCTTCGCAGCCGTAGCGTTACGATAACCGTTTTCTAAATAGCATTCGAGGACTGTGGTCTGATGACCCTCGTTCTGCTGCTGCTCTGCTGCCTTTCGCATTGTATGGCTCTGAAGATTCATGCCGAGTGGGCAGACTTTTGTTGTTCGCAAAATCCACGTACTCTTTGGTTCTTTCGGTAAAGTCACGTAGGTATGAAATAAAATAAATCACGACGTTTCGATTGCAACACAAGCAATCATCGTCAGGTCGGAAATCCACAGCAAGAATTTTTTTCTGCTGAAGTGGGAGAGAGAGCTGCCGTGGTAAGAGTAAAAAAAATGTTCTTGCTGTGGTTTTCCCACCTGATGATGATTGCTTGTGTTGCAATCGAAACGTCGTGATATATTTAATGTTTCTACCTACGTGACTTTACCGAAAGAACCAAAGAGTATGGATTCCTGCAGTCACGAAAGCTTCAAATCAAGATTAAAATCCACGTACTTCTGCAGCATTTGTATTCACTTCTCAATTCCATTTTGCCGCATTGTATTGCTGGGAGCTCACTGGACATTGCTGCACAGCCAAGCAGCTCAACCTCCAACTGTTGTAGGCCATCCTGGCTTGTATTATATTAAAATATATAGGGCCAGGATTCATTGTAATTACGATGCCAAAAAGGTGTAAAAAAAAAAAAAGATTGCAACGCTTGGTGCAGAAAACTGCGCCCTTCAAGTTCAGCCTGAGAGTCGTCATCGCCGGAATATGTTGACGACGGCGAACTCCTGATCAGCTGCTGCAAGGAACCACAGCCATGCGACACGTGTCCCATGGAGCCGACGGACCACACTGGGCCCTTCACGAGAGCCACTTGCCCAGTGACCCACCACGCCCAGCACTCCACTCGCAACGATACCAGCACGAGACCTCAAAAGCCTCGATATGGAACCTGCACTGTGAAACGCCTTCAACGTGTGGACTTTCGTCCGTTGCGTGCGTGACATGTTTCTCTGCGATAAGTGTGTGCTTCTCATCGCTTTAGAAGTATGAAATTCGCAGCCCCCTGACATGCATATCCTGACTAGTTTGGGCAGCTGGATACAACGCCTTGCTGCTTTGCTCAGGGCACATACTAATAAAAGTTATAATTTACACTTGCAAGGCGCACTTCAGCCATAGATCCCAATGCGTATCATGCGTGGAAAGCAGAAAATAAACAGGAACAGGGTAAATGGTCAGAACTCGGGGATCATTTTATAGATGAAGAATTTTTTTTCGCGTATTTGATGGCATGTCTACATCTATTGCTTAGAATTTGGTAGAAATGAGAAGACAGTGAATCGAGTTCTCGTCGATGAGAATGCATTCGCTTTTCGTCAGAAACAAACCTTCTTAGAATAGAGGACTTTTTTTAAATATCTGTGATGATGCATATCTGGGTTTTGAATGTAATGGATCGGTTGTAAGTTTTGTTGAGAATACATTTGAAAGTTTTTAAATGTGGTATGTAATGCATGTACTATAAGAACACAAAATAAACCGACGGTATGTTTTGTTGCCAGTCTCTAATTATGGAAATGTATTTGTTGCAAATATTATTTCATTGTACTTATTAATAACTTGTATTTTGTGTATGATTCAGTTTGTTTACAATTCTACGACTGAATTTCTAAACTCTTAATTTAGAAACTTCTTTCAACTTAATCAGCTGAATGGGAGCATTGGCATTTCCTAAATTACAACACAAACATTTCCCATAACTCACATTTTACATTTTAGTCCATCAACTTATGGGCCTTCTGGACCAATGTTTACGTTGCGTTGCAGCAGACGGCCCGGTGACCTGAGTGGAATTTCCCACCATGGCTAACATTTGACCAGGGCGGTCAAGGATGGTTAAACATTCCACATGGCAAGGGCAGGGCACCTCATCCAGCTAGACTTCGACACACGGGGATGTAATTGTAATTTACTACTATAATAAGCCAAGCATGTCTGTGTGTCCCACGCGTGACGTCACTCCACGTCGGCCAGCCCCCCTCATTAATACTCATGAACAGGTGACGTCACTCCACATGTAACCCTCTCCCTCATTAAAAATCATGAGCAGGTGACGTCATTCCACATCGAACAGCCCCCCACATTAATAATCATGAGCAGGTGACGTCTTCCAAATGGACACACCCCCCCCCATTAATAATAATTAGCGGGTGACGTCACTCCACATGGGGGGGGGGGGGCGAGGCCCCTCCTCCCCCCTCGGCGTCAACTTACAATCCTCACTACAACGGCAGAACCCTCACGTCACGCGATCTCCGTCACGCTGTTGAGACATAGGAGTAAAAGTGACGTCATGATCAACAAGGGATTATAACCTTTAAATGAAATAGGTCTGTGTCACCGCGGCCTTACAAATTGCACACGAATTGATGCAATTAATGTATCACGTCGCGATCTGCTTTTCGCTTGCAAGTTTCAGATTTATTGAAATATAAACCCGCACGTGAACGGGCAAAAAGCGAGTTATATTTAATTTCCTAACACAATTAAATCACTTTCAAATAACATTTCATTTATAAAAATGCTCAAGATATTTTGCATGTACACGGAGTGTACAGATTTTAAAAAATTCCACACGGTATAAAAAGGTGATTAAGCTTAGCCTATTCCTGAAATTATAAAATAGTTTGTTTCACAAAAGAAAACTTCAAACAGTTGTATTTGATGCACGATTGTTTTAAAAAAAATCGGCCTCGAATGGAGATTTCTTAAATCTCGTAACAAAGAAATATAAGTGCTAGCTATTTGCTCAACGAAACCCAACAAAAGAAGACCGGTTTGCATGTCACTTTAACGATGACCTCGTGGAAATAATGAACAAAAAATATACAATGTAGCCATGACGAAAGAGGCACATTTAACTAAACATTTATGGTTGGACCAACAGCACTTTGCTCGTTTTGCACAGTTCATTAATTTGGTAAGCAATTGTGTGTACAATTCTTTCCACAGCTTCAGTTGTTCCTTGGACATTACTCGTTACTTTCTCATAACCACTCGCATTGATAATTACGGTGGCGAGATGTTAACGACCTCGTCCTGGTATACAGGAGGTAGTGGGTTCGTTCCCAACCCTGACGCCTGCTGTATATTTGAGTTCTCTACCCCTGGTCGCGTAGATTTTTTTCTGGGTCTTCCGTTTTTCACCACATTTAGAATCAACATCGTATTTGGCTGCAATACATTTCCACGTGATAAGCCACTTCATTGAGCTATCATTTGTGGCCAGGTCGCTTCTAAAAAAGACCTATATAGCTCAGTGGGCCTTACCTGGTAAAACAAAAATAGTTTCGTTAAAGTTTTTAGTTTAACGACTGTGGCTCAGTGGCAGAGCAAGCTGCTCGCAATCAGGGGGTTGTGACTTCAAATCCTGATTGGGGGTTCACTCAGCCCATTATCCCACTTGGTGCCATAAAATGGTACCACTTTGTGGAAGGTTGTCCTCTGGAATGACTCACCCTTGCCATAGAAATGTGGAATTCCCACCACTGGATCAAGGCTGTTTAAAAGGAGATGAGCAACGCCTCAATGTCCAATTCCCAATTGAGCAGGGAATCGCTGCTGAATTACTCGCCGTGTTACTGGTCACATTACAAATGCCCGATTCCAAAGAGCTCCAAAGATTGCGTGGCCACACGTCATTTAGGCCACAATTTCTTCAATAAGCGCATCTTGTGACCCAACGTACAAATTGTTTTATTTTTCACGTGAACCAGCACTGTCCGCGCATTTGCGAAGGACATAACTTAAGTGAAATGTAAGCGATGTGGATTTAGCGTGAGCGCTCTGCAATAATAAATGCATACAATTTGGCGCGATCTCGAGCAAGATGCACGTGTAAAGACACTGATAAGCGTGTTCATACCGCTGCAACGGGGGGCAGCAAAAGAGCAAGGGAGATGATTATTTTACATCTTTTAAATGGGTTTACTCTCCAACACACAACTGGTGTGCTGCACAAGTAACGGATTGGCATGTTTTGCTTAACGTGACGAATCTTACTAATTGGTTGTGTCAGGCGGTGGCGGGTTTAACGACACATTTATATTTATGCGATCTAACCCAAACAACCTCTATTAGAGAAATTATTTCATGGCCTGTTTTTCACTGACCAACTCACTTCAATCAAATTCACTTTCATCTGGGGTGAATTTCTTTTGCATCCATTACAAGCTATCATTTGTTCTGTCTAATAAGTGAATTTAAAATGCTACTTGAATAGACTTCAGTGTGCAACTCAAATTATTATCCAAAAAATATGAAATGCATGTTGGCAAAAGATGCTCAAAAATATCGCCCGTGGCTGCTTCATGCAAACGCCTGTTGGAAGTCGACTCAGCACTCCAGATGGCCCGTCTGCCGGGTCAGAAGGCACAAAGTCGCCCTTTCTCCGCAGACTTTCCGCTCCTGAGCGCAGCGGTAAATGCATCCATGAATTCCGTCGTCCAACCGAAGAACTGCTCAGAGTCCCGCTCAGTCGTTTCTCCAAACCTAACCTGCACGGTTAAACACAGTGCCACATTTCAAACGTTTTAACGGAGAATGTTGACAGTGAATGCCTCTTTATATGACATGCTTAGCTCTCGTACATTTTGTTGATGAATTTCTCTTTTTTCCTCAATTCTACCCCGACTTTGCAATTGGTGTCATGTGACGAGATGAAAATAGCCATTCGGAGCTCGTGCCAAGGAGTGTTAGGCAGCGACATTTGGGAGCGGATATCACAGATCTATTTTTTTAGATGCCTTCAAGTAATCTACGATCCACGCAATGAGGCAACACCTCCCCAACCGCGTTGCTAAACAGAATTATTCAGTGCGTGACAGACCGATGGTTTACATTCTGACGAGATGGAATATAGGCAAAACAAAATGCAAAAGCAAATTAAATAAGGGTGTTTTTTTTTTGTCAAGACCATCAACTCGCTAGTCTTGGGAAGCTTATCTAATTGCACGCGGCTGCTTGGATTTAAGTCCACGATGTCCGTGTTGTTGACTCGTTGCCCTGGCCTCTGAGCCACCCAGCTAGAACCTTCATTAAAACCATTCCAGTACCAGTTTGCTGGAAGTTCACTGTCAAACCAATATATATTTTGTTATCCATAATAGAGGTGTTTGGGTTAGATCGCATACATAAAAATGTATCATTAAACCCGCGAGGGATAACCGCAGGTGCAAAAGCACGAGAGACGTCTCACCATGAGAGCCGTGTACGATCTGCGCAAGTCACTGATCTGCGTCCCCAGGTCGTTGAGTTCTCCCTTAAACTTGTTGATCATTACCTGCAAAAAAGCGATGAACGTCACCACTGCGTGGTTAACTTTGTCTGCTGTACGTTAGCACAAAAATCCCCGGCGCACATGACCACGTGATCCCTGAAATTTCCACATTGCAATTGCACAATAACCGTATGGTGTTACACAATCTCAGGACAGTGATGTTACTGGCGATGGTCGTGTTGGGGATGGTAGTTATTGTGATGATGGTGGCGGTGGTGATGATGATGATGGTGATGGCGGGGCTGGTGGGGAGCATTTGCACAATTTTTGTGATGCACCATGACGCCTTGCACCTCGCAAGATACTGCCCCACTTCATAGAATACAATCTTTGATCATCCTGGACAGCCTCCAAACTTTAATGAAAATATTTTGTCGTGTTTTGTTGATGCCATTGCAGGATCTAAACCCTACATTAGACCGTATAGCCAATACCTCTGAAATATTAACTTCTAGCTGCTAAGTGTTAAAGGGCTTTTGTGCGTTTATGGTCTCAGCCCAATCTTCAATGATGGCACGAAAAAGTTGGAATGTAGAAATATATATAACTGAACTTAGTCGTGCCACACGGAGCTGTGAAAGCCCATACGTTGCGTCAGAGGTGGTGAAATTGACACTTGCCCCGCGTGGCTAGAGAATGAGTCTGGATGACGGGCAAGAAAAACAGCCGAGCGAGCGTTTGTGATATCTCGCTTTCTGGATGTACAGTACTGCCGAAGACATTTCAATGTTCTGTCCGTAGCAACAAAAAATTTACGAAAGACAATCCGGCTATTTATAGCATAAATACAGGAGGTCTTTAGAGGGTCAAACACCAAATGGACACCTGTCACAAGACATCGAGTTTGCATTAACCACACATACTTAAGGCAGAAGGAGTAAAGCCCGTTTTTATCATTCAATATCTTGATGCTGACAAAAAGGGTCCCATAGATACCATCCAGCTACCACAAGGTTGTTTGGAAAATGTGTGACGGGATCGGAGAAAACAATAGACAGCATGAAATAAGAGATGTGACATGACCCATGTGTACTGATCTTGACGAGGCAAGATCGTCGGTTGTAAATTAATTATCCATCTATGTCCCCCAGCTTCCGGTGTGAACGATTGCACGTTGCAGCGCTTGGAGGCAATCTACCTTGAGCTCCACCAAAAACTTGGTCTCAGACTCGCTCTTGAGTGACTTCTTGAGTGTGCCGTGGTACTGTTGGAGCTTGACCAGCGACTGCTTTAGCACTGCGGGCGGAGCGAAGACGCACAATGACTAAACATTCTAACCCTCCCTCCGTCTCCAAACAATAAGAGTGAATTCTAGATTTGAAGCTTTCGTGACTGCAAGGATTCATATTCTTACGGAGTGGTATCTCTTGTAATCTCTCATTTACTTGATACAGCTATCGTGCTGTGACGGTTCCACCTGAAGACGGAAGCTTGTGTTGCCTCCAAAACGTCGTGATTTTTATTTTATTTTTATTTTTCTTTTATTAATTTTAATTTTAATTTTTTACCTACGTGACTTTACCGAAAAAACCTAAGAATATGAATAAGAGTGAAATTGCCATATCCACACCTCACTTGTGATGATATAAACACAAGTTAATTACAGTGTGGCACATGCACTCCCTTTGTTCTGACCATTGTAAAAAAACAACAAAGCTATAGATAAACAACATAAGGGACTCCTCTCCTTTGTGAACATTCGACTTACCAACTTTCAGAGATACGAACAAGCCTGTCCGTATGTCATCCAGTTGCCCGTTCAGACCGAGAGTCGTAAAAGTTCAACCGCCACACAGTAGATGGCCGTGGTTGTTCGGTGTCATTACCCAGCATTCCCAGCATTTCCACCTGTCTGTTGTTGTTGTTGCATTGTCGCTGTGCGGTTCACTAGAACATTCTCTCTGCTTTTCACGAACATTATCAACCCCCATCGCGTCTCCGAAGCAGCGTAAGACTGGTGAAAGTTTTGAGGGTGGTCGGAAGAAGGGATGCACTATTATGATGGAAACTAAAGTAGACATTATAAAGCATTGTGAACCAGTGGCATCTACATCTGCAGGACGTGAAGAACCAGTTGCATCTACAGGAGATTATACAACTTTTAAGGCCATTCCCCGTGTTTAGTGTACACGTTGTACAACACGTTTGGAATCGACAGGAGTAAAGTTGGACTTACGAACAAAATCGACTTATGAAAGACCTCTGGAACCTAACTCGTTCGTAAGTAGAGTAGTCCTGTATATTTGATGAATGTTGCATCATACATTCAGAAATAAGTGAGACCGATTCATTATACTGAGTGACAATCTCTACGGTTGTGTTGGTCACAGGACACCGAGAAGTATGCGACAAAAAACCCCACAACGCACCTCTATGCAAGTGCTAACACGTTTGCCTTTGAAAGCCTAGAGTCAGGGCAGTACAATGAATGATTAAATCAGCCAAGGGAGCGCTGTCAGCGCGGCGTTGCGTAACGATTCTTCACTCACCGTCCATTTCTGCCGTGAGCCCCTTAATGGACGCTGTGGGAGAGATGATCGCAAAGAAATGAATGATCGCAAAACGTAAAATAACACGCGCAAGCCTTAACGCGGGCAACACGCCCAAATTAACGGACACCGCATAGACAGGCACAAAAAGGCGAGGCACATTTGCACGTGAACGTTATTCTCGTGGCCAATGCGTGGTTGCGTTTTTTTTTATTCGTAATAAAACACCTTGTGTTGTGTGTCCCAGCCTCCCTCGGTTTTTGCTCGCTACCCAGCGTTTATCCCGGAGAGTCTGTCTTAAAGCACGGGCGGCCAAACCGCGGCACCCAGGCAGCTCAAGTGCAAATCGACGGAGATTCAGCTAACGTGCAACCCTTCAACGTGGCTAGCTGAAAGAGAGGAACAACTCATCTATGGTAGCGGTAGCCAGACACGAGCGCTCACGGGATGCTCCCTTGGATTTCTAAATGCCAAAATTTCCACAGCCAACCGGCGGCTGCGTGACCACGCCCTACATTACCACCCCCGCAGAACCATCCCACGCGACGGAGATTTGACCTGCGGCTTCTTCTTGGTTCTTTCGGTAAAGTCACGAAGAAGGGGAATAATAAAATAATAAAATAAAACATAATAAAATCATTCTCACGACGTTTCGGCCACAACACAAGCAGCCGTCCTCAGGTGAAGAACAGGTCTGTCGGGAAGACAGCGTCTGAATGAAACACCCCAGGCTTGGAGCGTATATTTAAGCTGGGTTGGAGGGGGAAGAGCACCTTGACAAAAGTCGTGAGAATTATTTTATTATGTTTTATTTTATTATCTTATTATTTCTCTTCTACGTGACTTTACCGAAAGAACCAAGAAGATGAATCCCTGCAGTCACAAAAGCTTTAAATCGAAATTTAACCTGCGGCTCTCGGATATTTGTAGACTGCGGTAAGCCGAGCACGTTTGGCTACCGCCTTTGCTCTGTGCTCTAAACTCAGGATATCTGCCTTCGTCTCGGGCGCGTTGCGAGCACACCGTGCACTGACCAGTCGAGCCAGACTTGAGGCTCTGGAGCTCCTGGGCAAAGTCCAGGAGCTCTGGGCGATGCACCTTAATCTGCTCCACCAGGAAGCACAGCAGAGTGTACTTCCTGTTCTGGCCTTTTGTTTCCATCAGCTGCACTCAACAAAAACCATCAATATTAAAAAAAAACATTATCAACAACAACAATCGTGCAATCAATTCAAGATTTGTAACATGCCATGTTTCGGCCAACAGAAAATACATCTTTTGAGTCCGGTCTTAAAAGCACTGATTATCAACACCAACATCGTCATGATCATCATAAACCGTCATAATGATCATTCATAAGTGACATGACAGTGGTGGAAACGGGAGGGGGGGGGTCTGTGCCCCCCCCCACTTCATTTGGTTAAACGATGTGAGCAAGCGAGATACTTTAGCTCTTGTGAATGGGGGGTGGGGGTCATTATTTTAATCACGTTTAACAGCAGGAAGTGTTTGTTGTTATTGTTAATCATAATAATGCGTTATTTTTCACCGTTAAAGCCCGAGCTATTTTAAAGGGTGGGGTGTGGTGGCGCCGTCATCAGCACACTGCACTATGAAAGCAAGGCGGCTTAAGTTGGATTCTCAGCCACCGCTACACCATCAGTGGCGAGTGACGCAACAACAGTTGCAGGCACTGAGCAGCGTCATTCCATATTGCTCAAACAGCTCCTGTGAGTGAAGTGGCAGGGGGAAGCCTTCATCGAGAAGTGAATTAGCAAGCAGATATGACGATGATAGTAATAATGATTATTAGTGCATTCAAAGCGCCACTGAGTAGAGACACTTTATTTAAAACCAGATGAGAGCCTGCCGATGCTAAAAAGCTAAAAAGTTTCCTTTAAAGGAAGAACAGGAACGATGAATCAATGAGAGTGGTCCAAGATTTGAAATCACGTAAAAAAGTAAGTAAGTCCCTCCGGCGATCGCACTCTGCATTCAAAGCGCCACTGAGTAGGGACACTTTATTTAAAACCAGATAAGAGCCTGCCGATGCTAAAAAGCTAAACATTTCCTTTAAAGGGAGAACAGGAACGATGAATCAATGAGAGTGGTCCAAGATTTGAAATCACGTAAATGTAAAAAAAGTAACTAAGTCCCTCCGGCGATCGCACTTTTGCAAAGAGAATGTCAGCTTCACAATCAAAACGATTTGCAAACACCCCCAAAAAAAAGCCCAAGAACGAGTCCAGGACTATCGCAGCAGCCTCTGACCCGCGTACGAGTGGGCGTACCTTGGGCAGCGTCGAGAGGCAGAAGCCCTTGATGGGGCTCCGTCCGGCCGTCTCGTTGAGGCGGTTGCCCACGAGCAACACGTACTCGAGCACGCACGGGAACTTCTTGCTGGCCGCCAGCTGGGAGCAGCGCGAGAGCTGGTGCGCGACGAGCTGCGCAGTTCGGGAAACACGCCGACGGGCGCGCACACGTTGCGAACTCCGCGAGTCGTTTGGAAAATATCCGCGTTACATCTTCTTGGTTCTTTCGGTAAAGTCACGTAGAATGGAAATAATAAAATATTCTTAGGTTTCTTCGGTAAAGTCACGTAGGTAAAAATTTAAATTAATAAAAGTAAAATAAAATTAAAATCACGACGTTTCGGAGGCAACACAAGCTTCCGTCTTCAGGTGGAACCGTCACAGCCACGACAGCTGTATCAAGTACTTGATACAGGTGGAACCGTCACAGCCACGACAGCTGTATCAAGTAAATTTACTTATCAGGTAAATTTACTCTATCAAGTAAATGCTGCATCAAGTACTTGATACAGCTGTCGTGGCTGTGACGGTTCCACCTGTATCAAGTACTTGATACAGCTGTCGTGGCTGTGACGGTTCCACCTGAAGACAGAAGCTTGTGTTGCCTCCGAAACGTCGTGATTTTTTATTTATTTTACTTTTATTAATTTTTATTTTTTACCTACGTGACTTTACCGAAAAAACCTAAGAATATGAATCCTTGCAGTCACGAAAGCTTCAAATCTAGAAATAATAAAATAATAAAACATAATAAAATAATTCTCACGACGTTTCGGCCACAACGCAAGCAGCCGTCCTCAGGTGGAGAACAGGTCTTTCTCGACAGATGTTTCGGCCACAACGCAAGCAGCCGTCCTCAGGTGGATAACAGGTCTGTCGAAAAAGACCTGTTCTCCACCTGAGGACGGCTGCTTGCGTTGTGGCCGAAACGTCGTGAGAATTATTTTATTATGTTTTATTTTTATTATTTTATTATTTCCATTCTACGTGACTTTACCGAAAGAACCAAGGAGATGAATCCCTGCAGTCACGAAAGCTTTAAATCTAAATCCGCGTAGCATGCGCACGAATGACCAATGCATACGTCCGTAACAGGTATTTTTCATGTACTCGCCGACAGGACGAACATTGATAGGTCATTCGTTCCTCGACTGACCAACAGGACAAACATTGATACGTCATTGATTTCTGCACTCACCAACAGGATGAGCATTTAAACGTCGTTGAATATGTGCATTGAGGACACAGCGAATATGTTTTGAGTCAAAATAAGCTGCACGCGATCAACTATATTCAATTAAAGTGATAATCTGGAGGCTACTGTAAAAAAACACAATGTATTGATCACGTGACAATTCCATTTAGGAAAAGGTGTGTTTACTCAACTTAATTAAAAAAACAGGGCAATTTTTATTCTAATAATTTGTTCTTTTTCATACTATTTAATGAAAACCCAGTGGTAAGTCATAAAACATGCTCAATCGACCTGTTCTAAAATATGTTTAAATTCACTCGCTAAATGTCACCGAAGGATTTACGATCGACACACCGGTGGCTCCCTTGAGCGTTCCTCCCTCTAGCCAGAGGCGCGAAGCCTTCTCATTGAGTGTCCCCTCGGCGTCGGTGTGTGGTCACAGTGCTCGCCGGCTCTCGTACCGGTTTCAGCTCCCTGATCTGTCCCGGGAACTCACGAACGATCATCAGCAGCTCCAGTCTCTCGCCAAGGAAGGGGATGCTGCACATCTGTCGAAAGCACAAACACGCACGCACGAAACAATGCGCAGAGACAAAAAGTCTTGCCCCAACTGCCTGCAGGGAGCCAAGTGTGTGTCTATGTTTGTTCGTTGAACTTCTTTCGCACCGTACGTAGCCAACCTTGCTCATCGCAGAGTGTTTGTGAGTGAGGCTACGTGGAAGTCGTTTGATGGCAAAATGATTGCCATTCACCCTCCGCCACCCAACAAGATTATCACGTTTCGGATATTATTATTGCAACGTCACGCCAACGTGTTGATCAAATTTTGACCGATAAAAGCTCCAACTTATGAATTTTTCACGAGTGAATATTTCCGTTGGATTTCTTTGGTCCCAGGAAACGTCCTGTGCCACGTCGCTGCTCATCTCCGCCCGTCGGATGGGACAAAACCGACAGGCCACATGGGCCCGGCCCCTGGGGCCTGCGGTTCCCGTGCGCCGTACGTAGCCAATCGTGTCAGTTCGTGTTGCGGAAAAGGGCAGTCACGAGCGAACCTCCAGCATGTACTGGTCCACCTGGTGCAGGGCTGCTCGTCGCTTCACGTGTGGCTTGTACATCTCCACGTCTTCCGCCGTCGGCACGAATCTGTGACCAGCAACCGGGCGGCAGCAGGCGGCACCGCCGTCAGCGCGGTTATCGGTACGACCGCAGGTATCGCAAGCCACCTGCTTGCCACTGTGACCACGATGGGCGTATCCATTCGCTCAAGTCTTTTATCTTCTCACTTTGTTATATTATTTTAGGTTCGTAATATTGTGCTTTTTTGGTTTGTTAATTCAAATCGGACTTCTCCATTTCGAACGACAGTTTCACATCAAGCAACCCGCCAGAATGCCTTTAATGAACCCGACTGTCAGGAGACTCGGAATGTTTAAACAGATCCGGGTGTTTTTTGCTTTGGCAAATGCGACTCGAAAATACTGGTCCATAGGGCCTATAGATAGACTAATTGTTTTATTTTTTACTTGGTCAGACAAACACTTATTTACTTTTAATACAGATCTGCCACCAACCAATCCTACTCCATACGGGGTGGATATCTAGTCCCTTGGTATGGATCACGTGGCCTGCAATCAATGGTTGGTGGATCAAACAAATGTCCATAAAGCTCACGTAGGTAAAAACATTAAAAAGTAAAATAAAATAAAAAAAAATCACGACGTTTCGGAGGCAACACAAGCTTCCGGAAGCTTGTGTTGCCTCCGAGACGTCGTGATTTTTTATTTTATTTTACTTTTTAATGTTTTTACCTATGTGACTTTACCGAAAAAACCTAAGAATATGAATCATTGCAGTCACGAAAGCTTCAAATCTAGAAGTTCATAAAGCTCCCTTCCCGTGAGCTTCGAGGTGCCATGCCATGACTTGCCAGGAGAAGGCAGTGGACTAATCGCCATCTGTTTTCATCTGTACGGAGATAAAGCCTTTCCCCCTTTGCTCATGTAATTTTATTTCGGTTGCGCTGTTTTCTTTCCCACACTTATAAATGCTCACTAATTGGCTAAAAAATCCCATCTTAAAATGAAAAAAACAACCCCATGAAGGACCCTCTTTAAAACGAGTCTTACAACTCAGTGTGGCTTCCATGGATTAATAAGTAAATGATTATTATAGATAATTATCGTTATTGAAACTAATCTGAACTCATATCTCAGAAAATCAGTGGGAGTTTCTGAAACCCCATGAAATGTATATGGTGACATTTCTGGTAACTTTTATATAATCGATACCATGGCGCTTTGCTTCTCTCTAGTTGAAAACAAAAAGTTACTCGCGTCTTTAAAATGAAAATTACTAGTGCCGTGTCCGACAAACTGATTCCATGACTAACAATTGTTTTGTTATGTATATAATACACTAAACGAAATGATGTTAATTTTACCAGTTAAGGCCCACTGAGCGATATAGCTCTTTTTTAGAAGCGACCTGGCCACAAATAATTGCTCAACGAAGTGGCTCATCACGTAGAAATGTATATCAGCCAAATACTCTAAACGTGTGATGTTGATTCTAAATGTACTCGGGAAAACCGGAAGACCCGGAGAAATATCCACACGACCACGGGGAGAGAGACATGCAAACTCCACGTATACAGCAGGCGTCAGGGTCGGGATTGAACCCACGACCTCCTGCATAGCAGACGAAGCAGTCAACATCTCGCAGTGCCCCAGGGCGGAGGAGGACCAGGGTGGTGAGAGCCTCTCACCGCCGCAGTTCCGCGATTTGCTCGTCCGTGATTCCCGTTTCCAAGTCGCCGCGAAGGACGAGCAGCTGCTCGCGGAGCTGCGCCGGCTGAACTCGGAACCCGCGCAGAAAAATGCCTGCGCGCGCAACGCAGACACACACGCCCGTCGCCCTGAGTATTATACACTCAGTTTAACACGTAGGCTTTCGCGACCAATATTATTCATAATCAACGTTTTTGGGTTTAGATCGCGTTATTTATAAATGTGTCATAACCCTCCACCACCCGACACGGCCAATCAGTAAAAAAGTGTCACGTTGACAAAAGACAAATAGTTCACTGCTTTAGCCCACCACCGGTGTGTTGAAGCGTGAAACCACAACATTTACAATTTGAGTACGACGTTTCGCTGGTAATTGCATCCAGCATCATCGGGCAATTCGCCATTCGTTGATTATGAATATTATACACTCGTTGGCCGCTTGGAAACGACGTCGTCTTAAAATACTGAGGGCCGCAGAGCTTGAGCAAATGTTTGCGCTGCATCGCCGGCTGGCTGCCACTCCTCCGCCTGTCAGTGATTGATTCTAGATTTGAAGCTTTCGTGACTGCAAGTATTCATATTCTTAGGTTTTCGGTAAAGTCACGTAGGTAAATTTTTTTTATAAAAGTAAAATAAAAATAAAATAAAAATCACGACGTTTCGGAGGCAACACAAGCTTCCGTCTTCAGGTGGCACCGTCACATCACGATTGCTGTATCAAGTAAATGAGCGATTACAAGAGATACGGGATAGTATCTCTTGTAATCTTTCATTTACTTGATACAGCTATATTTGATCTCTCAAAAACAGACCTGGTCTTCACCTGAGGACGACTGCTTGTGTTGTGGCCGAAACGTCGTGAGAATTATTTTATTATGTTTTATTTTTATTATTTTATTACTTCCCTTCTACGCGACTTTACCGAAAGAACCAAGAAGATACATTAAACCCATTGGAATTTCTTATGCCAGAAAAAGTGTGTTGACCAGTGTTATCATTTGCAGACTTGAACTCAGGCTGTGGCTGTATGTGCTCGGAGGGGAACCCCCTCTGCTGCTTTGGCATCTCAGGTGCGAGAAGTCCCCTTGCTCAAGAAGGCGTATGATGTGCCTTGCAGAGAAATAGGCGAGACATCAGAATTGATTGATGGCAAGGCAGGTGTTCATATTTTGTCTCCCACGTTGTTCAATGTTGTGCTTGATTATGTGTACATGGGGAGCGGTAGTGTAGCGGTTAGCGCTACGCTGCGCTATGAACCCGGCGACACGGGTTCGATTCCCGCTCACGGTCAACACCAGTGACGATTATCTGAACCGGTCCCGGGCCTCCCCTAGGTCGACTCAGCCTCAAATGAGTACCCGGTGCGGTGTGTAAACATCGCCACTGGGGAGACAAAGGCGGTCGGGCGTGGTGCTGGCCACCCACCCCCTCGTGTACCGTTCCGGCCTTCATAGGTGCTCGCTAACAGAACTTGCCACTACAGTCTGTTAAGGCTACACAGGGGGATCTTTGATCTTTGATGAACGTCACCAACGGGGTTAGAGCACAGCGGTGCAACCGGTTTGTTTGGCTAGAATTCCGGCTGGAGCTACTCAGCTGCCTAAGGTACTGACGCCGGCAATCGGGTGTTAAGATGCAAGCTTCGACAAAGTGAGTGGCAGTAGTTAGAAACGGCACTCTTGCATTCGGTTCGCAAGCCACGATAGGAGGCGATAAGGTTGAGGCGGTGATAGACTTTGTGTACTCGGGCAGTAATGTCCATAATGCAGAGACAAGTCTGAGTGTAATTGAAACTGGTATTGGAGGCAGGAGAGCCATTTGCTTTACCGCGTGGAGGAGAGGGTTGGATGCTAAGCAACTCAAACAGGAAGTCGTCGGCAATTTGGGCCACAGGTGTCCGCAACGGATTCGAGGAAATTTGTGGCGAGATGTGAAAGCCGATGAGGAAGTCAAGAAGATAGCATGGCAGGTGAGGGGTTGCAGATACGATCAGACAATAACGATACGCTGGGTGGGACGTGTGCAGGATCGGGGAGGGCCGATTGCCGAGGCAGGCGTTGGACTCGTCTCCACGAATTCTTTGACCACGAGGAAGACCTCTAAACGGATGGAGCAGCACTCTTGGGACTGCTCTCGGAAGTCAGGGGTCTACTGTGCAGCAGCAGCAGCACACACACCAAAAACACCACACACCACCACAAACACCACACACCGCACACATACCCCACGCATAGCCACACACTGCACGCACCGCACACCACCGTGTGCACCGCACACACCACGAGCTGGAATTTGGAATCCCCTCCCCGGCGTTCCCGTTGTGTTTGAGTTTGGCACCGCCGGCCACACTTACAGAAGTTCTGCGCCACCTTGGAGTTCAGCAAGATCTGTGCCGTTGGCTGGGATGTGGAGATGATGGGCACCTGCACTGTCTCCAGACGGAAGGCATCCCGAAGGCGGACCAGGTCCAGCGCACCAACGTCCCCGCGCATCTGAGCCCACATGGACTTAGCGATCTGTATGGACACACGCGTCCGTATCAGCGAGTGTGCGCGTGTATGTTGTTTGGGAGCGCACGAAGTGCATCTGCCAGCCATCTCAGTCAGTCAACCCATGGCACCTGGGGGGGTTTGTTCCGTGACCACCTGCCAGTGAGCCTTGGACACTTCACGTGGCATCAAAGTTCACCAAGCATGGCATGAGCACCATGGGTGATGTCATCGCCACTTCGTTGCAAACAGCAGTGGGGAGCGGTCGTGTAGTGGTTAGCGCGCTGCGCTACCAACCCGGCGACCCGAGTTCGATTCCCGCTCACAGAAAAACCAGTGATGATTACATATCTGAACCGGCAATCGGCCTCACCGAAATCAACTCAGCCTAAAATGAGTACCTGGTGCGGTGTGTAAACATCGTCACTAGGGAGACAAAGGCGGTCAGGTGTGGTGTCGGCCACCCACCCCCTCATGTGCCGTGCCGGCCTTCATAGGTGCTCGCTAACAACACTTGCCTCAAGAGTCTGTTCAGGCTATATGGGTGATCTTTATCTCTGTGTGTATGCAGTGGTGGGGAGAGGTAGCACGCTGCACTACGAACCCGGCAACCTGAATTCGATTCGTGCTCACGGCCAACACCACTGATAATGATCTGAACCAGTCCTGGGCCTCCCCTAGGTCGACTTAGCCTCAAATGAGTACCTGGTGCGATGTATAAATATCACCACATGGGAGACAAAGGCAGCTGGGTACGGTGCTGGCCACCCACCATCTCGTGCGCCATGCTGTTGATATGAATGACGCTGCATAAAATGAAGCTATTATTATCGTTATGCTGGCCTTCATAGCTGCTCGCCAACATCACTTGCCCCAAAAGTCTGTCCAGGCTCTATAGGGGACAATTGGCTTCGTCGTGGCCTGGGAGTTGGCGACGCGGTGTTTCACGCCGCGGGTCAACGGCCCCCAGGGAGGCGGCGTCCAACTCCTGCCCGGGGACAGCAACGGGGCGGCGACGCTCGCACCGAGGCCTGCGCGCGTCCCTCACCCTGTCGGACTGCACGGGGTCCCAGTGCAGCGCCTTGGTCCGCACCACGTCATCGGCCCGCGGCTTTACGTAGAACACCGGAGGCGGCGGCGCGACCGGGGGCAGCCCGGGCGCGGCGCGCGACGGGACGATGGCGGGCGCGTCCCGGGGCTCGTTTGGCTTGAAGCAGGAGAAGAGCGGCGTGTCCGGCTCGTCCGGGTCCTGGCTCCGCGCGCCGCCGCCGCCGTCGCCGTACGGCGGCTCGACGCCCGGAGCGCGGTCACTCCGGTACGCCGCGGGCGTGCCGGACAACAGCTCGTCGTCCGAGCTCGGCGCTTCGGGAGTAGCCGAGCCTGGCGCGCCGTTTGCCGAGCTTGCTTCGGGAGCCGCGTTCCCGGCCGCCGCCGGGATCTTCAAGCCGCCGTCTTCGTTGCCGCGGACGGGATCGGCGGGCGCCGGAACTCCGGGACCTTCCCCTGCGGGCGGTGCCGCTGGGGGCGCGACCGTGCTGCCGGTGGCGGCGTCGTCGCAGACGGGGGCGGAGGCGGGGGTGCAGTCTTGTGCGGAGGCGTTTGTCGAGGTGTGAGACATCCGTTTGTAGCCCCGGCACACGGACTCGATCTCGCGCACCCAGTGGTCGCGCTCCTCGGCAAAGTCATCGCGGTGCGCGCTGTTCAGAGCCAGGCGAAATCTGCCCCCACCAGAAAAGAAATCAATCTTCACGATAAAAATTGCCGCCATTAAACTTCTTTATCGATTGAACGCGGGATAAAGGACTATGTGAGTTATCGGGGTCGATGTGGCTTGGTGAAGCGAGGACACACCCAAGACCATTTCAAATATCGCTCGAAAACAACCCATGGTGCCATTGCTGGGAATTAGGGCTGCGATTGACAATGGGCTGTACATTTTGTGTAGATATGACATCTTGAATAAGTAATAACCTCATTAGGCGAGAAGCGTTATACAAGATTTTACATGCTTCCAAAGACTCCATTTGTCCCCCATTTATTACCTGGGTTTGGAATAATTTCACAGAATAGGATTACTAAATTACAACCTTGAATTTAAGCGGAATTTAATGAGAGTTCGTACATTTCAGTCCACAGTTGTGGAGGTGAGGCAGGTTACTCGAGCAGGTGCTGCGACCAAGGGATGGCGAGATAGATCGACAGACAATCAAACTAAGTCTCCTAACTCCACGTATACAATCACAACAGTGGGGGGGGGGGGGGGGGGCACACTACACTAAACACATTTTTCTTTACCAGGTAAGGCCCATTTGAGCTGTATAGCTATTTTCAGAAGCAACCTGGCCACAAATGATCGCTCAACGAAGTGGCTTATCACGTGGAAAATTATAGCAGCCAAAAACTCTAGAACGCGTGATGTTGATTCTAATCTTGGAGGGAAAAAGCGGACGACCATGGAGAAAAATCCACGCGGCCATGGCGAGAGAGAGCAGGCGAGAGAGTTAACATCTCGCAACTACGGCGCCCCACGTTACAACACACGGGGAATGCACGCGCGCGCGCCGCCACTGCCCTACGTGTAGAGGTTCTTGTTGGTGGACACGCAGAAGGAGTCGGCCAGGCTGTCCGCGTAGGCCTCCACCCCCGGCGTGGACAGGTGCACGATGCACGGAGCCACGCAGACCTCCGGGGGGGCTTCTCCCGTCAAGGCGGCGAGCTTCCCCAGGTTTCCCTGCCGCCTTTCGCTCGGGTAGAAGCTCAGGTCTGACCGAGACAGCTCCAGCCACACCCTGCACGCATTCCCAATGAAGACGATGACAACGTCGTCTTGGTTTTTTCGGTAAAGTCACGTAGAAGGGAAATAATAAAATGATACAAATAAAACATAATAAAATAATTCTCACGACGTCCTCAGGTGAAGAACAGGTCTGTCGGAAAGACGCTTTCCAACAGACCTATTCTTCACCTGAGGACGGCTGCTTGCGTTGTGGCCGAAACGTCGTGAGAATGATTTTATTATGGTTTATTTTTATCATTTTATTGCTTCCCTTCTACATGACTTTACCGAAAGAACCAAGAAGATGAATCCCTGCTGTCACGAAAGCTTTAAATCGAAACGATGACAACGATACAGAGTTTAGTTTTTTTAAATGGCCCGCGTGATCGCATTTGCTGCCGTCGCTTCCGGCGTCTGTCTGCGTGATGCTTTTTGTTGTCCTTCCCGCGCACCTCCGATGAACATGCTTACGTACGTACATACGTGGCAGCAGTCCGCTGTGTCAATGGGACAAAGTTTTGACGATCTGAATGTATTGTGTAAATATATATTTGCAAAAACACAATAATACCCTGAAAAAATTTACCGTCTGACGCATGTAGTGATTTAAACACTGTTTACATATTTCACCATTGCGTCAAGCCTGTTGATCCAGGAAAGCCTCACTGGGTATTGCGTCATCGGCCCACGGCTTTGCGTAGCTGTCCCCGGTCGCGGCGCGCGACGGCAAGTTTTCAGAGCATGGGGACGATAGATTTGAAGCTTTCGTGACTGCAAGGATTCATACTCTTAGGTTTTTTCGGTAAAGTCACGTAGGTAAAAAAACAATAGAAATAAAATAATAATTAATTAAAATACATCTTGATACAGTAAATTTAGCTGTGACGGTCCCACCTGAAGACGGAGACTTGTGTTGCCTCCGAAACGTCGTGATTTAATTGATTTATTTTCATTTGTTATTATTTCATTCATATTGTTTTTTACCTACGTGACTTTACCGAAAAAACCTAAGAGCATGGGGACGATGACTGCCACGTATATTCCAATTGAGTCATTAGTGGGTAGGTTTTCATAGTTGACAAGGCTAGGCAAACGATGCCTGCACACAATGACCTACACTTGCAAATGTTCATATTTCAAGGGAGACTTGTGATAACGGTTGGTACCAGAGGAAAAACACAAATTCACAATGTTCAAAGGTAATTGTTACGTGTAATAAACGAAACGCTTGGAACTGTAATGAACACAAAACCTTTAACAAAGTTAAAAATTTCGATTTAAAGCTTTCGTGACTGCAGGGATTCATCTTCTTGGTTCTTTCGATAAAGTCATGTAAGAAAGAACCAAGAAGAAAAAAAGTTGAAAAACTCACACAAAACGTAGTTTGACAACAAATATGCGACCGCCAACCTCAAAACAATTCACACAAAGCCGCTAAAACGTCAGCAGAGTTCCTTCGGCGAGAATTGAAACGAGCATTGGAAATGAACGGGACGTAAACGCTGCTCACCTCACCCACTTTACCGAAGCCAAGCCTCCCTTTCTCAGCAGGGCCTCCCCCTCCTTGACCACCCTAGCACTCGTCGGGGGTTCGGCACCGGGCAAAGTCGCCTCTTGCTCCTGGCAGAGGGCCTTGTTCTGGTTCAGGATGAGGTGGGCGAGTCGCAGGATCTGATGGACGCGCAACGGCAAGTTTTAACAAATGGAACTGTCACGTGGCCACAAGGTGTGCTGGCGTGTTGCTGTGAGCCAGAACTTTATGGGTGAGGGCTGGTGGGTTAAGTAGTTTGTGTAAAACTCAAAAATGCACTGGGGCTGTGAGAGGTGACCACAAAATAGCAGTTCCATACATCGTAGAGAATTATCGATTCGTGCGTACACTATTCAACGCATTCATTGTGACCACAGGAATTCGATTTTAATCCACGAATCGGTACCCCCCTGCCTACCCGGCGCCCACCGAGAGCTTAAAAATTCCAGACATGTCTGTCCGGGTCAGCGACCTGGAAAAAACATTTCCACACCCGGCGCACAAACGTCCAGTTTACCTCTCGCTACGGCCGTGGCTACTACTCAAGTCCCTTCTACTCCCAGCAGCATCGAGTCCACTTCCCACCAAGTGCCGCCACCACCAGGCATGGCTGGGAATTACTTGGCGGAGGGATCAAGCCCTGTGGCAACCGAATAAGTATAACCCGTAAAAACAAAGTTTTTCACTATAAATCCTTTATATGCGTGGCGGCTAGAGTCCTCTCGTCCTCTGGCTTGAGATGGCTGCCACCTATGGGTCAGATGATTGCATTGGACCATTAAGCAATTGGTAATTAAATATAATATTTTTGTCCTAAAAAGTGTAAAATTTTGGAAAAAATTCACGAACATTAATTGTCACGCACAACGAGTCTGTGTGCAAAATGTAAGCTCGATTGGATCACGGGAAGTGGGTTAAAAAACAACCGAAAGATTTGCACGGTCCTAAGCAAGCAAGCGAACTTAATATAAAGGATTAAAGAAGAGAGACGCGGGTACCTGGGCCTTGTCGAAGTCGGAGGTGATCTCGAGCTCGTACTCGTGGTGCTGCGTGAAGTACAGCGTGAGGCGCAGCCCTTCCTGGCCTTCGCACGACTCCAGCTCGGCGAACGGGAAGCGCTTGTGCACAGCGCCCTTCGAGATGTTGCACAAGACCTTCTCGGAGAAGTCCACCTGGGGCGGGGTGGAGGGCGGGGGTTGGGGTGGAGGGGGCATCGGGTCGCACCCACGGTGAGAGAACGTCGCCGTCAACCGTCGCCGTCGTTTAGTCACTGTTTTATGTTTTAGCACGGGTTGGCTGCGTACGGCGCACGGATACACGTGTGTACGTATGTTGAACTTCTTTCGCACCGTACGTAGCCAACCGTGATAATCGGAAATGCGGGGAAAGGGCAACAAACTTAACACAAAAGCAGTTCTAAGGAAATTCGTTTTCAAGAAAGATTTAAAAGTGTACAGCACCAATAGCTGCCTAATATCGGAAGAGCGTTCCAGATGGCTGCAGAAAGGAGCTCATCATTCATAAATGCTTCTGCAGTGCTTTTCATTCACACAGTCCTTGACGATACAATCGACGCGAAGCTCAATCTTACCGAGGTAGAACGATCCACGCACACTCTCGGATCACGTATTACTGCCCCCAACATGCGCTCGACTCTCACGAGTATTTATTTATTTATTCAGCCCCGAGAGTGACAGCGCTCGCACCAGCGGCTAAAAGAAGCCGTCGTATGGCCGTAAGCCGCGATGAGACAATTGGGCTCAGATCGTGGCTCTTCTGGACAGGGCCACGACTTATTTTTTGCGTCGGTCTGTGTCTCCAAGTTCAAGAAGGCCCCTTGACCAATTTGGTTGGTGTCCTATCGGGTAAAGCCTTAATAGCAACGTGACAGGCAGACAGAGCTAACGTACAGACGCTTTCAAGTATAACGAATCGAAACAAAAATGCAAACAGGCTATTAGCGAGCACCTATCAATGACGGCGTGGTGCAAGCGGAGGTGCTGTGGCCAGCACCAGAGACGGCTTTACATATTGGTCTCCGCCTCACTTGCACCGTGTACTCATTTTGAGGCTGAGCTGATCTAGTGGTAGCCCAAGTCAGGTTCAGATACCAAATGCCATTGTTGCGGTGCTATTCGATGCTCCGCCTTCGTGAATGCGTTGAGAAAGAACGTCCTTCCACCTGTAGGATCCTCTTCTGCCGCTGCCGGAACTTGTTGTATTTGTAAACATTGAAGTTGTACACGTCACTTTCTCCCACCTGGCGGGGAAAACGGACACGTTCGCTGTGGTGAGCACGCCGGCGTGGCCAAGGGTGAAAAAACAGCGAAGGTACGACAACATCCTCGATAAGATCCAACATTCCACCGCACAGACTGTTGAGGCAAGTGCTGTGGGCGAGTGTAACTTATGAAACTGGCACGACACGAGGTTGTGGTGGCGGTGCGAGACAGCGTTTGCGTGCTTGTTGATTACAGCCAGCGACGTATTTGCGGCCTGTGCATCTGCACCACTGCCACGGCAGTTCCTGAGAAAGCCAAAATGTGCGTCCATAATCGTCATCGTCATTTCAAGTTGTAACTTGCCGCACGGTATTCACTCGCTCTCAAGAGGTGCGAGGTGGAACCGTGGACGAAGTGGCAAGGTCGGGCAACGAACCGCCGCCAACTACTGCCCAAGCTCTGCAATCCTGCATCTATTAAGGCTGATCTTTGTACAAGTGTTAATAAACACGCACACACAGACATAGATCATGAACAGACATGAACCCCTCCAGCAATGAAAAATTATAGGAGCTAGTAAGTAAGGACTTGTCCCTTGATTTTTATTCAATGCGTGTGCGGCGATGGCGCAGCCATCGATTGAGGGTCGAATTCGAACCGCGTTGTGTGATCGGCATCGCGCTCGCTGAAGGTGAATGCCTTCAGGGAAGTCGTGTACTGTGTACGCAACTGCGCACAATTCTGCGAGTCACTTATAACCGCTTTGCCGTTACTTATTACCAATTGTGGACTCAGACTATTGTCCTATCATCTCATAGAGTCCCTGGCACCTAATAATATGTTTCACAGTAGCAGTGGCGGTCGCAAAATGCCGATTTATTACCAATAAACCCCAATGATCCATTCGAAATTAGGGATTTCGATCAGATCATTGGGGGGCCACGTGCCACCCCCCCCCCCCCCCCCACTATCTCCGCCAGTGACAGTAGGTAACTGTGTTGATATGTGTTTTGTTATTTCCTATAGTGATAACATGTGGACGTGAAGAAGGCACTGTTGACGGACAGAATGCTTTCTCCCTGATCATTATACGAGGACCCACGCGTGTGAGAAACACCGTAGCGAGTGGAAGAAAAAAAAACACACACAATGTAATTGTACGGTACAGCTTTGGGGAAATGAACGGCGTGCAATTTTTTGTATGACCTTTAAGACGGAAAAATTAAAAGGTGTGGGGCGAGCGCAGCGACCGCTTTCACCAAGCGACGGCCGACCTGCCGCAAGCCCCAATGAAGACGGGAAAAAAAAACAACGTGCCCATGCGGAACAGCGTGGGAAGCTTCTCCCGCCACTCTTAAAAAATAAAAAAAACTATTTAATCGAACAGACGGTTCAGGTAGACACAGAGAGAGGCCACGCGTGGGAATTGACACCCAGCAAAGACGCAATGCAAAGTGAAATTATTATTATTAAGGAACGGGAGGACTTGACAAATCTGGCTGTCCGCCTGATGAAGCTCGTTGTAATTACTGGCGAAACGTCGTACTCAGATTGTAAATGTTGTGGCTTGGCTCTCCAACACACCGGTGTGCTGTACTAGTGACGAATTGGCATGCTCTGTTTACGTGACAAATCTTACTAGTTGGCTTTTGCGGGTTTGACGACATATTTATTTACGCGATCTAACCCAAAAAAAACCTGTATCATGGATGAAATAAGCTGTGAAAGCCTACGTGTTAAACATTATTAGAATTATTATTTACCAACGGTTCATGTTTTGAACCTGTCTGTGCCATGTGTTTCAATAAACTGTGCATCACTGGGGTCTACTTCCTTAACTCGGATAATCCTCTAGGGGAAGGACTGGGTGGGGGAAGGAGGAGGAGGAAAAATAAAAGGTGGTGGGGGTGAAGGGGGCGTCTGAATGCCCGAATTGGATGGCCATTAAATCAATGCCCACAGGAGGGAGAAGCCGTGCCGAGGTTCCAAGTTTGGTGATGTGCTTCGCTGTTCTAGAGCGGCTATTTTTGACAATGCATTGACCAGTGATGGGGGGGGAGCAGGCGAAAGAGGTGGGGGGGAGGAATGTCTCCACGTGGTTTAAACAACAACAACAACAACAAAAGCCCGTTGACCATGTCAGTCGCCTTGTTGTCCTGCTCCAGGCCGTTGGCCATCCGCACGGCTTCCTCCACCGTCAGCTTCCCCATCTTGACGGCCTCCAGCAGCTGGATCTGTTCCTCGTTGTTCAGCGGATGCTATACAACAACAACAACAAAAACACGCGCGAAAAGCATGCACGTGTGTCAGTTACAATCAGAGGTCGCAACCGGGTACCCGATATCCGTACCCTACCCGATACCCGGCTACCCGTACCCAGTCGGGTATGGGTACGGGTAGCCGTTTGCGACCCTGGTGCGGCCGGGTACGGGTACGGGTAGGCCGTGAGTCACTGGTGAGTAGCCGTTTGTCACTCATTTCGGGTAGGGTACGGGTATGGGTAGGGAACGGCTACCGGTACCCGGCCGGGTATGGGTACGGGTACCCATTTGCGACCCTGGTGCGGCCGGGTACGGGTAAGGAATCAAAACCCGTTTGCGACCTCTGATTACAATGCAGGGCGAGAAAGAGAGAAAACAAACATCAGGGTCTGGACTGAGCGGTGTAACCATTTGGTTTTTAATCATGGCAGCCATCGGACACAGTTAATGGGCCACATGAGACCGTGTGGCGTTTGAGTTGTACGGAAACGATCGTGCTTTTTTTCTTGTTCGATCAAAGGATTTCCTTTGGAGAGCTCACTATGCACTTTAAACAATTGTGTCACGTGCACATATTTTTGTTGTATTCATTTTTTTTCAAACATAGGGCCCCATTAGTCAGGAACAGCGAAACAGTTCTCAAATCACTCCTTTGAGGAGGAATAGCAGTCATTCGAGTGAGGGCAGTATCACGTGGTGAATTCCCACCTCAGCAACCACCTTACATTTAATAAGAATACCGTTGCTGATCATGATTGCTATTGGATAATAACTTTCATTGCTTACGAATACGCAAGATGTGCCACCCGAGATGTCCCATTTTGTCCTTTTAATTCAATGCAGTGGGGCCCCTACCGACTCATTAGGTCATTGTTTTAACATCTTAGAGCCAGTTGTTGATTAAACGGGTGGCGACATCCTGCGGTTGGGCGTTCAACTGCTCGTTGCACGGTTCAAATCCAGCGGCCGCCCTGATTAATACAGCCGATGTATTAACCGCAATCAAATCAAAACAATCAATGCGCCACCTGCATCGCAGTGGACGTCAAAGATCCCGCGATGCATTTCGCAAAGAGTCGGCCATTGTGCGCCAGTCTCACAGTTCACATTTTCTAAATGGGAACATTCGAGATATCTCGTTTCCAACCCCCCCACCCCACCCGAATGGCGAATCACAGCTCGCGAAATTGTTGTTGCAGTTATCTGATTTCCTTCCAACTTGTCTGTGGTTTCCTGCCTTACTGAACTGGATGTATCGAATGACCCCCCTCGTTAATAAATGTTCCGATATTCTGAAAATATTTGGGTCACCTATTGACTAGCTTTACTACCCAGCTTCGCCCGGGACTTGGATTCACCACGCCGGGCCGCTTTTGTCTCCCCAGTGGCGATGTTCACACACCACAGCAGTTACTCGTTTGAGGCTGAGTCGACCTAGGGGAGGCCCAGGAGCGGTTAAAATAATCGTCACCGGCGGTGGCCGTGAGCGGGAATCGAACTCGGGTCGCCGGGTTCGTAGCACAGTGTCGCGCTCACCACGACACTACGATGCGTTACGCTTCCACATGCGTGGGTCCACGTGACAGATTTGACGTCACAGCTCACTTGCTGTGCAAAAACTAAGATGCATTATTGAGCTCCCCCCACCCCAAAAAAGTTTTTATTTTTGCATGGTGTACAGTCTGGAAAGTACCCTAAATGGCAAATTTCCAGTTTGTTGCATGTCGGGAAGTACGCTAAACATTTTGAACAGACACACATACTCACAACTTTTTCCTTTTATAGAAATGGAGATTGCATCACCATGCAGGCACATACTGAGTTCAACGAAGACGTACCTTATTGCGCTTAGACATCGCGTCCCCGTCAGTTCTGAGCTGCAGCTCCAGCCTGTGAGTCCTCTACCCTGAGCGGCGTGTGAAGACGAAGCGACCGGCACGACTGCAGCATCACAAAGAGAAAGATATCCGTGTAAAGTCCCGTGCAAAGTCACGTGCAAAGTCACGTAGGTAGAACAATAAAATAAAAATTTACTAAAAGTAATAAAAAAATATTTTATTTCTATTATTACATTTAGTAATTTGTAATTTTATTGTTCTACCTACGTGACTTTACCCAAAAAAATACCTAAGAGTATGAATCCTTGCAGTCACGAAAGCTTCAAATCTAGAATCCCCCGTGTGATTCCAAAGACGTCACACGAGGAGGTGGTGAGGCCAGGACCACATTCAGCCACTTTTCTTTTCGACCGAGGGAAAGCCCAGGACTGGTTTTGATATCACTTGGCACTGGTGTTATCAGTGGGTGGGAATCAAACTCAGGTCTCTGGGTTCGTAGCACAGGGCACTACTTCCTGCACCGCCACTTCTCACTGCAGTATCAATACAAAGACAAAGATCCCCCGTATAGCCTTAACAGACTGTTGGGGCAAGCACTGTGAGCGAGCACCTATGAAGGATGGGATAGTACACAAGGGAGTGGGTGGCCAGTATCACACCTAGCCGCTTTTGTCTCCCCCTTGGCAATGTTTACACATCGTACTCATTTTGAGGCTGAATCGACCTAAGAGAGGCCCAAAACCTGTTAAATTATCGTCATTGGTGTTGTCCTTTAGCGGGAATTGAACTTACGTCACTGAGTTTGTAGCGCAGCATTCTAACCACTACATTACTGCTCCCTACACTCTGCAATATCACACATACGCACAAATGTGAACTGCATGTTAACTACACCCCACACGCAACATCTAGCGACCAGTACCACTTAATCAGAATTTTATCAAGTGCTTAACTCATTTTATGAATGCAATGTTTGTTTAAACCGGGTGGGAGTCCACCGAGACAAAGTCTCCTTTTAAAGGGAGACCGGGTTACCAAAACAAAAACAGTAAATATGAAAACCAACAGTCGATATTTTTATTTAAAGCTTTCGTGACTGCAGGGATTCATCTTCTTGGTTCTTTCGGTAAAGTCACGTAGAAGGGAAATAATAAAATAATACAAATAAAACATAATAAAATCATTCTCACGACGTTTCGGCTACAACGCAAGCAGCCGTCCTCAGGTGGGTCAATCATTCTTCACATGAGGACGGCTGCTTGCGTTGTAGCCGAAACGTCGTGAGAATTATTTTATTATGTTGTATTTGTATTATTTGATTATTTCCCTTCTACGTGACTTACCGAAAGAACCAAGAAGACAACAGTCAATACATCATAATAATTTATATCACAAAACCATCATCAATTAACAAGAATGAACTTTTTTTTTAAACATCCCTTATCGATGAGGGATGAATTTCATAAACATGCATTTCTCATGAATGCCATCTGTCTATTGTGTTTTTGTAAGATGCAGCAGCTGCTTGGGGAGGGTCAATCATGGCCGACGACGACGATGATCTAATCTCTCACCATGGCAGAGGAGCAAAATATCTCCAGTCATCTGCTTCTTTAATGACAGTATATCGTTACCAGCTTGGTTTCCGCTGTGACTGAAATGCAGAAGTGTAGCTGTACGAAACGACAACTTTAGTCAACTGCCCGAAAAGTCAAGTTCCACATAAAAACGATCGTGAAATCGAACATGAAACGAGGCATGCGGTGGGGACACATGCCACTGTGTATGCGAGGGTTGGTGGACCACGCAAAATGTTGTGAAACTCCCTTCCCGTAGGGGGTCAAGGAGAAGATGGTCCAGAGAATGTGGACTCATCTCCATCTCTGTCCAATCTGTGTGGAGTCGAGTGTTGTACTCTTAGTTTTTTTTCCGGTTAAAGTCACGTAGGGACCGGTCCCACCTGATAACGGAGACTTGTGTTGCCTCCGAAACGTCGTTAATTGTATTATTTTATTTTTATTAATTTGAATTTAATTTTTTACCTACGTGACTTTACCGAAAAAACTAAGAGTATGAATCCTTGCAGTCACGAAAGCTTCAAATCTAGAAGAGTCGAGTGTTGCCCACCACCTCCACGGCTACTCCGTTTTACTTCCACACGGTATAGACACCAGTCATTGGCTGATCATTTTGAATCTATGCGCCTCCGTGCTTGCGAAAGGCACAGCGTTGTGTTATGCAGTTGCACACATTACGCTATAAAAAAAACGGAATATTATTAACTGATTGCGTACTCGAGGTAGGAAAACGCATGGGTAACCCTCTACTCCTCTACTCTCACCAAATGTAATGCAATAAGCTAAACGTGTCTCTAAAAATAATTGCCAGTACTCTGCCTGTTGTGATGGATTCACGTCACATCATATGTACACCAACAAAAATCTCACTTTACAAGAACATCGCAAATTAAATAAGTTAAAAAAATCAAAGAGCTTTGTCAATCCACTGCTGGATGAAGTCCTCCCACATCGTGTGGGTTATGGAGGTTATTTGACCACGATGATGTTTCACCACGCTGTGCGTCAGTGCTGCGCTTGGTAGAGATTGTGTGGGGAGCCAGAACCGCTTTAGATAATACTGGTAGGAACCTCCTGGTTACACAAGCCCACAGGGGATTATTGTGTCGGTCGTGCAGGGAGGGGGCTGGGTGGGGAGAGAAGGGCTGGGTGGGGAGGGGAGGGTGGAGAGGGGCTGGGTGGGGAGGGGCTGGGTGGGGAGGGTGGAGAGAGGCTGGGTGGGGAGGGGCTGGGTGGGGAGGGTGGGGCTGGGTGTGGAGGGGCTGGTCACCCCGTGGTGCCCTTATAAAACTCAATGTTTAACCTACTCACGCCGGCTTGTGCCCGCCCTCACAGTCGGGCATATTTGCGGAATACACCACGCCGCCGTTGACCCTGGCCATTGACCGAGCAACCCGACGTTCCTACACCAGCTCCCTCCACAGGACAATGTGTTCACTCGCCACCAGTGAACGCCATGGCTGGGAATCGAACTCGGGGCTCTTGGTTGGTAACTGAAATGTGTTTGACTTGGCAAATATTGAACTGTCAAACAAACTTCGCTGGTACAATGAAATTTGGTGCATCGTATTACTTGGCACGCGCTTACAAGATGGATGTATCCATCGGGATCATGTGTTCTCCACTGCGACCTTCAAAGTCTGGAACTCAATCGAGTTCTCATGGCTGACTTGACCTTCCTGTTAAGGGGCCGTCCATAAATGACGTCACGCGATTTTGGAGGATTTTTGACCCCCCCCCCCCCTCGTCACACGGCGTCACAAAAAGTCAGACCCCCCCTCAAATATGACGTCACAAAGCTCTGCCCCCCTCCCCACAAAAAATAAAACACGCTTCAAATCGCTTTAAACTATTGTCATTGTAGTGCGTATTTAATGTGGCGCTGCACTCTGATGTTGTAGGAGAAAACATTTATTAAAACGTCTATTTAATTAAGTAGAACGTGTTGTCTATATTTATTTAAAGTTGCGCATTTTGATGTGACGTCACATTTCTCAAACGCCCCTCGTCACACATCGTCACAAATGTCTGACCCCCCCCCCCCCTAGGTGCGTGACGTCATTTATGGACGGCCCCTAAGGTCTCCGTTTGTATCCGCGAGTCTTTTTTCGGTACGAAATTTTACCATTCACCATTATTCTCCTTGATTGCATTAAGCGCATCTTCTCTAGTTAGAGATCACCAAGTGACTTATTGAACAGAGTTTCTAAATATGATACTCTTGCAAATTGCACCGCATTCTATCAAATACGTAAACAACGCGCATACTGTGCTAATTATTGAACTAGAATTCCACATTTTGGGTTCAAATGTGTCCCAAGTAAATCCTATAAAAATGATCACAGCATGAGGGTACATTTAAGAAGAGGCCAACCACCCGGGTGATGGATTGACGCCGGCATATCTTTGAACGGCCACTTTGTTGAGCTGCTCCACCACTCAGCTGCTAGCCCCTTGTACAAATATTTAGCCGGCCAGGGACCATCAACCCAACGAATTCACCCGTCCCGCTGCTAACGTGTCGATCTTACGCGCGCCGCGTTTGTCAACCACTAGGTTCGTGGCAGTAAGTCAAGCGCCATGAGCAGCTTCGTCCGAGTAGCCTCCCCCAATAAGTTCTCACGCCCGCACACCACCTATTCGGTTACTTTCCGTCACACTCCATCTGTTCATTTTGTGCAAAGCCATTTGAACAAAAAGATACCAAAAAACACCCGTGCTATGGAGAAACTTTCCTCTGGACTTGGACAGCTCTATGGCTCGCGCGTACGACAGAAATAATTCGAGTTGCGTAAAGTCCTGACACTGCATGCGTGGGATATAATTTACTGTCAATAAATTTCGATTTAAAGCTTTCGTGACTGCAGGGATTCATCTTCTTGGTTCTTTCGGTAAAGTCACGTAGAATGGCTGCTTGCGTTGTGGCCGAAACGTCGTGAGAATTATTTTATTATTTCCATTCTACGTGACTTTACCGAAAGAACCAAGAAGATTACTGTCAATATTCACGCAAAAAGGATTAGGCGACAATTGTGACGACTTTGTAGGGTACTATACATAACATGGGTATCAATCATACACATTTACACGGACATACACTTGTGAATCACACCACCAAAAGTTACGACATACCAGTTACCTAGACATATTTAATGTAAAATTATAACATTATAACAACGCACGATACATCACGGCCCTTTGACAATCCACGACAGGATGCAAGCCTCCCCATGCCGAGTCAATGAACTATATCTTGCAGCACCTCCGATTAGCACGGTTCGAAAGAAGTTCAACATACGGTTACACGTACATACATGCATGCCGCCACACGGACCGGCAGTACAGCAAACGGGACTCTCACCTGTTTCGTCTGAGTGAGATCGCGTTGCCCCTTCGCACGCATAAGGGGTTTCCTGCCACGTGTGAACACTCAAGTAATTGGCCGATAGCGCCTTTCACGTATCGAGGACCGCAGAACTCGGGGAATTGTTGTTGGTAGCGCGCGCGCCGGCAACACCGCGTGGCTTGCTGCTACTGCTGCTGCTGCCTGAACTCGTGTGTGGTTCCTCCTCGAACCTCTGAAGTCACTGCTCTCTCTCTCTCTCTCTCTTCGTTTTAACTCTCGACAGCACAGTTAGACGTTGGCATTAACCGTCCAGGGGCCGTCCATAAATGACGTCACGCGATTTTGGACGATTTTGACTCGCCTCCCCTCGTCACACGGCGTCACAAAAAGTCAGACTCCCCCCCCCCTTAATATGACGTGACACAGCTCTGCCCCCCCCCAAAAAAAATTAAACATGCTTCAATTCGCTTTAAACTATTGTCATTGTAGTGCGTATTTAATGTGGCGCTGCACTCTGATGTTGTAGGAGAAAACATGTATTAAAAGTCTATTGGATTAAGTAGAACGTGTTGTCTATATTTATTTAAAGTTGCGCATTTTGATGTAACGTCACATTTCTCAAACTCCCCCCCCCCCCTCGTCACACATCGTCACAAATGTCTGACCCTCCCCCCCCGCTAGGTGCGTGACGTCATATATGAACGGCCCCCAATACTATCGCAATAACTTTACCACTCCTCCAAACAAACGGCGACTATGGTGTGTATTTTACCATAGCTTCGCTTACACCCGCAGATTTTACAACTTACCTGTCTTATGAGATAAACAGCACACGCAGACACATCTTCTAGAGGGTAAACAACGTTGTTTTATAACAATTACCTACTGGTTGTTGCCTTCTCCGGTACGACAGTCTCAGCAAGCAGCAGCAGCGTTTACCCGAGGATGGTAAGACGCAGGCAAACTTTACGTGAAGTTGTTCTCATCGCAACATAGAGCCCTCCCCCCCAACCCCAACGATGTCACACCGAGTTTAAAGGCGCGTTTCCTTCTCGGCAGAGCGAATGATGGACGCATGGAGAGAGCGAGAGAGGAGATGTTTGAAGTTATAATAGAGACAAAACGGGGAACTCACGGGAACAGAGAACACACAAGACGTAACCACGTGGTCGAACCCCCCCCAAAAAAGCACAAATAAGGCATCAACTAGGACTATTAAAGCCAACCCGTGGGTTGTGGGAAGGAACAAGTTGTCTTCTTGGTTCTTTCGGTACAGTCACGTAGAAGGGAAATAATAAAATAATAAAAATAAAACATAATAAAATAAAATTCTCACGACGTTTCGGCCACAACGCAAGCAGCCGTCCTCAGGTGAAGAACAGGTCTGTCGGGAAGACAGAGTCTGAATGAACACCACCAGGCTTGGCAGCGTATATTTAAGCTGGGTTGGAGGGGGAAGAGCGCCTTGACAAAATAATCTGCATATCATATCAATAGGATTTTAGCATATTTATGGGAAATGCAGATATGGGATAAGTCATTACTTGTGGAATGCGTAGGAGGTGGGTGGGGGGTTTCAAAGTCATATTATGCCCGTGCATTATGCAGGATTAGCAGCATCAAATGGAGGGAGTAAGGTTAGCATTAATAAAGGGAAGGAATGTTAATAGTATGGAGCTGCAGCAACTAATATGCTTATAGACTATACATTGCAATATTACACTATGTATTATTCTACCCACCCTACTGTATACCACACTGCTGTATATTCACTATACAATTACGATACTCTATATTACCTTATACATTGTATTAAACATTACACTTTTATACTATTTATTATTATACAATCTGCTATACACACAGGAACGAGTTGCTCGTTGAGGAAGGGTCGCCGGCCCGGGGATGGAGACTAACGACGGAGTAGCGGTTAAAGGAGGGAACACCCCCAGAGGACGATCACCGCGCTGAAGACGAAGCACCGTGGATGAGCTCGGTGTGCAGGAGCGAGATGGGACGTTGTACCGCATGGCCGTGAGAGATGACCGCGGCTTTGTGTTTAAAAAAAAATAGAAGAGGACGTAGCATCGTCGTAGATTAATAACGACGCAACTTTTGTTCTAACCAGGTCGCGCAGGACTTGATGCGTGTGCGCTGTATGTTGAACTTCATTCGCACCGTACGTAGTCGACCACGCTAATCGCAGGTGCGTGCGGTAGGGGAGGAGGGTAAGAACAAGGAAACCAAACACCTGAGGATACTTTACCTGCTATTCATTGGCAACGCTCAGCTGGAGGGCATAGACTACGGCACGCAAATTATTGCGTGCAGCCATTTGTCAATCCATCCATAATACAGCTTTTGATTTTGGGTTAGATCGCGTAAATCTAAGTGTGTCGTTTAACACGCCACTACCCGACAAAGTATGCAAAGTATGATCTGTGTTTTGATTTAGTGTGCTGATCTTAAAGGTGCATTGAAAAATGTTGATACTCCGACTGATGCTCCTACTGTTGTGGAGTGACTAATGCAGCCATCTATGTCTGCAGAGTTTGGTAGTACATGTTGTTTACGTCATTTATTGTGAAAATTCGGTCACAGTTCCTATCACCACTGTTTCATTGCTTTTATGGCTTTATTTTGGTGATTTTCGAAAAGTTTTTTGGTTTGGCCATGTTTGTTTGTTGTAGTACAGAGTTAGACTGATGGCCTTAATCTAAGTTGTCTTGTGGTTGTTGTTGTTTGACTTGCATCCCACTGGGATATTTGCACAGGGTTGGTGTACGGTGATTTTTCTGCAATATTTTTCTGTCTTTTCTTGGATTTTCTGTTTGCACATAGTAACTTTAAGGTGTTTTCTTGTTCATGTTTTTGGTTTTTGTTTGTTGCGGTTGCACCCGATTCAAGAGCCGAATGGCTTACACTTACAGGGTCTATACCTAATAAATGAACTTTGAACTTTGACACAATAAGGTTTGTCACGTAAACAGAACGTGCCAATTCGTCACTAGTACAGCACACCGGTGTGTTGGAGAGCCAAGCCACAACATTTACAATCTGAGCACGACGTTTCGCCAACAATTACAACTAGCTTCATCAGGCGACAGCCAGATTTGTGGAGAAGTCTTTAACTGTTTCGTTCCTTATTTCGAGGCGTAGATGTGGTGACCACGCTTCTGCGCTCTTGCACAATGATGGGGGCAGAGAGATTACTGAGGCAACGTACATTATGCATGTGCATTATGCGCATTTGAACTTGTCCTTCCTGTCTATTGTGTTTATTAACATATTCTTAGCTTTTTTCGGTAAAGTCACGTAGGTAAAAAATTAAAATTTATAAAAGTAAAACAAAATTTTTTTTTACCTACGTGACTTTACCGAAAAAACCTAAGAATATGAATCCTTGCAGTCACGAAAGCTTCAAATCTAGAATTTATTAACATAGCCCTATACCAACTGTAGTCCCTATTGAAGTTTGCTGCCCTTTGCTGGCATCCATAATTATAATCTCCATGTATATACTATACAAATAATACCTGATTTAAATGCATGCCTACAAAGGTGCAGCGTACTGCAATAGGGACTACAGTTGGTATTGCTATTTTCATCAACACAATAGACAGGAAGGACAAGTTCAAAGCGCATAATGCACATGCATCATGTACGTTGACTTAGTAATCCCCCCCCCTCATTGTGCAAGAGCGCAGAAGCGTGGTCACCACATCTACGCCTCTAAAAAGGAACGAAACACGTGAACTTCTCCACAAATCTGGCTGTCGCCTGATAAAGCTCGTTGTAATTACTGGCGAAACGTCGTAATTAGATGGGTAATGTTGTGGCTTGGCTCTCCAACACACCAGTGTGCTGTACCAGTACACTACACTATACACTACACACTAGTGCTGTACTCGTGACGAATTGGCCACGTTCTGTTTACGTGACAACCCTTACTGGTTGGCTGTGTCGGGTGGTGGCGGGTTTAACGACACATGTATATATTTGTTCATCATGTTGGTCTGCGGGTTTAGACTTCACTGATGTTAGCCGTGGTCTGTAATTGGAACTCAGGCGGGCCGGGTCCACAGTGGCTTTATTCCCGGTCGTGACATTTTGACTATCGGCCCATGAACCACCATCATCATTATCAACATCATCGCCTGGGCCGATGACATGAGAATCACCTACTGGTGCAGCAGCTGCAGCATCATCACTTGGTTCGTAGGTCGAGTAGGGCTAGACCTGTCCCCGCCGCGTGAACGTGGAATGCCCCGCTCGTTGCTCAAAGTCGCTAATGGAGAGCATCGCTATTATTATCTTGTCCGTCCGTGCTAACGACTCTCCCCCCCTGTACCAAATGCTGATGACCGACTGCTGACACGCATCCTTATAAGACGAGCATGCCATACCGTTGTTGATATTACAAATAACGTCTTGGAACGCGAGTGACTTTCATCACCCAATGTACATCAACGTCGTTACCAAATGGAACTTTATTTTGCAGTACCAATGTATGGGAAAGTAAGAATAGTTTTTTTTACCCTTTCTGCCACCTGCTTTATTGCCGGAAAGGATAAAAACGTAGTATTTCCAAACGTTACTGTTCTCCGGACTTTCGTGGGTTACTTAACGACGATCCCCCTAACCCCCTACTCTTTGGTTCTTTCGATAAAGTCACGTCGGTATAAAATAAATCACGACGTTTCGTGCGCAACACAAGGTGGGAAATCATGGTCCTGCTGCTGACGATCCCGTCCTTTCCATCGATTTAAACACAAACTTCATCGAGTCGCGGTGCGCAAAGTCGAGCACGGTTTGCAGCTGATCCCAGTGAAACAAAACTAGCCGCCGTTAAACTCGCAAAACTCAAATAATTGGGCTCGTACATAAAGGACGCAAGATGAGATCGAGACTTCAGAAACTCACCATTTACTTGCTCGAGCAGCTGGTTGTCAGGATAGCGCGTGTTGAACGTTTGGAACGTTTACACGCACACACAAAAAAACCTGTGCTGTTAACTTCAGTTATACGGAAGTTGCCATAGGTTACAAAGAGACACCTTGAAATATATAAATAAGTGGCACGATAAGTACACTCACCGCACTAAAAACTGCAGGAAATTCCGAAGCATAACTTCCACGGCCCCACCTAACCGGTAAAACGTCTTCTACAGTGTCTGCGACCCTTCTGCCATGTTCAGTTGAAGCGTCACCTGTGCCAAAACCTCCACCAGCGACTCGGAATTAACTCGGAACCCACAAACGACCTCGGTATTCTGTACAGGTATTGCATTATTGACCATGGCAATACAATATATTGGTAGGAACCTCCTGGTTACACCAGCCCACAGAGGATTATTGTGTCCGTCCGTCCGTCGTGCATCCAAAAATGTGAGGGGTGGGGCTGGGTGGAGAGGGGAGGGTGGGGAGGGTGGAGAGGGGCTGGGTGGGGCTGGGTGGGGAGGGAGGGGCTGGGTGGGGAGGGGAGGGGCTGGTCACCCCGTGGTGCCCTTATAAAACTCAACGTTTAACCTACTCACGCCGGCTTGTGCCCAGCCCTCACAGTCGGGCATATTTGCGGAATACACCACGCCGCCGTTGACCCTGCAGGCCATTGACCGAGCAACCCAACGTTCCTACCAGCTCCCTCCGCAGGAATGTGCTAGTCACGATGAGGTTTTAGTGTTGATTTGCCATTTCTCCTCCGCTGACGAGGATACATACGGCATCGGATAATGGTGTCACACCCAATAAACAGGCAAAAATGTTAAGGAGGGCAAGAGGAAGCCACTAACATTGATATGGCTCAAGCCACGGCTCGAGGAACCGAGAGCTTGGGAGAGTGACGATGCGAGGGGAAGGTGGAGGGAGCAGTGGATCAGATGGAGCTTGAGCCATGGACTTGCCCCTGGGCAGATGGTCAATCGTGTACTTTATTTAACGCTATTAAAACAATAAGTATAATACCGTGTAGTATGAGTGGTACCTCATGTCGTACGACGAGGAAAGGTACGTGGACATTGTAACACAAATTAACCAATTTTGCCTCAAGGTACGAGTGTAAAATTCCACATTTGATCTGGATGATGGTCATTCATCACATGCAGTGTTTGCATTTCTATATAGTACACACCTGCCCAGTAGCAGCACGTTTTAACAGGTCTGCAACCTTTACCTTTTTTATGTTTAACTCTGAAACTTAACTCCTAATTTATTGCACGATCTGCATAGGAAATCCGTTAAAAGTCGTCCGCCTATCTCCACAATAAACGATTAGCACTTTCACGAGTCGATAGAAACACATCACACCTACTGCTGCTTCGGGTGATTTAACACTTGTAGTGGTGACACATGCCATTCATACGTAAACTGACCTTTCAATATAGCTTGTAAAAATGATGTCCATAATGTCGGTGCAATAATACATCAGTTGACATTCAAACACGTACGAAAATGCACATTTGCATGAAATCAAGGCTTGATAGCAGATCCATATCCCATCCGGCATGTCCCCACTTGCTTCCCAGTAACACAAGTTGAAGATTGCACGCAAGAAAGATAAAAATTGCCAACGCACACCTCTGCATTAAAATCCACAAGATGTGATTTATTAAAATGTAACACACATGAAGCAAAGCTGCGTTGGTGTGAAAGCTGTGACCTCGTGTGTACAAGGGCGAGTTGAGGATTTTATGAACGCAAGATCAACATTGCATTCATTCTTGAGACACACATACCCAGGCATTGACCTGTGCAACGTCAAGTCAACCGCTTCTGGCAATGGATAACTTTGCCGTTGATCTTTATTGGACCGTTCACCCGAATACTTGCATGTAAACTGCATTTTTTCACGTCAGAAACTTTCCTTTCTGAAGTAGCACCCACATTTGACATTTTAACCACGTAACATCGGTGATGACTACACCCAGGTTGATCAAGTCAATCACGAACATAAGTTCGTCCTGATTTAATTATAAGACAAAAGTTTAGCTACTCAACAGTGTAGGAACCGAGACAAGAAAGGCTAGTAAAATCTGCAATTAACATACTTATAAGTAAAGTCCAAATAGTTAACTGTAAAACTATTGTTGACAAAACAATGTAAGGTATGTTTCCATTATGTGGTGGACCACACAAGATAAGCGAGTAGGGAGGTTACCGGAGCAAACCCACATCGTTGTGAAAAGCTTACACAAACAAACAAAATATCAGAAACACAAATTGTTAGGATTACCATTGATGTGGGGCACATCATTCGGCTTCGCAGTGCTCATCCCGTCACACACGTGCAGAGTCGCACAATCGCCCAAGCACCAAAGAGTGGTCGTGCGAAGAGGGAGGGAGGGAGAGAGAGAGGGGGCCCGAAGGTCGCGCACGGACGTTGACGCGACCGAGCAAATGGTGATGGAACAGCGTCGCGACACGCAGGCGGAACGCCAGGGCCTCCGCCGCGGTTTGGCCCCTCACTGCTGGGGCGCCGGTTCAGCTGCTGCGGGGCCCTCCTTCTTGTTCTCCTCGGGCTTCATGGCTGGGAAGAGCAGCACCTCCTAGTGGACGAAGCAGGGTAAAGTCATCAACATATATATTTAAGCGAAATCGACCGCAGAGTATACTCTGTGTCAGCCAGAGGTCGCAACCGGGTACCCGATAGCCGTACCCTACCCGATACCCAGCTACCCGTACCCGGCCGGGTACAGGTAGCCGTTTGTGACCCTGGTGCGGCCGGGTACGGGTAGGCCGTGAGTCACTGGTGAGTCACCGTTTGTCACTCATTTCGAGTAGGGTATGGGTAGGGAACGGGTACCTATTTGCGACCCTGGTGCGGCCGGGTACGGGTAAGGAATCAAAACCCGTTTGCGACCTCTGGTGTCAGCTGATGCAGATTCAATCTTGATTTGAAGCTTTCATGACCGCAGGAATCCATACTCTTTGGTTCTTTCGGTAAAGTCACGTAGGTAGAAAATCAAATAAGTCACGACGTTTCGATCGCAACACAAGTGGATCATCAACGAGAAGTGTTGCATGTGTTCTTTGGATAAATTTGCTTACAATGTTTGAGTTGAAATGCGCAAAATAAGCACTGAACTGGATGGTAGAGGGAGAAGACAGAAGACATGACAGGCCAATGAAGAACTGGCAAAAGGCAATATTGGAACATTACCAGGGAATAATCTTTTTTTTACAAATAATTCTGGAATTACAAGGCAGCAATTACTTCCACTGTTCAATGATCAGACTTTCTTTAAACGATCTAACCCAAAAAAAACCTCTATTATGGATAATATTGGTCGCAAAAGCCTACGTGTTAAACTCAATGCAGCAACTTGATTTCCTGATGTGTCTTGGCACAACGGTATATTGAGCGCACGAACACACAACGTACAATTTATCTAAATCCATTGCATATCATCATCGTCGTCGTCAAGTTGCACTCGCTCCACCACCGCACACCTTGATGTTGTTGGAGTTGGTGAGGAACATGGTGAGGCGGTCGATGCCCATGCCCCAGCCGGCCGTGGGGGGCAGCCCGTACTCCAGCGCCGTGCAGAATGTCTCGTCGATAAGCATGGCCTCGTCATCACCGGCTGCCTTCGCCTGTGCGCGATGGGGGAGGGGTCGTGGTGGGGATGGAGTGGGGAATTAGGTTGTACACAGAGAGGAACAACAGTTGTTGAAATGCTTGGATTTTTATTTTTTTACAAGACGCAATAAACGGCGACGGCGAGAAAGTAACAATTTGGGAAGGCTAACGATGCGTAAACGAATAGATTGTTCATACTTTCAGTAGATTATATATATGCACGGCCCAAGGGGGCAAACAAAACTGAATGAGAAGAAATGAGAAGGAATACAAACGAGACAATAATAAGTAATATTTAAAAATACTTTTTTTTTAAACACGCTTTAATGAAATGTACCGTACGAGTAATGGCAGAACTCCACGACTCCAGGAAGTGGCCGCAAAGCTTGCCATAACGTAAGGGGACCGTAGTGATTTACAACCAACGTCAGTTGAGCGTGGACAATTAGACCCAAGCCGCAACATAACATATGAAAAAGAATGTTTAAAATATTTTTTTATATAAAATATAGTATTGTCATCAGTATATGACATAAGTATACCAAGTTTGCAGTCGATACCACATTGGAAAGTGGGTTAAAATTGAGTTACAAAATTAGAAAATACGACAACAACAACAGACAGAGTGAGTTAAATAAAAGATTATAAGAACGATGCAAATATATTCGGTCACCTTTTTGTGACCTTGAAGTGCAACAATTCATGAAATTACTGAGGGGGATTATAGCATGTCTAGCAACTATTATAGGATAAAAAAACTATGTTATAAAAACTACATATTTTTTATCTTGTAGACAAGTACCTCAGCTATGCGTCCCATCAAAGCACATGTTACCATTCGTCTAAGACCTATTCAATTTATTTACCAGGTAAGGCGCCCTTAGCTACTATATATATATTTTTTAAAGCGACCTGGCCACAAATGATAGCTCAACAAAGTGGCTTATCACGCAGACATGTATAGCAGCCAAATACCGAAAGAACCAAGAACATACAGCCAAATACTCTAAACATGTGTTGATTCTGAATTTGTAAGGAAAAAGCAAAAAGACCTGGAGAAAAATCCAGGCGACCACGGGAGTGAGAGAGAACATGCAAACTCCAAACATACAGGGAGTCACAGGGTGGGGATCGAACCCAAGCCCTCCTGTATTCCAGGCGAGGTAGTTAACATCTCGCCACGGTGGCACCTCCAATGTACATTGCAGCGCTACGTCTCTCGATGAGAATGCAGACTCATCTGCCGTTCTCCGCGGCCCGGGGAGCTTACGTTGGCCTGCTCCTCGAACAGCTGCCTCTGCCTCAGCGGATCGTTCAGCTCCGTGTAGGCATTCACCACCTCCTTCTTCATCACGAACAACTCGAAGCGCTCCGTCAGCCCTTTGACCTTGCGGTGCCTGGGGGGGGAGGGGCGACACTCGGCAATGTCAGGTGGACGGGGTCAACCACACCCAGAACGAAGAGAGCGGTCCACCCAGAGCTCAAAAAACATTCCTCGGGGACAAAGCGGCGGGTAATTACACCACC